AACAAGGAACCTCGTCGCCTGAGAGGTGAGAGATGAAACTGCCGCGCCATCGGCATGATAGCGCTCCTGACTGTCTGAAGGCTGGGCGCTTGATGTGGAGGGGTCTTCCTGCAGACAAGAGGATTTGAAATGAGCCACTGCAATCAAGCATAAGCAACCTTAGCCGTGGCGACTAACCGACAGTGGAACATCAAAGAGACGCTAACGAAATTTGTGTTAGCTTCCACAAGGATTTTACCAAAACTTGAGCCACTACCAATCAAGCATAAGCTAACAAGTCAGATAATCGCAGAAGGTAGTGCCCAAAGGGCACAATCCTCATGTGTTCTTGATCATATTGGACTTGCTGGCTACAAAACAGTGTAAAAAGCTCTTGATTTAGTCAACTGCAATCAGTTTCTTGTGCATTTGAGAGAAAAGTCGACTATTGAGCTGCTCTTTTGTACAGTTGTTAGGTGGTGGAAGCTTGACACCTCTGGCACCTTTTATATATACTTGTAAAGTATATGTACTACACAATTGCACTGCACAACTTTTGCAGCATGGCACCTTGGACACCTTGGACACCTCATTTTCAATCAGGAATTTACCTTCACAAAAAACCTGAACGAAGTAAAAACAAGAGGTGGTGGTGTCCAGGGTGCCATCCAAAAATGATACCATCATCAGGGCGCGTCAGGTTTCTTAAGGGTCAAAGCCACACCAGAACCTCACTGCACATTGAATGACTCACGTTTGCGCTTGACGTCAACTTGCGCTTGACGTCCGCTCCAGCAGTATTTCCCCTGTTGAGCGCGCTCTCTGCAGCGGATTTGGCTACCTTGCCTGTAACTGACTGTCTGTTAAGGCATCCTGCACTGCCAGATTCTCTATGTAAGCGCCTGTAAGCTCTTTGACCTGCTTCCAGGGAGTCCCCTTCGATTCGCACTTGAACTACGTCTCACTGGTTGCCTGCTTTTGCTGAACTGTAACTGAGGTCTCACTCAGATGAACAAGGCCAACCCAGCGTTGTACGCAAGAAAGACACAGAGGCTGCGCTCGCTGTTTGCTTTTGACAGCTGTCGAGATGGCAAAGCCAAGCAGAGACTGGTGAGACTTGCGGAAACTGATCTTGTGTGTCAGGTCTTGCGCGCTTTTGATAAGGAGGGGCTGCTTGCATAAAACGCACTTGCTAGCTAAAGGCGGTTTGCTAAACAGTAGGGTTGGATCAACAATGTACCGACCAGTATGCAGACTCTTCTGGTCCTCGAGCCTTAGGTTGAGAGCTGTGGGAACCCTCTGCTGAGATGACATGGTCCCTGGTGCATCGCATTGGCTCGGGTTGCAGTTGCCGACTACCACTCGGATCTGAAGTGAAGAGAAGAGGCTCGAAGTATGAAGAACCGATCCAAGTTTTATGGGAATTTATACCTCACTTCTCGGAACCATGATGCACAGTATTTCCCTAGACTGCTCGACTGCTGCCTGCTATTCAGCTATACCACGTAGTTTATTTCTATTTCGGTTTTAAAGCGTGCAACGTGGGTCGTTTCCGAGCGGTTTGACGAGCGGTTATATCACATGGGTGCCCGGCCGGAGTAAAAGTTTCCCTGGTTTTCGGACTCGCTGCCCGTCTCGACCTGAGGGGCGCCGTGCATGAATTCCTCTGCGGCACAACCTTCATAAATTACGTCAAAGTGCCGGAACTCTAGCCTTTAGCGCGCGAAAACCGTCCGATCTGGCAGGGGATTCTGCGACGAATCTTGGCCGCTTATTTTATGCCAACCATCTGTTGGTGCCTCCTGACCAAGCTGTGACTCGGTGAGTCTGCGAGTCTGAGGGACTGCACAGTAGGTATTGAGTACCAGAGGTACAAACTTCGAAAAGTTGTATCGTCGGCGATGTTTCCGGACACGTTTGTCGCATACACCAGCGTTCGACACGGAGTTTTTATTTTGTCGGCTGGGAGCCGACAGTTTCCCGGTCAGTCAGCTGGACCTCTGAACCGGTCGGCTTGTGTCTGCCGAACACCTGAAATACACCTCGATTCTGTCGGCTTTTCGGCCGACGCCCCTCGGTCGAGTCGGCCGAGTGGCAATCCCGTCGGCTGACGTTTTCCTGGTGCGTCGGCTCGTGTCGAACACTGGCATACACCATATCTTGTCGCGTTTCACAGCCAGCTATGGCTGGTACCCTCAAAGATTTTGCAGCCCCAGTTTGGCTAGTAGGGTAACCAGGGACTGAATTCCCGATCCTAGACCGACGGTTTCCCAGCTTTCTAGTTACAGAAACCGGAGAAACGAGGGCTTGGGTACATTCCCAATACGAGGGCGCAGCTGAGTCACCAAATCTAGATTTGGGCAATCACAGCTCTTCATTTTGCCACGTGGTCACCGCCTGTAACTAAGATTCACCTTGCGCGCGCAGGGCGCGCCGCGCGAGCATAGGTATTGCGTCGACAAGGCACGCAACCAAGGATCTAGATGTCGCTACGTGTCTCGCGATGAGAGGCAGGTTGCGTCACAGTCACTCACCTGTCGCTGACCATGGCGACCGGTCAATAGGATATGTGATGGCCCGGGCTGGCGGGCCATGGCTGCCGCCGCGGCGTCGCCCCAGCGTTGGTAGGTAGTAGGTACAGGCCGCTGCGGCGCTGCCGTCCATAATACCTAGTACGGTATTAGGCCACGCTGCCACAGCCACAATCTCACGGATGTGGCCACTCTTTCGAACGCCTGCCGCCCTACTGCCATTTGAAAGGGAGGTGCAGTTTCTGTATCATTCTCCGAGTCAGAACTGACAGAAGGTTCTGGCTTTAGTCTTGCATCGCCATTGGAGTTGGCGATAGACGTGATTGAGTCTTTCAAAGCGCCAGTGCGGGCGCACATACTTAGTCTGGTCCCGTTGGCCACTGTAGAGGGCACGGCGCGTGTAAGTTGTCTTCTGGGGCAAGCATCGATCCGTCAGGTAAGAAGAAAAGCACGTTTGTCCAAGAAAGCTTGTATCTACTGGTGATTGTTGTGTTGCCTTCAAGTTGAGATCTGAGGTTGGGATCGGATGCAAGCATACTGCATCCAAGGTGTTTTCTGACGCTCACATCACTTCCATCAGTACGTTCTTTCTGGCGAAACTTTCTGCTTGACAGTTTTCCTTCCATCTTGGTTCTTTTTCTTGTCAGGGTTCTGACACTCATCTACATCCTTTCTCCCCCATCGCTCTTATAATCCTCTCGTATACCAAGTGTGAGGGACCTTGGTATGTGTTCAGCAACCAGCCCTCAAAGCACCGGTCCTGGACGGGCATTCAACAATTTCCCCTAGTTCTGGGGTGTTAATCAGAAAGTAGGTATGTAGAAAGGAGGAAGAAACCCCAGGATTCTGTCCATTGCTGTGGACTGCACATACATATCTCACCTGCTTTACATGCCTTGAGTGAGTTTCTATTCACATCTAGTTGTTATCTTGGAGGATTGGTCTTCCATCTATTTGAAGGACATATCTGGCTGTACACTTGGCTCCAGACGCAGGATGATCTGACGACATTTCCAAGGATTAGACTGGATGGGGACTGCCATGGGCCCTCCTTTCTTCCGGCACAGGATGATCTACAGTTTTTGAAAAGCATCGGATCAGACCGAAGAGCCGTGGTCTACTCTAATCTTGACTTTCATCACCAACCTGAGAGATCATGGATAGTATGATACATCACCAAGTTGAGAAATAGTGGATAGTTTAATAAAGAAGTAATAGCACCATGCGGTGGACAAATGTGAAGGACTACCGGAAAAACACATGATTCAAGTTCCCTTGCCGACATGAGAAGCCGTGACTCAGTTCATTGTCCATTTCTTTCCAACAGAATGGCGCCAGCCTTGGTGGCCATGCCAAGCTCGGTGCCCAGCGCCCCAGTCATTCTGCTCGAGAAGACCGCGGCGCCTCAGGCAGCCGAGTTCATCAATGATTGGGCAGAGAACACCGAGATCTTTGAGTATGCAAGGTGCGTCGCTCGTTCGTATTAGAGTGGTCTGAATTCTGGCTGCTGAGCACATAGTAATGGAGGCTCGTATGGCACGTTGGAGCCGGGAAAGCGTCCCATTTTTGATTCCTATAGCACAGATGGCCTTACAATCCTGGGCAGAGCAGAATAGGTCGTATGGAACTTGTTTACTGCCTGAAACAGGTATTGCTTTGCAGGACAGCAGCAAGTACCGTCTGCAGCCTTACAGACTTTGTTTTGGTTGTGCACGATTCTTCCACAAGCCATTCAACGAATTTCCCACTTCCTCCGGACAGCTCGGGGAGTAGAATGGCTTAAAGGCTATATCAGCCCCTTTTATCATCCTGCGGCAGTGCTATACCTGCCAAAACTCAGGCTCATATCAGTTGCTCAAGTTCGATACTTGAGAATGCAGGGGCAGTATTATTGCTCAAGCTTGATACTCGGAAGGGAGGAGGCAGTTCACTGCTCTCTGTACACTTTCAGTCTGTGTCGGAAACTTTTCTTTCTTCCTTCTGCAGTGCTGCCAACCCCGTTCTGAAGCCAGTCCCAGTCATGGGCCTGCAAGCCAAGGAACACACAAGCGGCCCGTCTCGCGTTGTGACCCTGGACCTTAGCAAGCAGCTGGGGATTGAGGAGTATGCGGCCACGTCTCCAAATCTGCTCGCAAGCTTTGTGAGGGTGTGCACTGGGGAGACACTGGAGACCACGTCCTCGTCAACATCGCAGGTGCGTGCAGCTCAATCGGATTGTGTGACGTCCAAAGATGTTTGATGATTGACACAGAGAGCTGGTCTGTGGTGAGACCTACTGGCACTCTGGTCTATTGGCACTTTCATCTGAAGTCATTGGATTGAGGGTTGTAATTGAAAGTTCCAGTGTCGCCAGTTTTCAGTTGATTCTGCAGTCTGTTGCTGTGCGACTTTGGTCAAGGAAGCAAAGCCTTTAGCTCAGCTGCAGAAGCGCTTGATTCATATTGAACGCGCCAAGTGAGACCGCTTTGCTTAAAGTAAGGGTCGTAACGGTGGCACTGTGCAGTGGGCAGGGTAGCCAGATGGCAAGAGAGCGGAGTGCGAGTGAACTGCTGAGGGAAGCTGCTTGCGACTCGGTGCTGAATTGAGATGTTCCAAGTTCGTCCTGTTTTGCTGTTTGACGCGCGCCGCCACTCAGTGGGGAGGGGAAGCGATTCATGGAACGTTGAAAGTTGTTACGGGGGTTCCTTGAGTCTCAAATGTAGCAATCTTGACGATTACAAGGGTGTCCCTGTATGGAGCGTGCTGACCTTCTTCGTTGGTCGTTGTTGAGCTCGTCTCTTTGAACAATCGTTTCTCTTTCTACATTGTTTTTTCTCGAGAGAATCTTCTTCTCATACCAATTAGCGATGTCACTGAGTGCGGTTTGCAGTAGTGAATCTCAAAAACGTCTTTGCACCTTCCCACGTTGTTTCGCCTTGTTCCCTTCTCATTGCACTTCCCTTTGCAGGCCTTCTACGTCATCCACGGAAAGGGCTACTCTTCCACGCCCGCCGGAAAGGTCTCCTGGAGCGCCGGAGACCTTTTCGTTATCCCAGCAGGGGGCCGTGGCCAGTGCTCTCACACGTGTATTGAGGACGAGAGCGGGGGGGCGGGTCTGTACTGGGTGAACGACGCGCCGCTGCTGTCGTACCTGGGGGTGGAGCCACGGGTGGCGCGGTTCGAGCCGGCTTACTTCAGGTGGGTAGCTGCAGCGCGCGACTGTGTATTTGACTTTCTGGAGGATTGAGGTGGTACTCTTTTCACCACCTGAAACGTACCATTGGACCGGGGTGTTGGATGTGTTATGTAGAGAAGTGTTCTGTCCTGCCAAGGGCACATCCGACCAACTTTTCATCTTACTTCTGGTTTTTTGAGCAAGGAGAAGCTGGTTCATGACAAGGAGGAGCTGCTAATACCAGGCCAAGTCCGCCAGGACACCAAATCGAGTTTGCACTATCTTTTGAGCTTCAATTTGTTTATCTTTGAGGGCGATCGATAACCGACTACCACATCGGCTTTCATTTAGGGTGGGATGAGAGCTGCTTTCGACTGAAGATCGCACCGCCGCAGAGCTTGGCCCGGCACAACACAGGAGTCACTCGGAACAAGAATCTTGGGGGGTGTCCGGTTCTTGTCTTCGTCTAACAAACACCTTGAGAAAGGCACGACCAGCGAGCATTCGTAGCGAACCTTTTAGTCACGACGATCTCCTTTTTGCAGCAAGGAGAAGCTGCTGTCCGCTGTGGAGCGTGTGCGCCACGAGCCGGGCGCCGCGCACCGCAACCGGCTGGGCATTTTGCTCGGCAACGCCAAGACGGCCGACACCAAGACGCTGACGCACACGCTGTGGAGCCTGCTCAACGTGCTGCCGGCCGGGGACTGGCAGCGGCCGCACCGCCACAACAGCGTTGCGCTCGACCTGGCAGTGCACGCGGCACCAGGTGAGACTGCTTTTGCTTTTGCAGTTCGTTCTGTTGCGTTTCATTATTTTTTTCTGATTTTGACATTGGTTGAGCAACGCTTCGGCAGTAAAGTCTCTTCGTCAGATCTCGTCCCGTTTCGACGTCTCATTGCACGGCGGCACCGCCAGAAGAGCGTCGCAGAATACCTTGCAGTGCACGCGACACCATGGGAAAACAATTGTTTTGTCGTTCTAGACACCGTTTCTGTTTGTTACTTTACTTTGCGGCACTGCCGGCCGCAATCCTTAACAGAGTCGTGCTTGGAGCCCTGGAGGTACGTTCACATCCAGTTGCTCGAGCTGAACGTGGACGGCAAAGATCGCGGACCTGTTTTGATGCACATGGGTTACGCACACGTTATCCTGATATCTGAGGTTCGCACTTCTCAAATCGCTCTTTAACTCTCGGTTTGCAGGCGCGTATATGTTTACGGGCCCCGATTTGGGCCTCTCTCACAAACAAACTCGTCGTCTAACCGGACCTGAATTGCACTTCCGCAGGCGCTTACACGCTCATGGGCCCCGAGCTGGACGAGACTGGCAAGATCGTTAACCCGGTCCGGTGCGAGTGGGTTACGGGCAGCATGTTCGTGACCCCCCCCGGTTGGTGGCACAGCCACCACAACGAATCCCCCGAGGAGGCCTGGGTGCTGCCCATGCAGGACGCCGGACTGTACACGCACCAGCGAACACTGGGTTAGTCTTAACGCCTTTTTGTTGTCAGCGTTTTGTCGTCCGTGCTTTGCGAGTTGTTTGGTGCGTGCGCGAGGCGCCAACTCGCATCGTCGGTCGCGGTCAAACGACCCCGTTTTCTGAGCAACCTGCCAAGAGTTAGTCGTCTATCGAAGGATTCAGTTTGCGGGGGGCTGTACACCCACCAGCGGACGCTAAGTGAGTTCCAATTCGCTTCAGAGGGGATTTATTACGATTGAGAAACCCGGATTCCGTAGCTCCCAAGGCAGCGAGGAGCCGCTCGGCTCCGTCAGCCCCAGCAAATCGTTACGGCGCTCTTTTCCAGTGACCTGCCAATCTCCGTTTCGAAGCGAAGTGACTCACAGTAATATATCCACAAAATTAGTAGAAGACAGAACGACTCACAGTAATATATCCACAAAATCTGGTAGGATAGGTTGTGTATACTCTGGTAATAATTACTAATTTGGAAGGGAGCCGGGAGAAAGGTCGGCTGATTTGTACAAGCTCTCTGTCTTTGACGGTCAGGGTCGAGTAGAGGAGCGCTTTCTGTTTGAGGTCCCTCACAATCATACGGAGAGACGCCGGCGCTTCGTGACTTGTCCTGACTCAGGAGGAGGCATACGTTGAGGTGTGCGAGACGTCTGCACCATGAGCGTCGTTTTCGCGCAGCTATTGTAGATATCTCGGCAGTCTCCTGACTTGGGAGCAAAAGAGCATGTTGAGGCGATTGTGAGGTTCTAGAAGCCTAGCGCTGACATTGATGCCCCTTTTCCACAGATATTCGTTTCGTCGAAGACGAGGTACGAAGGCTGAAGGAGATGAGGATCAAGTGAGGAGACTGCGTCAGCGTTGGCCTCGAAACGGGGAGCTTCCCACAAGAGCCGCGTGATCACATCTCTGGTCTTCAGGCCATATAGTTGTCAAAGCGATGATCACTTAGCATACATGGTGATTGCATTGTCTGGGGGTTTCGAATAAAGAGCAGGTCATCAATGGTTTTAGTATCAACGAAGATTCCAGCTGCTAATATACTGGGAAGATTCAGCGATATATTGAGGGACACCCTCATATTTTGCGCGCATTGCGCAACGTGGTTGTGTACAAGGTGATCAGTAGACTGCACGCACATTGCGTTCGATAAACGTGTACAGATTCATTTAATCATAGACACTCACAGACAATAAACGTTGATGCAGACAATTTGATCAAAGACGGTCTTCTAATCAGCTTCTTATACGCATGGGACTGACTATACAGCAAACTTGAAAGCGCAAACAGATGCTTTTCGAAGATTTAATCAAGCATTCAGTGAGGGACTCGATTAGCGCAGATTTTTGATCGAGCCGTTGAATCGAGGCCCGCGACCATATCAAATGATGTAATTCAATTGCCCAATTGACGTGACTGTCCGACGCATAGTCCCATGGACGCAGGCCCGTTGATCGATCGATGAGGAGAACTTCGTGATATGTTTTCTGTAACGCTGCATCATTCTCATCACTATCACGATCATGTTAAACTTCACGAAGAACGTACGTGGCATGATTATTGCATATGGAATCGGATGGCTTTCGTCGCGTTTAATGTTTTGGTTAATTTGCAGGCAAACATCCAAATTAAGTCGATCATACTTCTATTATATCCAAGTATACGCACGTTGATTAAGGGCACGGCCGCGGGACTCGCTGGCACTGATCGATTGCATCGCGCCATTCAGAAAATGGTTATTAGGCTCAAAAGTTGCCTGATTTATCACTGCAGCCGACTATATAGCTGCTTCACAAAGACGCACCCTGGAGTGGCCTGTCTATCGATCCCGTCATCCAGAGTGGGGCCCGCCGTGGCAGCGCGTCTGGCAGCGCCCACTCCCTGGTGCTCAGGTTTGAAGCAATCAATCAAATTGACCTCCTTTCCAAATTACCGCATGCAGATGGACTAAGAAACTCACAACAGGTCTAAGATCCTATATATGCCCTCGAGACCCTAGCTAGGAACTTCGAAATGCTGAACCAAGCGCTAGACCCTCTAGCGATCCGCCCCTGATAAGTACTGGCAAAACCCCTTGACCCCTAAACCTAGTTAGTTCAATGATTGATTCATTCATCGATTCATCATATGAGCTGATCAGGCTTCTTGGTCGACCAGGACCGCGAGCCCCGCTTTCATTTTCTTCTCCCTCTGTTTCTTGAGCCACTCCTCCCTGATGCGCTTGTTGGAGTCCAGCACGCTCCGCACCTCGCCCTTGTTCCGCTCCAAGATTTCTGCCAGCGGATCGGTCGTTCCGCCGGCCTGCGACCGCACGGGGCCGCGGAAGAAGCCGCGGGACGCGAAGAGCAGGAAGTTCTGCGCACGTACAAATGCTCGTGGGTAAGTAAGGGACTTGATGTAGCAAGCCGTCTGTTCAATAGTGGCGACGGTAGTTATGAACGCAGTCCCGACGGAAGCGAAAGGGAGCCGGAAAATATGATGTCAAAACTTGTGGCAGAGAAATCTGTTCGCTAGAACGGGCGATGAGCGTACAAGTATAGTGACTCCAGTCCTTCTCATTGCCGCCTCGATTCAAGAGGAAGAGATCCGCAGGAAAGTTGCTCTGCCAAGCTTGTAAATGAACGAAGCGTCACTTTTGGTAAACGGCCGTGAAGCAATGGATGAATTACCAGCTTCATTGCTTTCATTGCCGTTCGGTCTCGACAAATTGACAGGTACTCTGAAGGGTCAAAATTCTGTTGTCTCGAATGTCGTCTCACTCTTATAGCAGATGCGGGTTATGATTAATCCCAATCAGCGGCGACACGTCAGCCAGTCGTCACAAACGGAACAATCGGGAACAGCATCCCCATCCTTCAGTTGTTGTGCTAGATCCTTCATCAATCCCGGAGAAAGCATACACTGATTGACGAGCGCGTCGTCAGGAGACTCGCGGCGTTTGCAAAGGGGGAAGACCCGTATGCAGAGTCGCCGAAGAGCACGACGACCTAGTCAACCAAAGGGCGACAAATTTGGTGAGATCTGCTTTTAACTCGCCAAAAAAATACGACGACGTAGTCACGAAAAGGCGACAATCTGGGAAAAACGTGCTATGAAGTCGCCAAAAGGACACGACGGGACACCTGGGGAAGAGCCTGCTACGGACATTCGTTCAAACCTGGCCGCCTGACCCCAGACCGACTTGAGCCAGTCGCAGAACTTTTCTCGAACCGCAGAACTTGGGCCGTTCGATGGAGAGGCATGCGGGTCATAGCAGGGTACAAGTTCTGCGGATCGGGCGAAGTCTTGCATTCGGCTCAAACAGGACTCGCTGATCTTCTGACACACGTTGTAAAGCGCTGCCCCACCTTCCAGATTTCGCGGACGGCCATGCGGACGCGCGCGGACGTCGAGAAGGCGGCGCGGCTCTCGGACAGGTCCACGAGCGCGTGCCCCTCCGGGACGCGCAGAGCCGAGTAAACCTCGAGCGCGGCCGGCAGGCGCGCGCGCGCCTGCTCGCGCGTGGTCGCGGGCGCGTCGAGATCCTTCAGGGGCTCGAGCTTTGCCTGGTTGAGGGGTTGGTCTCAGTACGTTCCGCTTGGAAATCGAGATAAGACCGACATTGAAAGAGACTACCATTATGCAACCCAGACTCTCAGAGATGATCAGACTCGCCAGAGAAAGCGGAACTATTGAAGGCTACGCACTAATTGACAGCTGCGACTTACGTTCGCCTCCAGTTGACGAACTTAATTGAAACGAGGAGGCTGCGCCAACTTGGAATCGTGCTTGTCACGAGGTACAGGGACCTTACTACGTTGCCACTTTTCTATCGCTGAAGAATGATGAGTAACTACCAACCTACATCTGTAAGCTTAACGGGACTCTGAACCTAACAACACTGAATAACACTCATCTTCTCGAAGCAAATCCGCTTCTGAGATGTCAGGGCGTGCTTCCAATTTGAAAATGGATACAAAGAACGAACTCAAGAAGGGTCGCAAAAGCGATCAACGGCCGAACAGCTTACCAGGCGGAGAGCGGTCTCGTCGTCCGCGTTAACGCCCGCGGCGCGCAGGAGGAGGTGCGCGAGCGTGGCTGCGTCCTCGAGCGCCACGTTGCAGCCCTGGCCGATGAACGGCGGCGTCGCGTGCGCCGCGTCGCCCAGCAGCGCGACCGCGGCCGCGGCGTCGTGGTAGCGACTGCACTTCACCTGGGAACAGCCCGCGCGCAGGTCAGTCTCGTTCTTCTGTCCCGTCGACTTTGTGTTCGCATTATGCGTTACGGTGCTTCCATTTAATCTTCCTCGTCCTTTCCTCGTCTACTTTTTCTTCTTCATATTTTCCTTAATCTTTGGTTCGAAGTGACGTCACCATATGATGATGGGTTTGGACAATCTGTACACGCCTTGAAGTCTTGTGCAGCTGCCCAGCAACCGCAAGTTGGCAACGGGGGTGGCATTCTGACACAAGCATCATCTCAAAAAAGAAACGGTATCATGAGCCGATGGAGCCAAAAGGAGGCCAATTGCCAGTGACCAATTGCGTACGCGTCCCCTTCTTGAACGATTTCCTGAATACGAGCTTCGAAGTAACCTTCGAGAAGTATTCGAAGTTCAAAAAGAGACTCAAATTTGTTCAAACCCGATTGGATGCAATCCGAGCCGGAATCTTGAAGAGCGTGCGGCTTACCACAGTCGTCAGGAAGGGCGTCTGAGCGCGCAGGTCCTCAACAGCTTCCTCCGAAACGTCCTTCATCCACGGGATCTGCGAGTCCAGGAACGCTTTCGCTTCCTTCGCGTCTTTGATGCTCAGCCACTCCTCGGGCGGACACGTGTCGGACCAGCCCATCGTGAGGCACAGCCGGTCCTTGGTGCCCGGGAAGAGGAACACCCCCAGGTTCCTGCGGATATGTATAGCAGGCTGTTAGCTTATGGTGGCTCAGCGGGTTATGCAACCAAAACGGCGATCGTTCCGCTGTCGCCAGAAACGAGTGAACAAAAAGTCAAAAACGTTTACGAAGTGTCCAGATCTGAACGTGTGGGTTCACAAGGAGGACGACAATTGGTTGTCTACATAGCACCGAGTGAGAAGCTTGGTCGCGTGAGAATGCGAGCCAGCCATCAGGTTGCGAATAAGGACTGTCTCAGCGGGTAACGGGGCGTCAGTGTGTCATCAGGGAAAGATAATTGGAAACAGGCGGTGGTTTTCAACACTGCAAGCGTGCCTCTGATTCTGAATATGGTGAAAGCTCACCGTGCTTTGGCAACAGGACGTTCCGAAAGCCCTCATGACACTCAAAACCACTGTACTAAAAAAAGTGTAGCCCAGCAAAAATCGATAACTCACCAAAGCAAATGGGCAAGCCCTTCTTTTATTGTTTTTTGCCCTGTTGAATACTTACTTGAAATCTCTAAGGGTCCGGTTCCAGCCTATGTCACAATTTGTAAACCGCTGGCTTTTTTCTACCAACCATTAAGACATTGGCACTAAGTCCTCTTAAAACCATATGCGTCAACCGGCGCCTTACTTGCATTTCGGCAGCGCGGGAATGCGAAGGATAGTGCCCGGGATGATCCCCTCGGGGGCCTGAATGTAGGTGATCACGGTCGCGATGTCGATGGTCCTGTGGGTAGAAATATGAATTGCTTAGCTTCGTACGATCTGTATCTGTCGGCGGGTCTGGGGTGCCCGGAAAGATTCCGGAGGCGCTTCTTGAGACTGTGCGCCTCTTTACGTACTTGATACAACGTCGGTGGGTTGGTAGTCTGTACGTCGATACATTGCTCAAACCAACGCTTGCCTCCACTCTGCCGTCCTCACAAGTAAACGAATTCAATCAGCCATGATACAACGGTGCAAATTGTCCGGATTTAAAATTCGGCGGAATTTCTTCTGAGCTCATCCGCCAAAGCCGTTGTATCGTTCCTGCGAGTGCATTTTGTGTCGTTCGTGAGATTTATGATTGAAGGCCTCTTCTCTTGAAAGCTCGTTACGTTTGAACAAAGAAATCGCACCATCCAACAAAGAAGAAAGCTCGAACGAAAGAAGACTCGCACGACCTCAATATGCTGTGAGACGCCGTCTTGCCTGACTTTCCGCAATCGCGTGTTAAAACCCCTTTCTTAATACGTCCCTGTTACAAAGCACCCCGACCGACGCGAAAGTGCCCAACTTCGACATCGAAGCCCCACTGGCCTGATCCATCCTCGCCCGCCGCACGCTGTTGCAAAGGAGCCCGTTCGACACGAAACTCTTCAGACTTCTCCCCTCTAGTCTCACCTCTGCTCGACGTCGAAGCCCCAGGTCTGCTCCATCATCGCGAGGCGCACGCGCGAGCGCACGCCGTCCGCGCCCACGAGCAGGTCGTACGGCACCTGCCGCGTCTCGCTCTTGGCGCCTGAGGCGTCCTCAAACGTTGCCACGTGGCCGCGCAGATCGGCGCCGGTGCAGCGCGCGTCGAAAGTGACCTGCGGAGCGAGGCCGCGTGTTTCGGAGCGACGTAATGAATCGATCTCATAAGATCTAGAATCGACCCCCTTCCCTCATAATCACTAGGGTCAGATTCTGATTACGAAATACAAGTGAGTCCGAGAGTTATCTACAGACCTCGGGATACCATCAACGGCGGTGCGATGTGAAGAAAGTGAACGGTGATGATTGACTTTTGGAATCGGACGAAGAAGGATGGTGGAAGGTCTACCGCTGCGAAACGCGTCGGCCGCTTTAAAGCGTTTCGGTGCAGTTCTTCTCAAAGGATTCGCTGACCAACACAATCTGTCGCATATGAACCGCTTCCAAGAAAACACTATCGGTAGACAGGGCGATCCACAAGTTCAGCTGCGAAAATTCCCAAACCCACGCTCAACTTTGAGTTCACACTTGGCAGATTGAACCACATTCAGCAGGAATAAACCAACACTTAGCAGTCTAAACCCACACTCAGAACTCGAAACGCAGACTCAGCATTAAGCTTCAAACCCAGGAATATATATTGTACCCACACTGAGCAGGTCGCTGACCCGCTCGGGGCCTACAATAGTTGCCAAGCCGACCCTCAGCGTTCTGAAGCGCAGACAGCAGTCTAGACCCATCAGAACTTTTATTTTTGCACTCGACTCTTTTCTCACACTCAGCAGGTCGCTCGACCCGCCCGGGGCGTGCCTCTCGAGCTGCGAAAGGTGCAAACCCACTGCCAAACCCTCTGCCAAACCTACTTCCAAACTTGCGCTCAGCAAGCCGCTCGACCCGCCCGGGGCGAGCCTCCTAAGTCGGAATGTTGCCAAACCCACTCTGAAAACCACTGCCAAACCCACTATAAAACCCACTGCCAAACCCACTGTCAAACCCACGGCCAAACCGACTGCAAACCCACTGCCGAACTCACGCTCAGCAGGTCGCTGGACCCGCCCGGCGCGTGCCTTTTCAGCTGCAGATTTTGGAAAACGCACACCCAGCAGTTTATGCTAACTGGATTCCTGAACCGCACTCGTAACTCCAAACCCGCACTTTATCTCCCTCAACCCAAAAATTGATTTCTTAACCCACACTCAGCAGGTCGCTCGATCCGCCCGGGGCGTGTCTCCCGAGCAGTTCCTCCAGCAGCCCCGCGCACAGCTCCATGCGGTCGATCGCCAGGGGCGGGTTCCACTCTGGGGGCATTCTCAGTGTGAACGAGCGCCCGAACATGGTGAATGTGAATGCGGTCACCGGGGTGCCCGCGGCCTGGAGCGCGCCCCACAGCCCGGGGATTGGCGCGATCGCGGCTGCGCCGCGCATGCCAAGGCCGATGGAGTACCTGGGGAAAAGGGATTGGGGCGTCATTTTTGGGTCAGTAAGAAATTACGAAGTTTTGAGGGACGGTTCCGATCTGGTGCGAGCGGCGTGAAGGTGAATGAGGAGGTGACCTAATTCGTCAAGGAGGTAAACGGTGTTGTCGGCGTATCAATGCGTTCGTCAGGAATCGGTGTCGAGCTATTTTTTATAAGTTTGGAGATGAATCTAGATGATTTTCTCCACGCCGCTTCGCCGTTTCGTGCTCGACCTTGCTCATCGAATGAATAGGTGCTAATCAAAGGACTGCTCAGGCGAGCAAGATTTAAGCTGATTGTTAAAGCTTCGAACGAGAGACCTTCATTGGAGAAACTATAGTTGAGCTCAAACGAAGTTCTGTTTTGGTCATTTACAAACACTCTCACGAGATTTAAACCTGACGGAGATAAGCCTGCACTTGTCACGCACAAAAACGTGTTGGGTAAGCAAAGACGTCCGAGGTCGTTACGTCTGACGTCTGACGTCTGACCTTTCAAGTTGACGTCAGAATAAGAGGCACCCTTTGTAAAGGGGACTTTTGCCCTTCGCTCTAGAGGTTCCCTTCAGCAAAACGGACCTTGCCTTGCAGAATTTTCTGTTTCCAATTCTTGAAACCGACATATTTGCAAGGAATGTTCAAGGCTTATGTCTCACGGAGCTCCTACGAAAGACGGTATCTAGTATTTAACAAAAGCGACTCTAAAGTTTGCATTTTTTCAAAGGTTGGCCGTTAACGTAACATTTAACTTAGCAGTAACAAGCTCCAGCAACAATAAGCCAAGCAGCCCGGGACGGGTTTGGTTCCTTTGGGGAGTCAGGGTGGCTACGCGTGCGAGCACGTGATTTTGCGGGTTATGATTTCAACGTCGAAGTAGAAGCTTACAATTGCTAGAGTTTACGGTCCAAATTGAAGAGACATGCCACCATCTGAGCCCACCTGCGAATGCCGGGGTCGGTGCTGTCCCGGGCCCTCCTCGGGTCGTCCCTCCAGTCAAAAAGCGACACCCGAAAGCGGCCCCCGCCCTTCTCCAGCAGATAGTGCGCGAGCAGCAGCCCCGCCGGGCCGGCCCCCGAGATAACCACCTCCAGAGGTTTGAACTGACCGCCGGTTAGCGGCTTAACCCCGACCGTTGGTTTGGCTTCTGTTGGGGCCCGGGTTTGTCGCTTGACCTCGGCGGGCGGGTTGAAATCCTGACCCGCATCCATGAGTGTTGGTTGGTCGTCCGGTTGCGGGTTATCCTGCGCAGGCGGAGATAGGTTCAAAACAGAGATGTGAGGACTTCGAGTGAATCTTAGTTAGCCGCTAACCCCGGCAGGGCTGAAAGCTTCGAGGTTCCCGTCCGTGATCTTCAATGGATTCTGAGTCAGTGGCTGAACCCGTGCAGACGGGTCAGCTTGTCGACCAATGGCCGGGGCAAGGGTTGCTTCTGCTGGTTTGTGGCAGAACGAACTTCGAAGTTGTTGTAGATAAATGAGCGGTCTCAATCAAAGCTGCAGAAGCAATCATACAAAAGTGGCGTCGCTTGGAGACCCATGTTAGCAGGAACAGAAAGACGCAAAACTCAAACTGCTGGAGATGAGGATTCTTCTTCTTAACATTTGCTACACGGATTACGTGGCCTAGCAAAGAAGAACGTGAGCGCTTCTTTGCCTTGTAATAGGATCCAGATCTCGCCAATGCCTTGTAGAAGATCAAAACCTCAAAAGGGCTTCTGCGATGTCCCTGATAGTTTCTTGTCGTCAAACGACATGAAAGCCTGAAATAAAAGACCACCAAACTCAGCTGATTAGTATCTACCTGCAACTCGATTTGCAATCTACTGGATCTCAAGTTTTTAAAACATAAATGTTGCCCTCGAGATGGTTCACTTTACGGACATCAGAAAAACGGAAATAAGTCGGAAGGGTCGAATGTGATCCATAAGTCAATGCTCAGGAAATCTGCCAACGGGGGAATAACACGGACGCTCAGCTTTTCAAAGAGTAAGCAAGATTGGGAAGGAAAGAAAGGAGGAACGATCTTAGTGGCCTGCGTTTCTGAGACTTGAATGTGACGAGCTTCTTGATTTTATTCACTTACTTTAGCTCCGTTCCTCAGCTTTCGAATTTCGGGAGCAGGAAAGGAAACAAGCTCAAGGTTCCAGCTGATAGTGAGGGTATATATACGTCAGGTCCCTGAATCTGACAATCTCACTTTCTCCCACTTGATTGCAGCTCGTGACAGAACTTATGCAAAGATCTGCTCCTGATTGCGCCTTTGCTCTCATGCAGTGTTGCAACATCAGAACTTCAATACCGGATACAGACGATGAGACAAAGCTCGAACAGAATTCTCACCTGCAGAACACCGCCAATTGAAGTTCAAATATGGCGCTGCCCGCTTACTGGGGAACGTCGAGCTGGATTAGGGAGACGTCTCAGAGACGACTGAGAGCTAAGAAGATTGCCAGTACCTGATCCTTAAAGCAGCGCCTGCTGATGATGCTGACGGAAGCAGGTCCAAGTAGTTGTCGCCACTGGCCGGCTTCAGGGAGGCGCTTAGAGGAAGTCAGCTGGAGCTCAAGTGCGCCGATTAACCTTGATCACTGCAATATGAAGTGCAACCAGCTCTCTGCCTGGAGTTTTGTAGGGGCTGCATCAGGAATATGAGCATCACATTTGAATGGCGCAATAAGACGCATTGGGCAATTACATTGAACGTCTCAAACGACTCTGGAAGAACATTGTACTGGTACGGCGGATGAATGAGGCCGTAAATCACGACAGCGTGAGGTCTTCAGTTCTACATTTTGATGCGCCGTGTCAAGGGTGGATCCGTTTGGGTACGCAAAATCATGCATGCAGGAGGAGCCTAGAGTCGTGCAGGTAACGCTACCCTGTGCTAGCCAGAGACTGTAGTAGGTAGCGCGCCGGAAGGGTACGCTACCCAGGTCACCTGGGCCAGGTTGCCGGCTGTGCCGTACAGTCCGTACGGCGTATCATTACTACACGACGCGACTTTCCGTAAAGTCGGCGTGAACCCAGCGCGAGCGCTGCACGATTTTCTCGGCCCAGATCACTCGAGTGACGACGGCGAGTGACGACGGCGAGTCCCTTTAATTCTCTTCTCTTTTTGGATGCCCGCGCACAGGACAGAAGCTCTCAATCTGCCACTGCGCGGCCTTCGTACAACGATGGGATGACCAGTTCAATAACCGATTAACTTGCTAACCTGCCGTGGTATTTCGAGTTAGAGACATAAGACTCACTCGCATACCAATGGAGTTGCTTATTGCTGATTGTCGAATCGATGGAATCTAGATTTGTTAGTCTCGTATAGGGTCACACGATCGTCCGGACATGACTTATACAGCCGTAGCAAGCTGTAGAGCCAACAAACTACCCCGGGTCTGCCAAAGACCGTGCTCCATGGCTCCATAATGTGGCTATATAAGGGCGTTGATATTAATGAGAACTCATCATCGGCCCGCAGTACTAAACTTGCAGACTCGGAGCTTTCTAGTTTGTGTCCACACTTGCTAAAAAGCTGGCATGCAGTATCAAAGCAATAAGAATTGCATTGCATGGACTTGCGTCGGACAACGTGTTTTGAGTTGCGTGCACAAAAAGCTTTGCATGTGCGTGAGCTTGGCACAGATCTTGCAGCCTGCTCATTAGCAGACCCGAGACATCGTTTCGATGAAAAGCAAATCGTGGAGGAATGGCACGATAACGACTGCAATCGCTCTGAACCTTTACATATGTCAACTTCGTTGAACGTTTTCCAACAACCCAGACTGTTGGATACTGAAAGGATAGGAACCTGACTGACTTTCAGACGTACTAGTGAACTGCTCAAAACGTGGGCGGATCTGACCGACCTTCAGAACAACGTACCTTATTAAGACCAATATTCGGAATGCCGCAATGCGCGATCCTACGAAGATCCATGAAGCTCTTTCGAGCCCAGCCACCTATAGTATCTGACCCGACCAGATTAACCAGCGCTTTCCCGACTAGGTTCCCCTCTCAAGCTCTTCAGGCCCTTGCTTCTCCAAGACTCTAGCTGACCCCTCGACTTGCCACGTCCCCCCAACGCATGTTACTCACTGTTGTCCTCTTTTGACTTTTTCTCCCTTTCCACGATGTCAAAACCCGTCCAAGGAATACCGTCAATAACCAACGCCTCTGCTTCCAAAACCACAGCTTCAACAACAACGGAGATCACACCACCAACTGAAACTTGCGCCACGCCCGCCGTTCCATCCCGCCAATTCCGAATCAGGACTCTCCACTCCCAAGAACCTCTCCCAAACCCAACTAAAGCCGCACTGCAACCTCCCCTAACCCGCAAACTAACCATTCCCTCAGGATCAGCACAGCTTGGCCATGCTGATGCACGCCTCCGGCTCCGACTTGGTCCGGTTGATGATCCCCCCCATCAGCGGTTCCCGCTCGCCGATCCTCTCAAACACGCCGTCCGCCCACTTGCTCAGCCTCAGCGCCGCCCACAGCAAAAAGGGACTCAGGATCGCCGCAACGAGCACGCACCCCAGGAATATCTTCTGGAAGATGTTCGGCCAGTACGGGTTCGCCATGTCGGACCAGATCAGGAAAACGATCAGCCACGGCGTGAGCGCCGGCAGCACCGGGAGCGTCGGGAACGCCGCGAGGACCGCTGACGTCAGCGCGAGCGCGCCGAGGAAATATATCGGCCACGCCATGAACGGGTGCACGGTGGTCGGGATCCAGTACGCCGGGACCGCGAGCGCGAGCAGCAGCGCGCCCGCGACCGCCACTTTGAGCGTCCACGGGGTGATGATCGCGCCGACGAGGACCCTCACCGGGTTCAGCCAATCGCTTTCCGAGCCGCAGCGGTTCCCAAGGCACGGCTTGACGCCGTCCTTCTGCCAGTCGGCGAAGCACTTGCGGCGCAGGCAGAGCGAGAAGATGAGGGCAACTAGGTAGAGCGTGCCCTGGAGCACGAGCGCGGGAACCTCGTGGCCATAGCCGACGTAGTCCCAGCGGTGCTGGTGCCACCAGGTGCCAAGTGGCAGCACGGGATAGGACCACCAGTACCAGGGCTTGAGCAGGGGGACGGACGGGAAAGTAACCACCTTGTTGGGGCACGGGATGTGCCACGCGTGGCTCAGGTCTGCAAAGAAAAAAGGGGAGTGGGTGTCAAGACAAGCAGTGGATTAAAACGTCTCTACCTAAATTCCCCGTCTTTGCAGAGATTTTGATCTTGTGGGACAGGAGATGTACATCTTTCTGCAAGAACATTGCTTCTGGGTAATGGTTTTATGCTGCAAGGTTGCCGAAGCACGATAGTCAATAAGCAAAGGCTGTCGAGTTGTGGAACTTCTCAATCGGAAGTCGGAGAATGCAGACAATCGCACCCAAGTGCACCAGAAAAGAAGGGTAGAAACCTCCTGATCAACAACAGCTGAAACCAACAACAGCCTTTGTGCGCCAAAGCGGAACTAGCTGGCAATACTTGAGCACGTCACTCCAGCAACAAGACAAACCGCAAGTCCCCAACAAAGCCGCTCTCGAAACGACTGAAGTAGCGTGAGAAGCTGTTCACTTACAGTAGTACCCAGCGTCCATCTGGTAACCAAAGTGCAACCGGTACATCTCTCCGTCGAGCACCGAGCCGTCCACGGGGGCATCGAACATGGGTGACATCAGCATCTTGGTGTTGGGGTAGTACTCCGTGAGGAAGCCCTGGTCGGCGCCGTCGCGGTTGGGAGTGGAGGCGATGCGGCTGAGCATGTTGGACAGAGTGGCGTTGGATGGCTGGAAAGCAAGGGAAAATTGGGGTTTAGAGAATTGGGGTTAAGGAAGCGGGTTACTGGAGGGGAGCCGTTTTCAGTCCAATCTGAGCATTGCTCAAAATTGGATCGGAGGGTCAGGATGGGAGGGAGGTAAGCGGAGAGTCCGCACGCATACGTCAGAGAAAATGACGTTGAATGGCTAGTGGGAAAACCTGGCAAAGAGAGGCCAGATGCAGACTAGGCCCCAAGAAGGGTTCGGATGCTTCTTGGATTGGATAAGTCTTACCACTGAAATCCCCAAAACAGGATCCATTCGCTCAGAACAACATACTCTTCATCAGATTCGAACAGGTTGCCCGGCCATACTTGACTGAGTATGCAGAGAAGTCCTTCTTCCAAAGTGAGTCTCACTTGCGCCATCAGTGTGCACACTTGAACAATGTGGGGCCAAACTTGCGAGCCCCTTGGACCCGACATTCAAGCGAAGCGCCTCTTACCTCTGGCCGAGTGGACGGAGTCTGATGGATGCAGTAGTTACCGTGAAAGGACTTTCCAGATAACGAACAGAGCAAACAAAACGAGACCTCTTAAGACCTATCCGAACATCCTCAAACCAACACAGTTGCATTTGTGAACTTTGCAAATGTAACCTCACCTCCAGCACAAAGAGCCCCGTGTGGTACGTGCACGGGTTGATGAACGCCGCGCAGAACTTGCCGCACTGGAACAACTCATCAATGTTCTGCAGAAACAGGTTGTCGGCGTCTAGCATGACAACGCGCTTGTACTCGGTGAGGCTCCAGCCGAGCAGCTTGTTGAACGTGTGCAGGAAGCGGTGCTGGAAATGCGATTCGGGACTTGCAAAGGGGTTCGGGACGTCGGACACGACCACAATGCGATGGCCCTCTTCAGCCCTGCAGGGTTAGAAACTCAGGGTTAGGCAGGGGTTTAAGCTTGAAAGGGGTTAGGTTCTGGTGGTCACTTGAAACTGCCAAAATCTGGGTTTGAGAACACGTGGGAAGATGAGAAAGCCACGGCCACGGCCAGGTTTATAAGGCCCTCGTAAGCCCTGCAGAGCTGAAAGGTTTCGGGTCAGGTTTGAACCGGGTCAGGTTTGAACCAGGTCAAGGGTTCAAAGCTCCAGACGTCACTTATTAAGAGTCTGAAACCACAAGCACAGGGTGAGGGCAATGCTTTGGGTTTTGGGAGGGGTACGAATCTAGGACTTTAAAGGTCATGCAGAAACTAGAGGGTTAGTGCTTGTAGGTCACTTGCAGGTCTCTGCTGTGAAGTGTAGGGGGTTTGAGAGATTAACACGCCACTTACAGACAGAACTTTTCAGATTTGCATGGCGGAAGGGGAATCAGGTTGAAAAGGGGGAAGGGCTTATGGAAGGCTTCAGTGTGAACCTTTGCAGTTCCGAGGTTCAGAGTCGACGGTTTAAGGGCGTGAACGGATCTGCATCGAGCCGTATGAAGGAAGGGCTTTGCTGTATTAGCATAGCAGAAGCAATGAAAGGAACATAGCTTAGTCATTTGCAGTTCTGATGGTCGAGTGCCTTGAGGGGCCACTGCAGAAGAGACGGCACAAGGCGCATGTGCTGTAGCCCTGTCCATGGGGACCAAAGGGCGGAGGGGTTCCGCATCAAAGCCCTTTTCGAATGTTGCGAAGGGAGACCAGCACTTTGATGGATGTAAAAAGCTCGAACGCAATGCCGGGAAGTACGAAATTCAGAATCCTGCAAAATCGTCTCATGGAGGTGGACGAAACACTTCTTACCAACAGGTTTGACATGCTAGACTCTGCGATTCGCAGCAAATCTAAGATTGATGGACACTCATGGTTTGCATGCGCCGAGCAGCATGTGCGCATAAACGTCCCCCGCCCTCTCCTTCCCAAACCCAGCACCGTTCAGGCACACCCTGTTCGATTTCATTTTACCTCCGACCTTACAGATTGCTGAACCCCAAAAATACATTCGCCTGCCTCAGGAGGCTCCTTCCAAGCGCCAGCCACCTGCGTTGAGCTTTTCAATTGTTTCGTCGATAGAGCACTTGAAAAAATAGCACCTTTCTTTGTTGTGATCGCATCTTCAGCCTTCTTGAGGCTTCATCCCCAGAATCACGCTGGAAAACAGCTTTTTAGAAAACTTCCAGGATCACTTTACTTCAAACAAGACGCATGAGTAGAATCATGCTGGAAAACAGCTATTTAGAAAACTTTCCAAGTATCACTTTACTACAACCAAAACGCATGAGCAGAGGCAGAAACTCATTCACTTACAGCTTGTTCAACCAGGGAACCGGCACGCCCACCGACGCCAGGATTACGGTATCTGCTTTTGGGTGGAAACTCTGAAGCGATCTGCAGAAGAAAAGGTGGAGAAATTGACCATGGGTGGCAAAATCAACCTTGAATATGTATACTTGTCCTTCGATCTATCATCGCAAAAGTGCTGATAGGGCTCAGAACCTTGTCCTGATAGTGACTTCCGCTTGGAAGCCAGGGTCAAGTCTCAGAGCAACGAGTAAAACAATCTGATAATCTGCAGATCCGCCACGGCTGCAAAGAGGTAACTGCAGATGCCCAATGTGGCTTGCGAGGAGCGAACAAAAAGGAGCCCCCGTCTTTTAAACTGCACCTAGACGCATCACAAAGTACAGCCGAGTGAAACCAGGTGCGCAAAGAGCATAACCCAGAAACTAGACTACGACGACAAAACTTACTACCACGGATGCCGATGACCACACCTCTTGTCAACCCAAGCTAAACCTAAGCCTGCAAGCGAACCCTTAATTGGTGATCAGGCCAGCCCTGCATTATTGTTAGGACCCCACTCAAACAAGATACTGACAATGTGGCCCAATGTCCTGAACGTTGCCTCCATATGCACTATTAATAAGAAAGTTTCATGACAGATGACGCCATCAACATGCTGACTGCAAGCAGACGCGACGGGATGATAGCAAAAGGCCATCATTCCTGCTGAGCATGCCGGTCTTCATCACATCACCTCTTCAGTGGTGCTCCTGGTGTCAATTAGACACCCTGGCCCTTGAGTCCTTCGGCTAGACTTTGATGAAGAACCCAAAACACAGAAAAAAGTGGTGTAGCGAATGAAAAAAACAGGGCATGCCTGCCTGTACAGCTGCCTTCCCAATTCCTCTAAGTGATTGCACCAAATCCAAGCCTGACTGTTCCACGAGATCACATACTAGTCATCTAGCTTGCCTCCAGCCTGCAAAAAATCCTTGGTGGTTTTGCACTCTTCAGGAGCATTTCAAGATTTTGCTGATTGAACCCAAACTGGGCAAGCTGAAGTTGAACCTTTGCAACATTTTTCCGCACTGAGCAAGCTGACGGGTGGCCTTCACCCAGGATTGAAAGGCCATCGTCAAGGAGACTACGTGAACTGACCAGAGACAGAAAACTAGGACTGTATAGGATAAGTAGCAGATAGATTGCAGAAGAAACTAGAGTACAAAAAGAGCAGATTGAATTTGACCCTCACTTGAGCATGACTCGTGTGGCAATGTAGAACTCATAGTCGCGAACCGTGCCCGTGTACAATATTGTTGCATACGCGTTCTCATGCTTGGGCCCCCCGGACTGGCTGTAGGTCTGCACAGCCTGCCCATCGGCGACTCCACAGAGCGCACCCAAAAGCACAACCGCCAGCGCCAGCAAGGCCGCCATTTGGGGGGGCTCCTTCTTTGCCTCCACCAGGCTGGGGGCTGGGCCCCCGGGAGCTGTGCGCGTGTGTCCCTTTTGCTGAACTAGAACCCGAAAACTTTTGCTTCAGTCTGTTTTGCGCGGACCGCAGGAGGCTTTGGTACCTCACCAACTGCCGGCCACTCGTTGACTGCTACGATTGCGACGGGCCACCCCCTGCTGAAGCCCTGCTTCAGAGCTGATGTAAGATTCAAAAAGGGTTGTGATTGCAGAAGGCCCGAACAACGTTCAATGAAACAGACCTCCTAGATCTGGAACCTTTCTGTTTTTCCCAGACTAGCAAAAACTGCTTGCCGGACCCAGATCCAAGCAGATGGGTGCTCCCGATTGTCAACGCACAGCAAAGCCCAATCAATTTAAAAATAAGCTCAAACGAGCTCAGCTCTAGTCCTTTCAGCTTGCAGATTAGCCCACGGTGTTCGCTGTTGTGCATGAACAGGCCGTCTTCTTTTCTAGACTTAGGACAGCCACCTCAAACGAGCCTCGGGCTGCAGGCAAGCAGAACGGGCTTGGCCCGTTTCCACAGTCACGATGCTTGGAGGAAAGACAGACCACCGCCCTCGTGTGCACGAAATAGGTATTCAATACCGCCCAACAACTTCTGCTCGTGTCGAAGATGCCTAGGTATACACAGCTCAACCTGCAAAGCACCTGTGACCTTCCCCACGTTCAGGAACCAGCATTGCAGCAAGCACTTTGAACAGTCTTCGATCCGAGACTGAAGTTCACCTTGCCTGACTACGGACCCGGTAGCTTCCGGTTCACCAATTTCGAATCCAAGATTGCCTGGCACCAGGCAAATCTGCATATCGCAGCAAGCGAATCTGTGTCGCTAGAGCCTGGATGTTGCCAACGGCACTCGCCGCGAATTGCTTCTGCAAAGGGGCTGAGACTGAGGCAAAATAACTGTGTGTCAAAACAGAAATTTGAATCAGGTAGGTACCGGTAGGATACCCGGTACTTACAAGGCAGGTAGCCGGTAAAAAGTATCTTAGATGCTTGACCTGGCCCGGCTGGTATCAACCCGGTACCTTCTTTGCTGCTCACCGCTCACTGCTCAGTGCTCAGAGTGAGGTCCCCATGAGGAATATTGTTTCCCTCGCATCGAACACCAAACTCTGTCATATGGCCCGGAGGTTTCCAACCGGAGGCAATTGGATGAGGAGCACCCGCCTCAGAGCCCGGTCGGCGGTACCTTAGAGTGCCTACTCCCCAGCCGGGCGTCTCGAAAGCTGAATTGTAGATCCCCTTCTCCTCTACGGCGACCCTTCTACGGTACACACTTTTGTTGGCACCGGCGTGTGCTCGAAAAAGGTGGACTGTTTGAACCTACCACTTCTTTGCACCCAAAAAATCTGCAAGACCGGGTGCCCAGCAGGCCACCTTGTACCACGTGGTAGTCAATGATTGGCTAAAATTTGACCAGTGACCACTTCAGAATTTCAAGGTGCAACCCAAAACTAGGAACCCCCTATCTCCGGTACCTACCTACTACCTCCCTGGCTTTGCCCTGCCGCGCGGGATCCCTGGCATATGCACAACCATATGCTCTTGACCACGCATATGCTAACGCTAGGTTACTGATGGATAACTAGGTAGATATGTTCATACAATTACCAGGGGGCAATGAAATAAGTTTCGTCAAAGAACCTTTACCATAACAGTTGCTTTACCGTATGCTGCCAAGTTCGACCCGCTCACCCTAGATGCGTTGAACAGCGACCGAACAATGACACCGTCATGACACCCTGGGCCGGTCTCACACTCGAATCGTCAATATTGATTGAACCTATTATTAAATTTTCTGCAGCAGGCTCCCATATCCACATACAGCATTTTTGCTGTATTAGTAGTACCTGCAGCTGTAGCCACTTTGGTGTTCAAGGCTTGCGCCAGCAGACTAGGTAACTTTGCTAGTCTCGAAAATACGTCATTGATGACATCAGCGATAGCAGGGGTACGGTACGGTACTTTTAGGATGTGGTCGGTACCGCCTGGTTCAACCGGGTGCGGTAGGTGCTCGGGGCAACGCGGGTTACAAACAGGGCTAACCACTGATCTTGGTGAGGTTAGCTGGGGGGTTAGGGTGGGTACGGGTGGGCTCTGGCGGAACGCCTTAGGGTTTGCTCAATGCTTACCCTTGGGGTTTTCGTGTGTGTTAGGGTGTTAACCTTGTGTGACATCATCAGTGACGCAAATTGTAAGACCAGCAGACTTACGTACCCACGTCGCTTGCGCGCCGTGAAAGTGTTCAACGGTACCGCGCAAGCTGCAGTCTTGCAGGTACCATACCCCTACGGTACGTACCTTATGTCCGATGTGGCTGAATAGAACATTTCGATTCGCTGTGCCTCACGAAAAGACGGTCATCTCGACCTTTCCCGCCAACCTGGATTTTCAAAGTGCGCCCTTCAAAGTTCAAGTTGGTGCCAGACTGAGACAGCGGACCAAGTAAGGCTGTGGGTTCTCTCTGCCCTCTTGGAAGTTGGAGAAGGAGGTGGCGGCCGTACCAGTCGCATGCACCTTTCTTGGAGTTCACAAAAAGGGAACGTCGGTGCTGTTGGCAGGTGCTGGATTCGGCTCACCATCTGACAGCCTACTAGTCCAGTGGGGGCCGCAGACAAAAACGCAAGGAAGTTGAAACCCAGTTGTTCCACTGTACCGATTCCATAGGTACGCTCCTTGATCTTGACTTCAAGCAGTATCAATTGCATTAAAGTGTAAATTCAAGGGCAAAAGATTACCAGGCAAAAAGTGTACCAGGACACAGGAGAGAACTTTGCGACATGGCAGATTGTTCAAGTTAGCATTTTTGAAGAAATCATATTTTTGCCTGCCTTTGGGTTGCTGGCCATCGGATTATCTTTGGCGGGAAGCGGGTCAGTCCAAAAGTCAACAGTTGCTGCAACCTACCTTTCACATAAGAAGTGGCGCCTTTGTTGAAGGCGAATCACAGCTCTTTAGGTATGACTTTTAGGCATGCTGATGCCCCTGTTCTCGCTGCTTTAGGAGAACCTCTTATGGTGACCCCAATCAGCCATCAATATGCCTGCTTTTCCATCAGCATTCAATATTTTCTTTCTCTAGAGGGAGAAAACTTTCTACAATTTTCAATGCCGTGTCTTTACATATTTGTTCCTCAATCAGAGGTCTCCCTTTGTGCAGGTGCCTCCCAGTCTGCGGCTCTGTTCCTGATACTCTTACTATTGTAGGCTGGTTACATTCTAGGGTTTGCAAATCAGGTCAGCTTTTTACGTCGTGGCAAGCCACTCCATCTGTGACCGTTAGTATCGAAAGGGTCGGAACGTCTCTGGCTCCAGTGAATTGAAGCGATCTTAGATCAGTGCGCTATGGCGAGCAAAGTGAGCCGCGAAGCCATCGGCATGATGCGAGCAATCTTGGGCGAGGGCCCCTCAGAAGCCGAGCTCATCCGCTGCCTTTACATGGCCCGCTCTGATGTCGCCCTCGCAATCAACCACTACATGGATTCAGCGAGCACTTCATACGCACGAGTGCCCCCCCCTCGGAGGACGTCTGGGCCCCCCCCAGCTGAAGAAGCCAAAGCGGATCCCCCTAGAACAGGAGAGCAGGACGAGAGAGCGCAAATTGGGGGTAATGCAGAAGGGCAGACGGAAGTCTATCCTGAGACCCCAGGGAGGGGTGTAGTCGATGGTGAAATGGAGAGGGAGGAGTGGGGAGGCGGAGAAGGCGAAGAATTGGATGGGAATTTGGGATCTGGTCCGCTCTCTTCCTCCCATCCAGAAGCAAACGCTCGTGCTCAAAGATTGTCAGGAGACACGGACCACTCCATTCCCGATCCTGCCGCTGGGCAAGCGCTTCCCGCTGGGGAACCTTTCAGAGAGCCGGCTGAGGTCAGAATGCCCGTCGTTGACATAAGCCAACACAGGCCCCGACTGCCGAGCAAACCGGCACACCCGGGGGGGAGTGTTCGGACGCCGATCGATGTGGGCCCTGACACCGAGCTTCCAGCGCCCTTCTTAGCGCGCGCTAAGAAGCAGAACCAGCGCCGGGGTGGGTCCGGCGAATGGTGGCTTCTACGGGAAACGCAGGTTGTCGGGTACTCCACAACAAAGGGACGTAAGCTCGGGCCGGGGGACGAGGTCACTTTCGCATTTCCCAAGCAGGGAGGGAGCAAGGCGGAGAAGAAGAAGCTTCCGTTCCGGGGGGGTAAACCTGCTGGCCAGAGCATGGAGATCGTCAGGTTCTCGACCAGTAGGGCCGGTGAGGTGGGGCGTCTGCCGGGGGACTTAGCGAAGTGTCTGATTCCGCTAGTGGGGGAGGGGAAGGTGAAAGTGGAGGGGCAGTGCATCGCGGCGCCCGACGCGCTGACTATGATGTGCAACGTGGACTTGTCTATAAGGTGAGTTGCTGCGACGCTTTTGATGAGTGTGCGAGCCAAGTACGTAGATGTTCGCCTTGCAGCTTGCAAATGAGGTAGAAGGAGGCACAGCAAAGGTGCTGGCTGATCTCACGAACAGGTGCCAGTGCAGAGGTGTGTTTGATCTGTCGGCGAAAGTTGCTGGCTTGTAGCTTCTTGTCATTGCAGCAGAGATGCTATTTATAGTCTTGCCCAGGCTCTCTTATGATCTTTTTTGCTGGAGATTCATCCTGGTCGATTCGGCCCTACTTGAGAGTCGCCATCTGCACTTTTCGGATTGCATTTCGAGGGCGGTAGTTACACACCGATTTACCTGGAGGCAGGTCATGACGAGAAACACATCATCAAATGAAGTCACCCCACCTGTTTATTACCCTTGTTCACACCCCTCTCCTACCGTAGCGCCAAGGGAATTACCACCTTTTTGTGCGAATAATTAATTTCGAAAGATTTTAGGTTTCACCGAGCGGAATGGATATTTTCCAACATTTCGCACAAAAGGCGAATTTGATTTTTTTTGCCCATTTTCCCCTTTTTTCTCAGCCGTATGACAATACTTTTACCATTATTTTTCATTTCGTCATTTCAACCTCGGATTTCAAATAGTTTCAAAATTTTCGCACCGACCCCAAAATATTTAATTTCAGGTTAATTCCCTTGGCGCTACGGTACTTCACGATCAAGGTCCAGGTGGTCTTCTTCCTTTGGAGCATGTGGCAAAAGTATCTAACCCTTGTTGACTCTTTCTGATCACCCGCACCTCGTCGCTGCAGAATCTATGTCAGCCGCTCCCTCTTCACCAAGCCCGGCACTGGTCCCTCGGCAAACGCCAACTCCGCCCTCTCAGAGACGACCACCGGCCACCCGTTCTCCTCCCTCCTCGAGCAGCTCGACATGCGCCCGTTCCAGAGGGCCCAATTCACACCAGAGGATTTTTTCACCCGGAAGAGGGCACTTGCCCTGGAAGGCGACGGGAACGAGAATAGGCCCAAGAGGGCCTGTGTGGCGGGTCAAACGGCGGTGCCGGTCCTAAACGGAGCGGAGGCGGGGACAGAGGAAGCGGAGGTGGTTTTGGACGATAAGGAAGTGGACCGCTTGGTGGGCAGCTCGGATATGGAGGGACTAGAGGTGAGAGAATTCGTCTCGCGCTCGTCAGCTTTGCTTGGACAGTCTGGGGAGTTTGAAAGAAAGACGTCAGGCTTGTGTCGAGCATCTTGGGGAAGAAGTCTAGGTTAGCAGGTCTTGAGAGGGGTTTATTTTCTCGGTCTCTGAAGTCGGGGCTTAAATAAGGAATTCATGTTGGTGCGGAAATATTTGCGGAGCTACCAAACCAGCATCGGACAAAGTGCTGTCGACCGCAACGACCCTTCCTCTGCCTGCCATTTCGCAGATATTTGCTGCACCTGATGAAGAGTAATAAATAAGGCTTCTTTGATTGATTCAAACCGCCAGTCTAATTTCACAGGAAAGACACTTTGTTGAGCTGATAGATGAACGCTAGAAAGCCTACTTGTTCGGGGCTCATTGGCAGCTTTCAACCGACTGACCTTAGGGATGCTCCGCCCTTTGGATGCTTTCAAGGCTTTGCCAAGAAACGATAGGCCCGCACTCGAGCTCTCGAACCAGTGGCAGAAATCGGCTTGTCCGACCCACTGACACTTTCCGATTGACTAACATGAGCTCTCATTTTTTCGCCATAGGAGATGGAGCCCGCCCCCGAGATGCTCTCCAAGCTGCGGGCGTATCAGAAGCAAGCCCTCTGGTGGATGTCGAACCTCGAGTCCGGGGACGGCTTAGAAGATGCGGAGAAGACGCTCCACCCGTGCTGGGAGGCTTATAAGTTATCGGACCGGCGGACGCCGTTTTACCATAACGTGTTCAGCGGAGAGGTCACGCTCGACTTCCCGAGCGCGCTGACGACTGCGAGGGGAGGAATCTTGGCGGATGCGATGGGGCTTGGGAAAACGGTGAGGACTGCATCTCTGTTTGCCATTCCATCTTCCATTTTTGCCTCTTTTGTTTGCACACGCTGTAGAACCTGGATTAAGTTGAGGATCCTTTTCTGCTGCGTTTCTTGTGTCTGCTTCGATTAGTTACAAACGGGCGCTTCTTCTCACGCGCTGTTGGAACGCTGGGTTTTGGATCGGGCTTCGATCGTAGTGATGATTGTGCAGCAATACTCCAAAAGTGGTATTAAATCCCGCCTGGAGACAACGTGTCTTTCGTCATCGGTAGGCTTCCGACAACAAACGGATCGGACTGATTCTTTCAGCTTCTTTTCCAGGTGATGACGATATCGTTGATCGTGACGAACCGTGGCAGGGGGGGAGACACCCTCACCGACGCCGCCCGGCCTGCCGGGGACGCCTTCGGGGGGGCAAACGAAGCAGGCGGGGCCTCTCCCCTGCACGACGAAAATCTCGAGGGGGGCACTGACGCAGCCAGGTTGCAGAGCCACCAGCAGGCGGGGCCACTGAGTCCTCCCCCCCTGGAGAGCACGAAAGTCCACCCCCTGGAAAGCAGAAGAAAACGAGCGCGGCGAGGAGGGGGCACGCTGATCGTCTGCCCGATGACGCTGCTCTCGCAGTGGAAGGCCGAGGTCGAGGCCCACGTGGCGCCCCGGGCGCTCTCAGTGTACTGCTACTACGGCACCGACCGCGCGCGCGAGCGGCGGGTGCTGACGTCAGCGGACGTCGTCATCACGACGTACGGGGTGCTGGCGTCGGAGTGCGGGCAGGAGAACTTTCTGGAGGACGGTCCGGTGCATTCCGTGCACTGGTTCAGGGTTGTGCTGGACGAGGCGCACAGTATCAAGGCGAGCAAGACGCATTCCGCGAAGGGCGTGTTTCACCTGACGGCGGACCGGCGGTGGTGTCTGACGGGAACGCCGATCCAGAACAAGCTGGAGGACATCTTCAGCCTGCTGCACTTTCTCAGGTGAAGCGCGCAACAGCCTACAAGATCTGTTCGCATTTGCGGTCTTTGGGAACTCCCGTGCTCTGCTTTTGACTAGGTTGTCCCGATGCGAAACAAGCTGGAGGTTATCTTCAGCCTGCTGCATTTTCTCAGGTAAAATGCACGACAACCACGCTCCTTCGTTTTCATGGTGATTGCCATTGGAGAAGTGTCGATGTTTCCCCTTTTTTGTATCGCTAGCAAGCCTGGTTCGAAGACAGTCTGCTGCACTCTGGTAGTATGCGCTACAACCACGTTCTTTCTGTTCATGCGGATTGCGATCAGAGAAGAGAATCCATTCCCCCCCCTTCTTATGCTTCGCTAGCGTCGTAATTCAAAGGAAGGTGATGCAAAGAACGTGGATGGGAATACGCAACTGGCTCGCGTACAACCCTAAGATCAATCGACTACTGCGGGTGCCTTTCAACACTTTCAATGGTAAAGAGCTTCAATCTCTTACATTCAGAAATCTTAAAACCGAGACCGTAAAGCTGACACCTTTAAATTGGTTTCTCAAACCTCAAACTTCTCATTTTACATCCTGAGTCGATTCCTCTCTCGCAGGGTGGAGCCGTGGGCGAACTGGGGTTGGTGGAACAAGCTAATCCAGCGGCCGTACGAGGAGGGCGACGAGCGAAGCCTGAAGCTCCTACAGGCGATCCTGAAGCCGCTCATGCTGCGGCGCACCAAAGACACCACCGACAAGGACGGCAAGTAAGGGGCTTACTAATAGAACAAACTTGAAGCTTTTCGGTTATTCTCAGATTCTACCCTCTGTTGGTTCTTATTCTCAGAAAGCGAGATAGTTGAAGCCGCTCATGCTGCGGCGCACCAAGGACACCACCGACAAGGCCGGCAAGTAAAGGTTGGCGTTCAACCGAAAAGCTGCGAAACACATGTCAGACTTTTTTCGAGCTTTGAGCCAATTGAATGGTCCAGTAGATCCACGTGGTTAGAAAGGTGCATATCAAAGCAGTATTCCGGATTGAGAAGTACCGTACCTCCTACTTGGCGGTACTACAAAGGCAACACTGGAGGCCAAGTAGGTTTCTGGTCGACGCGCACCCTAAGAACTTCAGCAACGCCTGTAGCCTAACGAATGCTCGCTCAAATTCTGTTTTACTCCTCACTCTGTACGAAGGTGTTTGAAGCCGATCATGCTCCGCCGCACGAAAGACACCACTGTCAAGGAGAGCAAGTGTGGGTTTGCGGTTTCGGTGGTCTGCCGTATCTATAACTTCTTATGTCGTCCGGAAGCCGTTCAAATTGCACGGCATCCACGAAACATGGACCCGGACGGCCGATAAGGAAACTGCAGCATTTTGTGTCTCTCTTTCACTCTGCAAATTTCGGTGCTCAGAATTTGAAGTATTGGCCGCACATGAAAGTCCATCGCGCTACGACACCCCAAGGACACAACGGGGGAGAACGATAACTGACGTCTCACTGTTGCGGCTTAGGCGCTTTTCGTCCAGCCAAAAGGAGCGCTACTTTTCGTGCTGTTCTTACCCACTTGTCACCTTTGATAGATTACCTCGTTGTGTTCCTATCTGACTTACCTAGCTTCTTCTTTTTCAGTCCCAATCTGATTTTTCCCTTCCCCACATGGCTGTCCCCAAACTTTAACTAGGACGAGGGATACTTTTGTCCTGTCTTCCTCTGGTTTGTCCTGACGCACTGACTCACCCACAAACCCTTCTCTTTCCAGCCCCATCCTGGTGATCCCCTTCTCTTTCCAGCCGACCTGGCAATCGTTGAGTTCGAATTCGACGCAGAAGAGCGAGACTTTTCGGTTGTGGTTCAGTTTATCTTCCGAGATTTCACTGGGTTTGAAGGATTGATTTACTGGGTCTCGCGCTGACTCCTCCAACCTCTTATTCTTTATCCAGCCACATCCTAGTTCTTCCCCCCCGCCGACATGGCGGTCGTCGAGTGCGACTTTGATGCGGAGAGGCGCTTTCTTCTTGCTTCTTTTCTTCCACCGTAACAAAGTGTTTGGGATTCGGGCTGATATATTTGGACTTTCTCCTCCCCAGCCCCATCCTAGTTCTCCCCCCCGCCGACATGGCGGTCGTCGAGTGCGAGTTCAACGCAGAGGAGCGCGACTTTTACGACGCCCTCTACACCAAGTCCAAGCGCAAGTTCGACAGCTTCGTGGAGGCGGGCAAGGTGCTGCACAACTACGCCTCCATCTTGGAACTGCTCCTACGGCTGCGCCAGGTGAGCTATTTTTATCCTCAAATCTAAAGATTCGGAAAGCTCGAGAAACCCGACACCCTCGACTCTACTAGAAAGTTAAAGCCCTATCATCCTGGAACAGCTGCCCCAGGTCAGGTCTTTAGGCTCCGCTGGATCTTAGAGCTTCAGAATTGTTGAGGGTCACAATGAGCCGGGAGCGCAAGAACCGCTATCAGAAGGCTTTGAGGATTCGTAAAGCAATTACCTCACGTGTTTTTGAAACTGCCCCATGTCTGATTGAAAAGAGTTTCTCCTCATTCCTCCCAGTGCTGCGACCACCCGTTCCTGGTCCTGAGCCGCGGCGACACGTCCGACTACTCCGACCTCGACAAGCTCGCCACGCGTTTCCTCAAGGGCCCCCCCAAACCGCGCAACCCCCCCCGCTCGCCGTCGCCAATTCCCACCAACGGCCCGGAGGGATCCCCCGAGCCTGAGGCGGCCGCTGTGAATAGGCCCTCCAAGGCCTACATCACGAACCTGCTGGAGGAGTTGAAAGCGAAGGGGGGGAAGGTCGAGTGTCCGATTTGCATAGACAGTGCGGAGGACGGGGTATTAACACCGTGCGGGCACGCCATGTGCCGGGAGTGTCTGTTCAACTGTTGGCGGTCACCCGCGGGGGGGCTGTGCCCCGTCTGCAGGTGAGGTGCTTCGAGGCGAAGAGTGTGCGAAGCGCATGGTTCCAAGCTTGGGGTTTGCAATCCCATGGTTCTGAGTTGCAGGCTCGAAAGTATGGTTTCGAAATGTAGGGTGTTGGAACTTGACGGTTTGAGTCGCAGGTGTTTGAGTTGTGGGTCGGAGAGTTTGGATTTTCCGATGGATGCAGGTATTGTAGGCAGTCCGAGTAAGCTATGGGCTGGGAGCTACAATTCAGACGCTGGTGGGCGCCAGCGGCAAGGTTCTTGCCCCGTCTGCATATGAAAAAAGGTCCTTCTTAGCAGGCTTGGGGTGTTCGGCACGCAAGTCTGTATGTAATTCGGGAGTAAGGGTTTGCCTGCTAGAGGTGCTCTGTTAGATGTGTGGACTCGGACCTTTTGTCTCTCTCTTCCTTTTGGCCAGCTTTACAGGCAGCCGCCTCCGCGCTTAAAACATGGCAGTCAGGCAGACAAATCAGGGGGATGCCGAACGTAGCTCGACTAGCTCTTTCGGTGGCACTGAGGCACATGTACCAGGCGTTTGGATAGCAGAATCCTGTTTACTCGCTTCGCAAACCCTTGTTAATGCGTCCGTTAGATCGTTAACCACCCCCTAATACAAGTCTCGGGGCCCAACTCATCTCGGGACATTTTCGCACCAAGACCAGCTATATCATTCTCCGTACGGATATACCGTACCAGCGTTTGATTTCGTCAGGTTCGACGCCATATGTCTAATTATGAAACGTTTGCGGCTTTCGGCGTCCCTAGCGTTACCTGCTAAACAGGCCCATTAGCGGTACATTACCGCCCAGAATATTTTCCAGCTGAATTCGTCAGGCTATATAATCATTTATTGTTTGACGAAATCAAACGCTGGTACGGTTATAGTCACGACACTGTGTAATATTTGACCTCGTCCTTTTGCCAGGCAACCGGTGCAGCGCCCCGAGCTGATCACTCTGCCGAGCGACAGCCGGTTCCAGATCGACGTGGAGGCGCAGTGGCAGGAGAGCGCCAAGGTGCGCGCGCTCTTCGCGCACCTCGAGGAGCTGCGGCCACGTGGCGAGAAGAGCATCGTGTTCAGCCAGTGGACCGCCTTCCTGGACCTCCTCGAGATCCCGCTCAAAAGGTGCGGGTCGCCGCGCGCTTTGTTTTCGAGATTGTCTGTTTGATCGCGTTCAGGCCTCTTTTCCAGCGGTTTTAACTTCCCTTTCAAAAGGTGCGCACCGGCAAGCAAATCGTTATTGGAATGGTTCTTTCGAATCGTGCTGACGGCTTATCTGACGTTCCTCGTTGTTCGCTGTCATAGTGGGTCATCGGAAAGCGCTCGAGACTTCCATTTGAAGATGAGGTTCGGCGCCAGGAACAGACGTTTTAGTATTCACTCAATATTTGCGGCTTTTGCTAGATGATGAGCCGTTCAAAGCCTCTCCTTCATGTCAGCTTGTCTCCGGTCGTTGAAACAAAAAGAAAAACGTTCAAGCTTAATGCCTAACGGACAAGCGCTAAGCATCCGTTTCCGATTGGAGTCGGAGCGCCAATACTCTCAACTTCATCGCAGCAACCCGCCCAGATGCACTTCTGACCAACCCGATCACTAACCTCGCTTCGTAACTACAGGCGGAAGTTCGTGTACGTGCGCTTGGACGGCACGCTGTCGCAGCCGCAGCGCGAGAAGGCGATCAAGGACTTCACCGACCGGCCTGACGTGGGGGTGATGCTCATTTCGCTCAAAGCGGGGGGCGTGGGAATCAACCTTACGGCGGCAAGCAATGCTTTCCTCCTGGTAAGCTGCCTGACCGACTTCCGAAACCAGCTTCAAAACCCGCATCTTGGAGAAGGAAACTCAAAGGGGACGGTATGGGTTTGTTCATCTAGCGGCTTGCCGAAGATTGTGTATGCCAGCGTGCGCGTTTGGAGGAGTCTCGGTCTTTGAACCGAGAGTCAGCATTTCTTAACATCTGACTTGTCGCGTCAGAATTGACACTCGAAAAAAGTACGGCCGAATTGTAACTCGGCTGTGCAGACCGGTTAAACACGGACACTTTTGGTTACATGACGCAGACTCCCTGGAGGAGCCCTGGAATCATAAGCTGATGGAACCCAGATTCGAAGCGGTGGAACCCTGATCCCCAAACGCTGACCTTCGCAGGACCCTTGGTGGAACCCCGCGGTGGAAGAACAGGCGATCATGCGCGTGCACCGGATTGGGCAGACGAAGAACGTCACGATCCGGCGGTTCATTGTCAAGGTCCGTTTCATGCGCTATCATGCCTGTAACACGTGCTGTCTTAGCCCTTAAGAAAGGAGGATCGAATGTGAGTTTATGCGAATGAGAACCAGCAACTACCGTGGTTTACACGGGCTCACTTGCTTGGCATTCCCGGTCGCTAAGATTTGCGAAATGCAGACTCTACGGACTTTCCGTAAGGGGTTCTTTAGTTGGAGCTGTCGAGAACACAACCAACAAAGCTCGTAGCTTCTCTACTTATGCCTCTCAAAAAGTTGGTTATTAGGTTCCTGACCAGATTTCGTCTGACTTTGATTACAAATGTTTGTGCGCAGGGTTCCGTTGAGGAGCGCATGCAGCAGGTCCAAGCACGGAAGCAGAAAATGGTGAACGGCGCGCTCACTGATCAGGAGATGAAGTCCGCTCGGATAGAGGATCTGAAAATGCTGTTCAGGTAGAGTGAGCCCAAGCGACGAGGTCACACTGATTGTGCTAAAACGTGCAGCCACTTATTTTAACAGCCACAAACATGCCCTCCGAACGACATGTGGTCGTTCCAGGGGAAGTTGCTGCTCCTAAGGCCCGCCTGATCTTTTGGCTCGTCGGTCTCACCCAGCTATGGTCAACGACCATGATTCAGACTTCTTGTTGGTCACTGCTCGACGACTGTTACGCATACAAGGACGTCCGAGCTCTCGGAGCTCACACTCCTCATAGCGTCTTGTCTTTACATTTTCTGCTTATACGACTAGTCACGTTTGATCTGAGATCCGGGAAAGGCAAATCACGTGCTTAACTATTTCATTAGACTAAACTTTTACCGGAGCAGAGAGCCGGGCTTGTTTCAACATGCGATTGGACCCGATACAGAACGCGTCTCAGTCTGATCCTGCCTAGCTTAGCTACTGTTTACTACAAGTTTTGAGTTCATGGTTTGCGTTGAATGTACATACCGTCCCCAAGCTATACAGGATATGTCAGTGTCAATGTATGTCTCGCTGAAGTATATAACAACTAGTGCTGGGTTGCGTCGCCAGGTAATAGAAAGTCTGTATACAGTCAGCTTGGATATATCACACATCCCGACATTACGAGGGATCCGCCTGCCTGAAAGGCATGCAATTAAACTACACATGCTTTCAGCATGTATTTAGCCTGAGCTTCAAGTTTATATATACCGGCCGCATACTGCATCGTCCAAGTTTAATGCATGCCAGTGCGCACTGAAGTCTCATGCTCGCGAGCTAGGACCAACGCGCGGTGGCATGTGCGGCATCATTGCAAATAGTAAAGATCCTGTCGGATCGATGGTGGGTATACTTCTGCACCGTGCGTGCATGGCGGCATCGATTGCAGTCCCGGTGAGGAGCAACTTTCTGTAGAGTATGCATAGCGCGTGCCACTGACATGGATGCGTCAAGCATCGACTCGTCATGCTGCAGGCCTGCAAGCCCCGGCCAAAAGCACATTTCTAGTTTTTCCGAGTCATTTTCGTGGTGGATTGCGAAGTGAACATCTGAAAAGGTGAAAGGCAAAGGCGTGCATGCATATGTCCTGAACCTATAATTACTGCATAACACAGAGTACACATAAGCACAACTTTTGTAAATATGTATGAACAATGAAGGTCATCAGACTCCCCTTCTCTTGCCCTCCTTCTGCTTTTAAGGTTTTCCTGAAGCTAAGGAGTGCTTCTCAAGTTCTCCTGAGCTCTTCGTCCGAAATTGCGGCTTAAAATGTACGGCGTATGACAGAGTCGGGTGAAGTCTTCGATCCATTGGCCCGTTCCTTCGTAGGAGCTGGGCCTGTACTACATTCTTCGTTTCTCGTGCCGCTGAACACGGAAGAATCTTCAACGGCCGACTCTACTTCTGCGTCGGCGGCGCCCGGCTCGAGCACGAAAGTGATGCTAGGGTCTTCCCTGCGGCTTGTGCTGCCCGCTTCAGCACCGAGGAGGTCGTCTGATACGTACTGTATCTGGAAACCAAAGAAAGGACGAGTGGTCAAGACACGCAAAGGCAGTAAACGCAGGACACAACGATCCGAGTGGACCAAAGCGTGCAAAAGTAGAGCCTCCGCATAGATTGGACTTCCCTCTCTCTCTGCAGTAGTCACTACCTATCTGACCAAGCTGTCTATCAAGTCGGGGCCGAACCCCATATGTCCCCGGCGTCTCTCCAGTATGTTCGACTTCCTCCAAAGGATGCAACGTAGCCGGACGGGTTCGGCTTCGCCATTGGAAAGAGACTTTCTCAGCATGGCTATGCTCGGTAAGAAGCTACCCCTGGAGCAAGCTACATAATCTGCGGTAGTTTTGCAGGGGCTAGCAGGCTACGATAGAGAAGCTAAGCGTCACCGATATACAGGAACAATCAGTTGGACCGAAACAGGCGCAAGGAAGGACGAGTATGAGGAGTTTGACATGCTGCTTTCGATTTTGCGCAAGCACAAGCAAGGTTAATCCGAGGTAAGACATCGTCCAGACACTGTGAAGCGTTGACCTGATGAGAGCAAGTAGACCAGCGCGTCAACGAGAAAATGCAAGGGAACAGTATGGTCGTAAGCTTGGCTTATGCTACTTTGCTACAGCGAAGGAAGAATTCTTATCCTTGTAGGACTAGGCGACAAACGCTTTCCACCGCTCGTGCTTCTTTCCTGTTCTCAAAGGGTTGTCTCTACAAACGTGACGCACTAGATCCATTTCGATGCCCTTGGTGCAGTAAACATAAATGGTCGAACAGGCGCAGACAGTCCGGAAAGAGACAAGTACTTGCGAGCCCAGGCCCCACGGCACCGGCAAACAAAACACAGCAGCGGAAACGACAAACACAAGAGCCCAGAGCAAAATTACAGTACCCTCCTCAGATGTCCACCCAAAAATGACGTGCCTAGGTAAGCCGCTACGCCGGCGGGAACAAACCTCCGCCGCACGCACCTGAGCACTCTTACCTTTGCTTGACTCAGGTCGACGCCGGTCTCGGTCAGGATCCGGAGCAACTCGTCGAAGTTCTCCTTGGTCGGGTGGTAATGCCCGCTGTGCGCCTCCATCAGCTTGAGCGTCCCGTGGTCGCATTGTAACCGGCCGGCGGCTTTGGTGGCGGCGCCGGAGAGGAAGCTCGAGTGCTGGAAGCGGCCTTTTTGCTTCTGCAGGGGGGATTTTGACCTTTCAGGGGGAGTTGTCAGATTCAAACAGTGGTTTTCTAGCTCTAGAGCGTGTCTGGACTTGAGAGGGGCGGCGCCAGAGGTGAAGCTAGTGTGCGGGAAGCGGCCTCTTTGCTTCTGCGGGACAAGAACGTGTTCGTGTCAGGGGAAGCTGTGTGTCAGGGGTTAGTTCAGAGAGTGTTGCCTGCTCTACAGCGTGTCTGAATGCGAGGGCTTTTGAGGGATTTGAAAGGGGTTGACTATGCCAGAGGTAGTTCTTTGTATCATCCACACATAGTTCCTTATATTCTTTCGGGGCCGACAAGGAGTGAGCCTGAGGCCGAAATCCGGCGTCCACCAAATCATGAGGAAGCTTGAGTGCTGGGAGCGGCCTGGTTGCTTTCGTGGAAAGAAAATTTCCTGTGTTAGGGAGTTCTTCTAGATCACAGTGCCTGCTCTAGAACGTGGTCTGGAGCTTCTTCGTGTCGGGGGGGGGGTTCCAACTTTGACTAGTTGCCTGCTGTAGAGCGTGTCTGGATTCGAGGGCAATGGTGTAGCGGGACCAAAAACTGAGGCTGGCATCTTTGCTTCTGCGGGGAGAGAGCTTGTTTTCGATTCCAACCGATATTCCTTGACGGAGTCAATCCTGATTCCGTGGGTTTTTCCGCCCTTGACATGGATTAGCGCACAATTGCCCGCTTTCAAGGAAGGCATTGGGCTCTTCCAGACGGCGACGGCAGGACAGATTCGGAGCTAGTCACTGGCCAAAAGCGGGATATACGCAGGCGGGTTGGTGTCTAGTGTCAAGGCTCCGCTTTCAATAAAGGCGATCAGAAAATCTCGAGCCGAAAAGCTTCGCAAAACTTCTCCATAACACAAAGCCGGACAGAACACAGAGAAAAAAATGGAATCAACGACTAGAATCAAGAACGGTTTCCACAGCAACTCGAACTTTGGAAGGATTGAGTTCGGGACACGTGATGCCTTACCGCTGAGATGTACAGCTTTCCATGCGCGTCCATCACGAAGATCCACTTCTTGTCCTTGTCGGTGTGAATCGGCTCCTGGCTCAGCCGGTTGAGCAGCTTCCCATGGACCACCTCCACCTCGTACGCCATTCGCTCCACCTTTGGGAAGGACAACTCCCATTTTACAATCAGGGGTCGAATAAGCTGATGTCAGCATGACGCGTGGCGTGAGGTCAGCAGAGTCGGATGACGGATCTTCGGCTGTTCGCAGACAAGGCCCTATACGCCATGCGCTACACCTGGGTGGAGGGAATGAATGCTTTCTAAAACGTCGGCCAAGAGGCTGACGTTAGCATCAGCCGCGAAGTGATGTCGGCAGAGTCGGACGAAGGATCTTCGGCTGTTTGCAGACAAGGGCCCTGTACGCAATACGTTCCACCTGGGTGGAGAGGAGGGAAAACTCATTCTTTTGGAACATGGGCCGAGAGGCTGACGTCAACATGATCACACGGCGTGAGGTCAGCAGAGTCGGACGAAGGATGTTTCTGAAGTTCGCACGCAAGGCCGTACGCCACACGCTTTGCGTAACAGGAAGAAGAAACTTTTGCGGCACGGGCCTGGAAGCTGGGTTCGAAGATTTCAGCATGGCCCACGACGTGATGTTGGCAATAGACTGGACGGCATAAAGAGGCTCGTCTCAACCAGCCAATGGGAGTACTCTACGCAAAAGGAAAAGCTGGACGAATCTTATTCTTGGCTTTAGGAACGACTATTCCTCTTCGCAAGAAGATTCGTGGTTGTAAGAAAGGAAATACTATACAGATCAGAAGAAGAAGCTGCACGAGCTCATTCTTTGCTTCAAACATAGCTCTCTCTTCAACCGAAAGCATTGTGTATGTACGGAAGAAACCGTACCGGAGTCAGGTACTTGATGAGCTCGCCCTGCAGCTTCTTCCGGGGGCACTCCTCCAACTCCACGTGCTGTCCCTCGCCAACGTCCAGCCTGCAGATCGGCGTAAAATGTAAGTTCAGGTATGTAGTAAGCGTTAGGAAGTCGTATCTCGCCAGCCTAGAACGGGTGGGGTTGCAATCGGGAGTTACGGTGGGTGCAGAGTGCGGAGCAGGTGATCACGAGGGTGAGTTTCTTTGGGTTAGGTTGGGAGCTTCCACGGGCTTCCAACTCCTGATAGTTCTATAAAGCGGTTAATAGAACGAACTCATTCGTCTTTGCCTATTGGCTTCCTTGATTTCTGGGGACTAGCAAGCGGCTTTATGAAGAAACATCAGCTCGGCAGCGACGTATCGTCCAGCGTTACCTGCTTAGACAGTCCCCCATGACCGTTTGTTGGCAAGGAGACCCTAAGGGAGCCTGTATCGACCTTTTGAAACTTTCAAATTTGACCAGCCTCCCCAATTAATTTCGACGCACACTACACTTTCCTGCAGAAACAGTTGTCGGTTCGCCGTCACTCTGAAACGGGATTTCCTCTTGACGGAGCTCTTACCAGTAGAAGAACGGTTGGTCAGTGTCGCTCTTCTGCCATACTTGGTAGTAGAGTTGCAGATTGTGGCCGTAACGGTGCCGTGCATCGACCTGCGCACGCGCACCAAAGGATCAGTGCCCTAAGACACCACTGGCTCATTCAAACACTCAAGAAACACCGACACGCCAACACGATCAGGCAGAATGTCTCTCAAACAAAAGGATCGAGAATCAGGCGAAGCTGGGCATTGCCTTGAGAGAATACGCGTTTGAACGTCCTAATGGTACCTGGGGCCGCCGCTCTCAGTAGGAGATATCTGCGTTCCCCACAACCTTGATGAATCATCCAGGTTTGGGCCGCTTGAAAAGGGCAACCGATTCTCTCAAGCTACCAATCCGCCCAGGTTCCGCTTCACAGCCGCTCTCTTGTCAAGAGGTTGCAGCGTAAATCGTCGAAAATGGTGCGCTGCCGAAAAGTCAATGGACAGCGACCTTTACAACACTCACCGCTTCCAACCAGTGATTAATGCCCAGCAGCCTCGCCTTGTCATCTGCGCCGAGTCCCTTCCCAACCTGTACATAAGTCCGGCATAAGCGTAAGGGGAAAACCTTTGCCCATCATGCCTAGCCCTGGTTCGACTGCAAGTTCATCATTTTGGAAGAAGTCGACCACAACATTATGAACTTTGACTGAACATAGTTGTTGCACTGCAAAACTGACCGATCAGTAACCATCAGTTGGCAGCTGGGCCAGTTCTGGGTGGACGTTAATGCGAAGCGAATTGCGGAAATCTGCCAATCACACATATTGTAGCCGCAACCCAGAGCACATCACACACAATTGGGACTGCACATTTAGAGCCGCTCGGCATGGGAGTTAGAGAAGGTACACAAGGGAGGGGTTTTGGTGTTCCATTCTTTCCAATATTCGCAGCTTTCTGAAATGGTTTCTTGTTTTGCTATTCGCACATCTTCAACTCGTTTTTTGCTTCACTGTGCTCAGGCCTTCCTTTCCTGGCACTTGCCCCGTAATGCATTCACAGAATGGCATCTCGCACGTTTGTTGCTTGGTCGGTCGTTCTTCAAAACACTGACCTTTGAAGCCTTTGACTTGAGCCGGAGCCACCTCTTCACGGTTGTCTCATCCCCATCCGTACTGTTGTTTTGCTGTAAAGCCAACGCGTCTAGCACGCTTGACCTGCGTGCAAGTAGATTTTTCAAAGACCAGCTTTTGTCTCGAAGGTCAGCCCAACGAGGGAACACATGTGTAATGTCTCCAAATATTCTTTGCTAAATGTGCGGAGCAACTGCTCAAGGAGATTCTAATCGCAGAAGCTGTTGCTTTTTCGACCTTCTGACTTTGGCAACAAGCGGCGCGCTTGCCCTCGCAATACAACTTTCAGAAAACAGGTCCAACAAGGCGGGCTGCATTCTGTTATCGCCTCAAGAAGCACCGCCTTGAAAACAGCTCTGTTCCAAAAACCACCATCGTTTTCCTTCAAAAGATGACCATCATTCAGAAAGGAAGCGGGGATCAAGAGAGTCCTTTCCAAGGGTGACAATCTGCGGGTGCGGCTCACTGCACGGTCAAACAGCGTTGTTGCCAACAGCAATGCTCCTGACGGAAATGTTGAAACTGTAAGGTTCAGAGAATCCAGCAAGTCATATGCTCCTTAACACATCCTCAGAGAAGTTTACAGGAAGTGTCCGCTGCAATGGGGGTAATGAATGTAGTACAGATAAGAAGCAGTAAGAGTGTAAGGATACGTTGTCAGCACGAGAAACCGAAGATAGAGAGGCTGCTCACCAGCCCTTCTCCTGCTCTAATAAGGCAATGTCAGCCAATCGGCGCCTCTCCCTGTGTCCGCGGAATATGCGCTGCACCGTGATTGCCGCTGACGCATCAGCAGCAGAGTCAGCAGACTCTTGAGACCTCCCGCTGGTAGACGCCTCTGCCCCATAGTCATTCATGGCCTTGTGACTCTGCTTTTCCACAGGAACTGATGAGTTATCCCTCACTTTAACCGAGGTCTCCATCGGCTTGTTAGCTTGCTTGCAGCCTGGCCGGAAAGGTTTCTATATTTCAGACGAGCCTGCACGTGCACACAAAGAGCGAAGATAAGACAAACTTACTTGAGTTGTTAGTCAATTGAGCTGGCTTAGTGCTCTTGCAGAGCGTTGAGAATGCAAACTTCCTAAATGCAAGGCCTTGCAATTTGATCGGGAACATAAGGAAACTGACGTTCTATCAATTGTAAGAGCAGGTCTGAAACAGCAATCACAGCCAATTTGACCCAAACTTTTTAGCCCAGACCAAAGGGCCTGCAATTGTCATCCATTGAAACTCACAGACGTGCAAAGAACGGTTGCTGCCAAAAGCTTGTAAGTCCAACTTACAAAGACACTAAACAGGTTCCTTGTACTCTCACCAGGTTCACAAAGTCCACAGTTGCAGAACTTTCTCGGACCAAAGGAGACAAGAGCAACAAAGTTCTGTCAAAGTGGGTGAGACAACTGAGAGTGGGCAGCTTTCAAGAAAGCTACCGGTTGAGAGGGGTTCAGGTATGAAGGACGGGTATGGACTGCGTTCAGTTGCGAAGCGGTATAATGGTAACCTTATCTGGACAGGAGACTTCAGCATACACTTTAAACGCACCTTGGCAAAAGGATCGCTCACCTTCTACTTGAGAACGGGCGTAAGACAGTGGGACAACTGTTGCCCGCTTGGCAGCAGACCAACAGACGAGCACACACTAATCCCTAAATTTCCTGCCTCTCTATTCCAACCCGCACCAGCTAGGCCCAAGGACTCTTTAAGCTGCTGAGGGTTGCAGCGCAATGCGGAGCTTGCTTACGCAACAAGGACCCTGTGAGTCTGACCCTGTCTTCGGAAGAGGAAACTGTGCACAACATGGGCGCCTTGCCGCAATGCTGGGAGCACGGTGTGCATGCAGCGCGTGCCTGCAAACCTTAAATAGGTAGTCCTTCTCAGCTGGTTTCTAGGTCCTCACATGACCATCCCCCTTTTTGGACGGCGACCTGAGAGCAGGAAATCAGCATTCACGGTCGCTAGGCCCAGGGCCAGCTTGGGAGGCGACCGGGACCTTCCTGAGCACTGCATTGGAAACGCCGGAAAATGCTGCCGCCTGAGCAGCAGTACGCACAGCCCTCTCGGTTACGGTTGACCACTCTCCACCTCTTTTCCCGTGAGAATGGCAACAGAATGACGATCTTCAAACTTCGTAGCGACCAAGGATGACGACCGTCCGGATCACCGGCAGTCACCGAAGCGACTTCAGGTGTCCTATTCAGAAAAATGGACGCCAGATGAGGGTGATCGGTCGCCAGTCGTCAGCTCCGAGCTTTGTGCGGGGTCGCTTCTTTGACCGAGTTGAAAAGCTGGAGGACGTCCTAACTCAGTAACCCTGCTGGCTAACCCTGGTGCTCAACCCGAATCCGGTCTGGCCGGCAGGCACAGAGCTGTGCATGCATGCGCTGCAAATCAGCAATCCTACCGCGACACATTTCAGGCGCAAGCAGAAAATGGCGGCCACCTCTGCATTGTCTCTTGCCACTGGCATCAGCTGCAGTGCTTTTGGAGCAGCTACTGCTCCGAAGCTCAGAAGGGCAGATTTATCCCCCAGCCCCATTGTTGCTGCTTCTGGCTTTTGTCCTTCACAGTGTGCATTGTTTCCACTAGGTCAAAAGCATGGCGCTTCTTTGCGAGCAATGCAGTCTGGTTCTACACTCTTCAAAAATAGATTCAGGCGTCAGATATCGAGTCAGGTCTTCAGGAAGAGCTCAACTAGAAATGCGGGCGTCAGGGCAAGCAGTGATTCGGACACGAGCAATGTCGGGGCAGGTGGTCTTGCAGCTATTGGATTTGGACTGGTCAGCGTGCCAGTTATGGCATGGTCTCTCTTCACATTGAAGGTGAGCTCACCTCAATGTTTCAGCTGCATTCATCCAAGTAGATGACTTTTTTTGAAACCAAGTTTCCAGAAGTGTTGTCCACCGTCTAAGCTTGATCAAGGTTCATTGAACTGCTCTTATGAAAGGGTTTTGTGACATCAATGTTGATCTTGACACAGCCACCTGACTGTACTGTTGCCTCCTACACTTATTGGAGGAGGTATTCAGACTGGCTGTGATCAATGTACCTTAATCCAATCACTTCTTGAGAGTTCAACATAGTCTGGCAATCGGCCAGCACTTGTTCTTCAGCATTAGCTACCCTTTGGCTCCCTGTGAAAATCTGTATTACATTGAAGCGAACAGCCAAATTCTTGGGCTGTCCAACTGCATTTGCAGACAACTGGCTGCGGGTTGCCGCCGGGGCCTGGGGGTGCATTGGGAGGGCTGGAAGGTATAAGCTATCTGGCGATTGTGGGGATCGTCGGTTGGTCTCTGTACACAAAGGTAAGCAAGAGAGATAATTCCCCTCCTCCTCAGGTCTTGGAAGCACGTCACATGTGGAGGACAGGCAGAAAGTCTTCGAGTAATATGTTTTTGAGCGTCATGTGGTTTCCTCCGACCCGCTTAACGTGTCCTCTTTCGTCGTCAAGATTCTTGCATCAAATAGTTGGTGCTTCAACGAACCTCCGGAGGATAATAATCGATGGTATGATTCAGGACTGTGTTGCAATTTTGTTGCTGTCAATGGGTACGCTGTACACGCCCACGGTCTGTTCCTGTAACAGGGATTGTCAACGCTTTCAAAGCTTTATATGTCTTCTAAGTATTCTGTTGGCGCTCTGTTGATCATCGGCTAATATGGTCACGTCAATGTTTCATCATTGCACTGAACCAGAAGTGTGTCTTGGTTCACATTCCAAGAATCATTTGACGAAACTTTGGCAGGTAAAAACTGGGTCCGGCCTTCCCCAAGGCCCTTTCGGGCTTCTAGGAGCGGTAGAGGGCCTGTCATATCTTCTCTGCTTGGCGGGCCTTGTGGTGTTGGGCTTTCAGGTTGTGGACCATGGCTTCATCCCTTCTCCCACACCGGACGACCGGTGCTTCGGCTAAGGGAGTAGCGGCTGTGGAACTGATTTACCCACAATAAGGTTGCTAAAGAATTCGGGCACAATGAAATGCAATTTCGTTCACAGCACGTATCCATTCTGACAAACGAAGGCGACAACCCCTGTAGACAACCCTTGAGAGCACAACGGTAACGTCAGACGTCGGATTGGAGTAGTGACCCCGAAGAGAACTTGCTCGAGGCATGTCGGTGTTGAGAGTGGAAAGACATGGTAGGCATCTCATACAGTCCAGCAAGCCTAATGAAGCATTGCCAGGCCTTGAGTGAGCTGTAGTACAGCCAATTCTGGACCACCGTTCAATGCTAGTCGAGCAAACCGATCATGCATTCATGATTGGCCGAGCGCATGGCATCTTCGGCTTCAAAGCAGCGTCCATCTATGCCCGCGAGAGAGGACACGGATATTGACCATTGGCAGCTGCCTCGAAAACAGGGCGGGCTATTAGTGCATCTTCGGTCAGTGACATAAACTCAAATGGCGAGCCTGTCCCATGGAGATCAGCAATACCGTCCATGAACTACCGTCATATAGATCCATACCTTAACAGTCGGAATCAAATTAAAGACAGCTTGTATACACACTATAATTTACGCGTGTCGCTGTGCATGCAGTTAACTCGGCTGTTCAATCTGCATCGATCATGAGCTACATTGAATCAAAATAATTTTATATAATTCAGTATTTTTAAATTGAATCTGATATCGGGATATAGCATCTCAAGCCGCCTGGTCTAGAATGATAAGTCACCTTTTGATCACCACACGTTGCGATAATTGAACATGCACAGCTCTAGCATGACGCACGTGCTCAGTGGAGATCATACTCACTCGAACTTCACTGATAGTGAAAGAGTCACAAGCTGTAGTTGTGCGACAGTCAACGTCCGAATTAAAACAATGCCCAATTAATTCGAAGGTTTTAGTCGCGGCCACTAGAACACCGTTTTCCAAAGTTATAGCTAGCTCAGTGGGCTTCAATCATCGTAGTGTTAAACAGAAGCTCTGATCCAGTTGACAAGTCTTAGACTACATCTGGGTTTCATGATCGCCAAGCCCTGTTTTCAAAATGCAATTTAATGAACCCACACTCGATTTTTCCATAACTGTGTAACAAAACCCGGTCAGGTCGGTGGTCTTTCCGACTCGACCCGTCCAGCGACGACTACTTTGCTTACAAAACCCATGGTACAATAGCTCAAGAGCTAGCTTTTCCTCACAACTATCCGCGAGCGTCTGCATATTATACACGAGAAGCCATGCTAATGCGCGCGCAATGCCTAGATGAAGGCGTCATGGCCCCAGTTGAGGAGCGCCTGTCGCTGCTTCGGGCGACACGTCAGGTCTCCCGGCTCACAATGTGCCTTGACCTGCGCACACCACAAGGAGGTCCACTGAATCAACACCCGTCACACGCGCTTACGGGGCAATAGAAAGGAAGCAGAACGGCTTACATCAACTTGCAGCCCTTCGGAATGGCCACGACGCTTCCCTAATTCTGCTTCCTTGATTCTTGACGAGACCGTCAATATTAAGGTGAGTTGTAAAACACACAGAGCACCGTAACAGCGGTCTCCCCAACGCTGGGCGTTACCAGCAAGTTGCTGATTGAGAGACGGCACCCCGCAGTAACTTATTAGCCAATCCCAATTGTACAAAATAAACCCCTGAAGACCAGAACGTCTACCGTAGAAGTTTACGACGCCATTTTCCGAGGCGTTGACGAGCGCACAGCACTTTTCATTTTGTGTGGCATCATCAGCACGTCTCGTGACGTCAGCGTGATACCACGACACTCGGCAGGCGTGCAGCATGACGTCATCACGTGATCGTATTCTGCCTCACCTGCCCCGCGTGCCGCCGCAGCTGGCGCCACCGCGAGATCTGGTGGTCGTCCTCGTCAGTGCGCCGGCCCAGGTAGTAGCGGCAGTACCTGAGAGGAGGGGCGGGTGTCCTTGTGCAATTTTCAACGTCGGTTGCGACTTATTCGGGTGAATATTACTTCAAATCACTCTTCGAGGCTGGCGAGTTGTAAGTGGCACTAGCTGGGCGCAGAACTGTATGTTCGACAACAAGCACTCTGGCTCTGCGACTAAGCTAGCAACCAGTCAGTCGATAAGGTGCGGACCAGCCCGCCTGACAGCCCAGACCTGACAGCCCGAGCATCGCAAAATGAATGATGCTCGACGTCCTACTTGACGATAATCATGGACTGTGTGTGCTGATAGGCCCGACAGACTAAACGGCGAAACCTCTTTTCACCCAGGGAAGAAAAGCAAAAGTAACATGTGTCCAGCAGACGAGAGTCCTGCTTTGTACTCACCACAGGAACCAGCCCCGGGGGTCGTGCTTGGGCACCCACTTCTTCTTGCGCCACTCCTGCACGAGAAGTTTAAACAAAGGTTAGGGTTATTCAAAAATCCAAGGCTTGGTGTCGACCGGAGAAAGTAGAATTTTATCTGCGGTCTCAGGAGGACCGTTGAAACGGCTTCGCTCAATCATGTAGACTCAGAGAATGCTTGGTGCAACTTCCAACCAAGAGCGATAGTTTACACGTCCATATCAGTAAACGGAGACGAAAGGCTGACGACTTGCAAATTTCAGTTGAGGCGAACCCAAGAAAGCTTGACGACGAGGCGGTGGATGGATGAGTAGAAGCCTCCCTGTTTACGAAACGCGTGTGCAGAGCTTGTACGCAAAATCGGAAGTCGAGTCCTTGGGGAACAGCTTCTCGACGAGATGACAACCATCAACCATGGGCACCGAAGAACAACGTGCATCAGAGTAACTCCTGGAAGAAAGGAGCCAATCAGAGTCGATTACACTTCCTTCGCGACTTACGTTCAGAGATAGCCGGCTAACAATCTTGAAGCAGTTGACGTCTCCGTTCGGGCCCGAGGGGGATAGCGTCCCCTTCTCAACGGCGGCTTCAAACCTGTACAGAAAGGATGAAACGTTAGGACTTTACCGTCGGTGGATCTTGCCAGAAAGCAAGGAATATTGGGTTCACAAAGACTCGGTTAAGGCTAGCGCGACTCGGTTAGAACTAGCGCAGGTACTCGTTCCACAGCTGAAAATGTTTGAGCCAACGACAGTCGATAAGGAGCAAAAAGATCAAGACAAACATTAGGAAAGAGACTTCCAGAGGTTCCAGAAAACGGTGGATGATTGCACCCCTGAAAAAGTAGCACCGAACGAAGGAACTAACCATATTGCAGGTTACAATCTCAACACTCGTCCTTCCTGCGAAGACGGCGTTGATAAAACGCCCTACACAGGCTAAACTCCCACTTAACCCTGGTAACATTGGGCTTGAAAGAATCGCGGGCGACCGTTCCTTGATACCTCGGAGAGGGTAAAGAAAATTTGCCGTGCTATTTCAGCTTTTGAACCTTCAGATTGACACAAGTGGAAGCGAAGACTGACCACTCCTTGGGGAACTCGAAGATGGTGTCATTGATGATCTTGCCCTCAAAAACGCCGTGCTCGAGCATCTCCTTGGGCGACAGCACGGGGTCGAAGCCGTCCTTAAAGTTTTTGCCAATGGGCTCGGAGAGCTCGTACGAGTAGCCCGTCTGCATCAGATCGTCCACCTCGATCGTGTCGCCGACCTTGTACTCCTTCTCCGGCCGAGCCTGCTTCAGGAGCTGCAAAATAGGGCGACATGTAAACGGTCAGGAAAGAGAAGCGGGATGGTTGCGATGAGTGCAGGAAAAGTGAAAAGACTGCACGCTCGACCGGGCCTGCTTCAGGAGCTGCGAAAAAGGGCGACATTCGAAATGTCAAGAAAAAAAAGAGGGCTTGGTGCGACGAGTGTCAGGAAAACCGAAAAGACGCGCGTTTGTTGTGGTAAACCATATTGTATCGCAAACCCTGTACTCCTTCTCCGACCGGGCCTGCTTCAAGAGCTGTGAAAGAAAGAGGCGCACCGGATCAAGGGAACGGGCGAGTCACGTGGAAGCAGAGGACCACAACACAAGAAGTTCGTTCGTGCTTCTGCGAGCCGCAGATCTTGTTAATGGTCAGACGGGAGTAGTGTAAACAGTGCAGGTTGCTCTCTTCTACCCTCCAAGCTCGTTCATAGTTCCTTCTCCAGCTATGTCTCTTACAACACGCTTTACCATGTAAAAGGGTCCTTTCACTCAATAAAACCTACATGACAAACCAAATCCGCCGCAGGCATCCTCATAAGAGTCCTTTTAGCCAGTGAAGTCCTGAATATCAAAGCAAACCCGCAGCAGGCATCCTACAAAGCAAGTAGGAGGGTCTGACTGGAAGTGTGGAACCCCTGAAGTATCTCATGTGATTTTCACCACCTTTTTCAAATCTCGTTTGCCCTGTCCCCCAAAATGACATCAGCAAGTCCAAGCAGTAAGGTAGCAATGCTCCTGCCCCCACCTCTTTCATGTCCTCGAGTGTCTCTAGCTTCTTCAGCAGCGCCATCCGCTCCTTCGACTTCGGCAGCTCGATCCCGTTCTCCTCGTGCAACTTTGCGACCGCCGCCACGCTCTTGCGGTGCGTCCCAGGATGCTCTGGCTGCTCCGAATGATGCACCGTCTTCTGCTTCTTGGCGTGCTTCTCCTCGTCTTCTTTCTCCCCATCATTGTTCTTTTTCTTGTCTTTTCCCTTGCCCTCCTTCTCTTCCCCGTTGTTTTGTTCTCCGTTCTTTGCGCTGGCTTGAGCGCCTTTGGTTTTCTCTTGGTCGTTTTTGGATGTGTCGCCGGTTTTCTTCTCGTCATGAGCCTTCTCCTGCTCAGCCGCCTTCATCTCCTGCTCGCCTTCCTTCTTTCTCTTGTGATCAGGCCTGCAGGAAAGGCGACTTACTTGAAGCAAGCTTCTTCCAGGCTCCTGTTAATCTCCAGAATGGTGCACAAATTTTGCATCTGATGTGACTCTACTCTATGGCAATCCAAGGTTTTCGTTGAGGTACAATCTGCATACAGAATTTACCAACTTTAGAAGAAGAATGAACAATGGAGTTCTTGAAGAGGGAAGGCCAATCCAATGAATCACTCGGTCTCCACCAGAATAGACCCAGTTCACTGTTTTGACTGCCATCTGGAGACCTGGAACGATCTGGGTGCCTGTCTGATACCAATCTGGCAAAGTGAGAGCATTCGACGTGCAGAATAACATTGCCCATCCTGCATGCAAAAGTCAAGGCCTCCAGCTCAATGGTCAAAGCTTTCAACTCTCCACATAAGCATAATCCTTCCAAAGTTGTCGGCCAATGAAAGCACGAAGTAGAAGATACTGCTGATCAAAGCCATGCCCCTCAGGGGCGATTTAAACCTCACCCAGCCAGCATCACTTCCGGGCGTTGAATGTCATCCAACCAGACTTCAGCAGTGTCCACTTGCCTCTTGCGATCCTTCCTGACTAAATCAAGTAAACCCGCATGCAAACTTGTGAGGATCACAACCTCATGAAGCAACCAGAGACAGGCAAGGGGATCACAACAGCAGGTCCCCCTGCTCAGGGTGCAGGTAAAACCTGCAGCCCTGCACTTATTGTCCCTTACTCAATCACCATTCAATTTGTCAACTGAGTCTACGACCAATGCAGGTCCTTGATTTACAACTCCCCTTTTTTAAGAGCTGAATGTTGAATTACAAGAACGTACCTTCTAAGAGTAGCAAGGCCATCTCAAAAGAAAAAAACTACTCGTAGAAGCCTGATGCTAGTAAACTTACGTAGAGTCATTCTTGGTTTGCTCCTTCTCCTCCTTTGTTGTTGTCTTCTCCTGCTCGGCCTCAGCAATGGACGCCCCTTCCTTAGCTCCAGACTTCGCTGGTTGCTTCTTTGGCGCCATACTGAAAAACTTCAAGTTCTCCTCGCCAAAAGCTCTCCAAGTATCTGCGAATGTGTCCCTAGGCTGTCGTATTGAGACAAGGGAGCGGACTAGATGCTGAGTGCAAAAGCTAAAGGGGGCTTGCAGGAGCGTTGGCAAGGCAATGTGTGGACTCAAGAGTGTGCTGTTTAGCACGCAGCGGCTGCGGGGAAAGACCGATGCCCTTCCTTGAACGAGTGCCCTTCGGACAGTGACAGCGCCACGAACACAGGATAGTAAGTGCATAGGCCACTGATCGCCTGTGTTAATATAAGCTCACACCACCACCCCGCTTTTGAGCTGACTGGTCCTAGAATGTCCCTGACAGCAACTTGTGGAAAGTCCCCAAACTGCGTCCTGCATGCAAAATTCACTGCGTGAAATTGGTACATGGGAGGCTTGAGAACCTAATGCAGGTTTTTCCAAGCAACTGTGACTTTCCACAGAGCACCCTTCACTTGCTCAGAAGTGTCCACCAGCACAGGCCCTGTGGCGACACCCAGGCCCTCAGTGAGGAAGGCGCCACCCAGTGATCCAAACAGTACGCCCTTTGACAGGGCCTTCAGTCTGAGAATGCTTGAAGAAGGCATGTATACAGGTTCCTGTCAGCTGGTTTTGCAGCTGCGACCAACCGCAACTGCAGAAACAGGTAGCAAACTCCTTGTAATTGGTGTTCTTCAAAAACAAGCTACGGAAGATTGCAATAATAAAATCCAAGCGACATGCCTCTGCTAGGAGGTGGTGGCGATAACATAAGCACTGTTACAATGCAATGTGGCGCACCTCTTCGCTCTTGCACTTGCGCCCCTTCCTGCCAATCAACCCCTCTGCATGCAGCTTCCTCAGCCACAGCACTTTCTCTTTTCAGGAATGGCTTGACACCATTCCAAACCCCACAACTTCCAGCAAGAGGAGGCGCCATGGTGTGGTGCTGTGCGAAGATGTGGGCGTCCGAGTGCTCGACACCTGCCAACACAGGGGCAACATGGCCATTGGCATGGGCTGTGCCAGGCCCCGGGACAAACTGAGTCACTTCAAGTTCCACTGCCACTGGCACGGATCAGTGTGATCGAGCCCGGATATAGCCTAGGTACCGGTATACTAGGCTATAGGCTATAGGGTATACTTTATAGCACCTAAACGTAGGCCGGTACCTGCTACCGTATACCGTATCTACCTACCTATTTCAGCACCCGGGTTGCCCGGCCCGCCGCCGCCCAGTCGCCGGTCGGGTCTGGGCCCGGAGTCGGCCCTGGGGCCTGAACTCTTGCGGCGAGTCTGACTGGGTCCTGAGCCCGAGTCCCGACTCAGGTCGCTACGAGCCGCAAACCGCACATCGCGACCGCCCAGTCCAAGTCCGCAGCGCCTTGCGGTCTTTATTCGGGGCGCCAGTCCCCGTCGGTTACCACCCGGTTTCAAAAGGTGTAAGGCGACTCGAAGTTAAATCCCGGTTTCCAGTCCCCGACCGACCCAAAATCCGAAGGATTTTGGAAAAAAAAATAATAAATATAGTCAATATTTTGGTCCAAATTTCCCGATTTTTGTTCATTTTGGATTGAAAATATTGAAATCTGGGCCAAGAAATGAAGTTTTTGCCCCAAAATTATTCCATATTATTTCATATTTCAAACATACTAGCAAAAAACCAACTATTATTTCTTCCCGACCAACCGACCCACCCAAAAGGGGGTAGGACCGGAACCCGGGAATTAAATTCGACCCGCCTAAACAGGCACTCACACTAATATAATCGTCTCACACTCCAGTGTCCAGTCTTCCGCGGGCCCAGTTCGGCGTGCACCGGTGACCGCACGGTACCGTAATTGGACAGACCCGTGGCCTGGCAGGGCCCACATTCGCCCTGCAGATGACACATGGCAGACCTTGATGCACAATGCAAACCCAACTTCATAACCTTCGCTTTAATTTGACGATTATCATTCAACCGACGCGGTTGAAAGCATGAAACCGGTCTGGACATGCGGATCAAGATTCAATGGTCGGTTTGTCAGCCCGGTCGGGACGGTTTACTAATTAAGGTTATGTAACATTCAAGCCATTAGATGCCTCAGATGAATACCGGTAACTCTCGTGTGACCTAACGGGCGTGTGACCTAAGATACAAGCTACCCGGGCACTTCAAACTAAAACACCTAACCCAAATAATCACCCGCTCCGCACCCCAACCCACCCTAACCACCATACCAACCCCACCCGTCCCCCGGGTGCCTATCTTAGGTCACACGGCTCTTAGGTCACACGAGAGTTATCGAAGTCTCAGCTGAATCACATGGTCTTTTAAAGTAGTCTCCATCAATCGGCAGCCGTCCATTTCTCGAAGTTCTGATATCGGACGAGTAGCAGGCACCAGCAAAACCTGTACTCAGAAAGTACAAGAAGTACGGTGTACCTACCGTACCTTCTGTCACTGGTAGTGTCACTGTCACTGGTGGTGTACAGTTTATGACGACGGTGAGTGGGTGAACCGTGAGCAAACAACCGCGAAGGGGAACAGTCATGCCACATGGTGTTGACAACTTGCAAGTCGACAAAGACCTGAGCACGAACAAGTACCTGATTCAAATTGAGGTTGCAAGTTGTTGGAATGCGCAGGGCGAAAGGCGGTTCGTTTTGCTGGATGAATCTGCCGCATATCTAAGATTTATGTGAGGTACAATCATACATAGGTATTATGGTGTGCTTCTCTACTCCTGAATAGGTTGCATGAAAGGTCTTTGATCAATCAATGAATCATTGAGCTGAAGCATTGCCCCCGGGCGTCAGCCAAGACACTCAAAGGTGGCAAATTGCTCGTATGTAGAAGTCTTTGCAGATGCTTCCCTCAGCTCTTAGCTGGTCAGTCTTTCTGGGAGTGTACATAAAAACCAAAACATAAGTAGTCGAGCACGTAATTTGCTGGTGCCAGTGGAGGCAGTCCTGGCACAAAGCCTGCTTAACAAGCCAAGTAGAAATTGTTGTCTCTGGTGAGTTCTATATTGCAGCCTTAGGCTTATTTCTCTCTTTCCAGGGTGTGTAAGCTGCTTTCGTGCCAACCTGAATCAAAATTGTGTGCATAACTTGCCATGAAGGCAAGCGCGAAACTCCGCGGTTACAACTGTGGTTTGGACCAGCTCGTGCAGTTGGTGACTCTCACTGTGGCTGAGATGTTTATATGTTGGATTAGGGGTCAGGGGAGGCTTTCTGTGTTGACCAGTGCATTCTACATAGTGTGGGAAGATGCAGGACTTTGCAGTGACTTTACAGCACGTTTGGTGCCCTGTAGTTCCTAAAAGCTGGCTTCCTTCTCAGGTTTTGAGCAGAGTGCCTCTGACATTTGTTCTTCATCTGCACCCGTCCATTTTAATATGATGCCAGCGATCGCGGCTATGTGGCCCCGGCCTTTCTGCAGTGCCGATGACGTGGAAGTTTTGAAGGCTCCAAAGTATCTACTACGTTTTTGAAATGCCATTCGGGCCTTTTGTCCTTCGAATATCAGAATTCAGTTGTGCACCGACGACCATCACATCATTGGCCGATCCTAGCTTTTCCTCTTCCATGTCCAGGTACTTAGTATGTTGAATGTTTGTACCTGTGCCTTGTTCCTACTGATGTTCCTACTGAATGAAGAATTCTGTAACCATGCCTTACTCCCATTTCATACCTTGGTCCCTCACAAACATACGCATCGCTTCGTAGCAGATGGCGAGCGTGCACCCCTCCGAGCAGCATGAGCGGCCTCCTCTTGCCAAGCATTCCTTGCGGGGCACAAAACGTCCGTCCACATGGGCCGAGGGCCGCGCCGCGAAAGTGGCGTACCCCCCCGCCTGGGGCGGGGTCTACCCACTAGGGCTGGCACACGCGCGCCCGACCTGCGGGCAACTCATCGAACCAGAACCAGAACCAGCTCCAGACCCAATCTATATGGTAGACCCCGTGACTGGGGGGCCGATGCGGCCGGGCCCCGACATCGAGTTCAATTCAGAGGTCAGGTTTCACAAGTTTCACTATTTTTTTGAATCTGCTCGATGCCTCTGGTGACTTGGCTTTTCCTATGTGTCTGTTACTCATCAGTACAGCCCATGGTTACTGTAGATTCCTACTGTAGTGTCAGTCATGCGTCACTTGCGATGCTTCCCATTAAGATTTGCTGTTTAGAAAGTGAGCCGTGTGGGGATCCGGCTGTCTTAGCACGCTCAGATTCGAAGTTTTAGCGCTGCAGGATTGTGCTGCAGAATGCATCATTGTTGTACGTGTGCTCGAAAATTCATACTCACATGGCTGATACTCTTCGCAGGGTGCGCCTGTGCCCACAAATGAGGAGTTCCGGCTTCAGGTCTTGAGGAGCTACAACATCCTCAATACAGTGAGTCTTTCCCCCGCCCTCAGATAGACGGCGAATATGTAGGAATAGTTGCTCTGGGAGCTGGGAGCGTACGGGGTATGGATACGGAAGGACATACCGGCACCGTGCTAGCAGCTTGGATTGGGGAGCGCCAAATGTCCAGAAGGTTGTGTTTCACCAGGCCGTATGCTGTACCGGTCGAGAAGCCAACACGTCGTGCGAATGCTAGTATTGCCGCATCTTTGCCTTCTGGGGGACACAGTGCTGCTGCAGAGAGCAGGAGAGTCATCTTCTAACTCAACAAAGGTCGCACCTGCTGAAAAGAGCATCGCGACTTACATTTCTATTTGTGGGTTTTCAAACACTCCCGTATGAGTCAGTTCACCGTGAGATTCGAGGAGCTGCTGAGGTGATTGAACATTCTGGCCGTCTAACCTTTTCGTTGAGGGGTTGCAAGCAGGTGGAGATGGTCCCCACTGCGGCGGCAACGCTGAGTGTGTTTATTGTGCTTGCGCAGGAACCGGAGTCCCGCTACGACCGCATCTCGGCCCTTGCCTCAATGATCTTTCATGTGAGCATCGGCTTCATTCTGGCCTCTTAAGTATTTTATCGTTACGCAGTTCGAGCCTTCTGCACTTACCAGGGTTCGCCCAAATCATCAAGCAAAGCTTTCACCAATGTTTCATAAGACTGGATGAAGAAGACGTACCCTCCTGCATGAATGTCCTCAGACAACGCGTCCAGATCGATATCTAGACGTTGAAAGGAAGAATCGGCAAAGGGTTTTCGAAAACACGGGGCCACCTTTCCCCTTCCAAAGGTCCTCTGTTCGAGGCTACTGATAGGAGTGGGACTGGACTCAGCCCAAACAGGTCCAAGTCGAGTGTCGCCTCAAGAAACCCGACAGAGCTTGTGTTGAGGGGGGTGTAAAAAGTCGATAGATCATTCGGTGCTTGAAGTATTCTGTGGCAATCTATCGGCTTTACGTGATTGTAAGTCTTCGATTCAACAACCCAGACGTTATCGGAGCCCTGTATGAGGTCCCAGCAATCTTGGTCAATGTATCCTCATTTGATGTTACAGGTTGGTTTACTGAAGTTCCTGTGATCCTTTTAATCAATTTTGTCCTTGAAAGTGAGAGCATAGCTTCAACTTCTTCCCGTGTCCACCATCTGCAGACCCCCGTGGCCCTCGTGTCCCTGGTTGACGAGAACCGGCAGTGGTTCAAGTCAAACATCGGACTTCCCGGTTGCACAGAAACCAAGAGAACCGGGTCCTTTTGTACATACGCCATCTTGCCAGCGTGAGTACCCTTCGAAAGCATTGCTGATTTGGGTTCGTCTCCTCTTGATGAAAGCCAGAGCTTCATGTGAGCCGACAGACAACCGCAATACGAATCGGAAATTAGCGCAGCTGACTCGGCGTCGCTCTGGCAAACGCACTGTGGTTATTTGTTGGTGCGCGGTGGCCGGCAGTTTGGCCGGCCGAGACCCGTCGACGTTTACCACTCAGTCAGTGACCGGAATTGGTGACCATTTTTGCCTTCACTACACCATGCGCTGTGCCGAATGAGACAAAGAGCTTTGGAGTTGCGAAAACTGGACGAACATGTTCTATTGTAAAGGAATAGAAGGTCCTGTGGCCACCACAAGGGTTCTTGCAATGACCATTTCAGAGTCCCTACGTCAGGAGATGGTAAGACGTCCTGTCCCTGAAGTCTTCACTCTGGTTTGATTCTACAAATTGCTCGTCTTTGGCTTATTCTTCGTTTCGCCATGCAGAGTGGATCCCTGCCTGGTTGTCTGCGACGCGCTGAAAGACGGCCGGTTCTGTAAAAACGCTCTGGTAAGTGATTCCCATCTCACTGGTGAATTTCAGAGAGTCTTAAGATTTGCACTCCGTTGCGGGACATCACCGGCCACATCCAATGGCAAGTGCAGGCAAGAATCGTGATGTTGTCTCGTTAGATATGGCGGAGATTTGTCACTGAATGGGCAACGAAGGCGTTGAGGTGCCGTTCGTGAGGACGTGACAAAAATGTATTATGCTTGCACAACGGGATACAGAGGATGAGGGAAGCTCCCAAGCTTTCCTAACCGACCGAGATTCATCGTGGATGCAGGTCATTGGAGAGCCACACATTCGCTTCTACGCGGGCGCTCCGCTAATCACCAAGGGCAATTTTGTGCTCGGCTCTCTGTGAGCGACGGAAACATTTCAAAAATTGTCCAGGGTCGAGTTGGCTTGGGAACGGTCGCCCTTGCTTTTCCGTCACTGCTTTGAGATGCACAGGAAAGGTGCCGCACAATTCTTTTCCTTATCAAATGACCCCTTTCGCACGCGCGTCTTTGGTGTTTGCAGCAGCATATTATTGCCGCAATCACGTAGAATGGAGACACCTCTGACAGGTTCCTCGTCATTCGTGCAGTTGTATCATTGACTTCAAGCCTCGCAACGAGTTTACGGCGGAGGAACATGAGTTGCTGATGTCCCTGGCGCAGCTCGTGGTGCAGGTAGGGGAGCCCGTGCGTGTTTTTGTTTCGTTTTGTTTTGTTCAGCGCATGAACACTCTAAGTAGTTTCTTCTTCAGATTTACTTCCTGAAAACGCAAAGTTTGATAACATTCGGGGCATTCTTTGCATAGTAGTGCATGTTAAGAATCAGTCCGCAATCCAAAACCTCGTCAGAAAATTACTGCATGACCACTCACCATTCAGGTGTATGCGCTTTGTAGAAGTCACATGGATGGCATCCACAACCCATGTATTGCTCTTTTTCTGATTTTCGGCAGACGGTTCGGAGAGAACGGTTTGCTGAAGGACCGTACCCGAAAGCTGCTAGGACTCTTTTGCAAGAGACGGAAAAGCACATGCGGGTATCTGAAGGGGGTTGGGAAAGCCTCGTCGAAGTATTTCTTCCTTCATTCCACTTATTACAATCTGGTATGCTTATGAAAAGGGTTAGAAAGTCAAAGCCAAGCCGGCATTGTGCTTTTACAGGAGATGGAGAAGCACACGCGGTATCTCGAGCTGCAGCGGATCCAGGCGGAGAGGTTCGAGGACGACAAGCGGGGCCTGCTCCGGGCGATCGGTGGGTTTTACGATTTCAAGATTTTAGGTCACCGTCTTCGCTGCATACGCCTGCGTTTTGACCTGACCGATGACTTGTTTTGCCGGGCCATCCAATCATCTGTTTCCTGTTTAACGCCCCCGTTCATCTCCTCTAGCGTTTCGCCGCACCTGATAATCAGCTGATGTCACGGCTGTCGCTTTGTCGCTGCTCTGACGTGCTCAAAGAAGGAACAATCCTGGCTCACGGTGACGTTTTGCCTCTTTCCGGGTTTTCCAGTGGTCTCCTCGACGCTGGACCGTTCTTTGGCAAAGCTGGACGAAGTATTCAAGTGTCAGATCGCTAATTTTTCGTTAAAGCTGGACGACTATTTGAGGGTCACATCCCTTCACATTTTTAAAACGCCCCCTGGCTTAGCGGGGCGCTCACAGGTGGTGCACCTCTGGCGCCCTTCTTCGATCTCGAACACATCAACTGAATGGTCTCCACATCCCTGACCAAAGCAATCCAACTCGCAACTCTTCTACCGACACTCACTAGACCTCAACTCTTCCGCGAAAAGAAGAAGAAAGAAGAAGCGAAACAGAAAGGGTGTCACGTGTCTCCCCGCAGACGCGTTCGATGAGGGCCTGGTCCTGTGCGACATGTCCCAAAAGGGCCACCCGATCGTGTTCGTCAACGAGGGGTGGGAGAAGCTCACCGGATACTCCATCCAGGAAGTCCTCGGCCTGCACTGCGGCAGCCTGCTCGAGGTGAGATTTCCGCTGTGACGACCGGAATCCGCCAAACTCATGGGTCCAGCGGAATTGCGATTGGGTTTCTTTGCAATGAGGAGTGGGAGAAGCTCACCGGCTACTCCATCCAAGAAGTCCTCGGCCTGCACTGCGGCAGCCTGCTCGAGGTGTGCTTTCCGCTCTTCCGGCCGAAGTCCGCGAAGTTTGTTCTTTTCAACGGAACCGACTTCGGTTTTCACATTATCTATCACAAGAGGTGGGAGAAGCTTACCGGATAGTTTATCCAGGAAGTCCTCGGCCTGCACTGCGGCAGCCTGCTCGAGGTGAGATTCCGCTCTGACGGCCGGAGTTCCGGTAGTCCGTTGTTTCCAACGGAATTGCTTCCGGCTTCATTTCCGATGAGAGGCGGGAGAAGCTTACCGGGTAATCCATCCAGGAAGTCCTCGGCCTGCATTGTGGCAGCCTATTCGAGGTTAGAATTCCGCTCTCAACCGGAAGCCGCAGATTCGGTTCTTCCAACGAAGTTGTCTTCAGCTTTTCTTCCCCCTTCCCTCAGCGAGGGCAAGAAGAAGCTCACTTGGGTACTCCATCAAGAAGTTCTCGGCCTGCACTGCGCAGCCTGCTCGAGATAAGATTCCGCTTTGATGGCCGGAATCTGCGGATCCGTCGCTTCCCACAAGAGCAACTTAGGTTTGCTCGTTTATGTCAAGGGGGGGTGGGAGAAGCTTACCGGGTACTCCCATCAAGAAGTCCTCAGCCTGCAGTTCGGCAGACTGCTCCAGGTAAGAATTCCGCTGTGAGGGCCGGATCTGCGGATCCGTCATATCCAACGGATCGACTTTCACGCTCCCGTTTTCCTCCCCCAAGGGTTGAGAGGCTTTCGATCCACGAAGTACTTAGGCCTGCACTGCGGCAGCCTGCTTAGAGCTACAAAAGCGCTTTGACTGCCGGTATTTCAGTAGTTCGTTGTTTCCAGCGGAGTCACTTTGAGGTTTAAGAACGATGACGAGACGACGTTGTTTCCTCAACAAAGGAGAGTCTGCCCCTGATTGCACCGAATGGCACCCACTCACAGATTGTCCCTGATTGCAGGGACCCCTGACGGACAGAGATGCGAAGCGAACCCTCGCCGAGGCCTGCGCCAAAGGCGAATCCGCTTCCGTTGAGATCCTGAACTACCGCAAGAACGGAACGCCCTTCTGGAACTGGCTCCGGATACGGCCGGCGGTGTTACCGATGGGGACAACCTTCGCAAGCGGTGCCGGGGAGAGCAACAGGTGTGACAAAAGTTGCAATTCAAAAGCCAAATGAGAACTTGAACATATCCGGAATCTGGAAATCGAAACTTGGAATCTGAGAGCCCGATTTCTGGAGTAAAATTTCTAGAAATTGTACAGCGGGTGCGAACGTAGTTTGTGATCTAGCTCGTCAAGGTTCTGCTGAGCTCTTGTTCCGAGCTCTCATTTGGTGTGCCACCAGGATGCAAAAGATTCACTTCGACGAACCCTTACTCGACGGGAGACCGCTCAGGTCGATCTTCCTTTAGGAAGTCGAGATCTGCTTGACAGTTGCGGTGTAATAAGCTGAATGACGGAAAGAAGAGGTTCCGGGGAGTTTTACGCATTCTTGCACGATGGGCAAGGGAAAAGAGCAGCGAAACAAGGCAGTCCGCCAACAAGAAGTAGAGATACGTTTTACGGAAAATGTAAGCGTGCAAAGAAGAAGAAACATGCTAGGCGTTTCTGTAGGTGCTAATAATTCCCTTTCCAACAGCATGTTGCACGAAGGAAAAAGGCAGTGGCTGGAGGCGCTCCAAACGCAAGCAGTCTTGCTCCGGCCCAGAACTCACAAGCGAAGATCAAAACCTGGATAAACGAGAAAGAACAAAACGCGTTTCTGCAGGTACTACTTTGGAATCTTGACCGATTGCACGGCGCGCGAAGATTAGCTAGTTCAGACGCTCCTGTACAAGTCTAGAGAAGCGGCTTCAAGGGACGACACCAATAATAGGAAGAAGAAACGTAAGAAGGAAGAGGAACGAAAGAAGGCGTACGCTTGTTGCAGGTACTACTTTGGTATCCTGTCCGACTGTACGGTGCGCAAGGAGAAGGAGCAGCGGCTGGAAGCGTCCGGTTGCAAGAACTCTCGTTCCGCCCCGGAAGTATTGAAAGAAACAGATTGGAAAGAAAGAGAAAGAACGGAGCACGTTTTTGCAGGTATTACTTTGGTATCCTGTCCGACTGCACGGTGCGCAATGAGAAGGAGCAGCAGATACCGACTGCAGGAACTCTAATCCCGCCCCGGATGTGAACTAACAAACCAAATTCGGAAACAAAGATAAAGTACGAAGCGCATTTCTGCAGGTACTACTTTGGGATTCTGTCCGACTGCACGATCCGAAAGGAGAAGGAGCAGCGGCTGGAAGCGATCCGGCTGCAGGAGTTCGAGGCGGAGGCGAGCACGCGCGCCAAGCGGTCGTTCGTGGCCAATATCAGTCACGAGATCCGGACGTGAGCACACAGCTCTATTACTTTCTAATTCCTCTCGTTTCTCCTTTTGAATTGCTTGTTCTCGGTGCTGTGTATCCGTCTCCATACGGGCTACGTGCGGCCTTGGCGGGTAAAGCCGGCATTGCTTTGCTGATTTCGTCTCCATGCGTTGGCCCATTTCACCCAAAGTTAGCGTCAGCCAGATGCCAACGGGCCATGCGGGAGGAAGTTTGCTCTGGAATAGCGAACACAACATCATTACACTCAAAATCAAGGCCGCGGCTCCTTAACCCGGTTGCTATCCTGGGCAAGTTGATGAGGTCGATTTTGACATGCCGCCAGCGCTGTTTGCAGATGAAGGTGACGTCTGGTCAGAGCTTTGAAGCGGAACCGTTCCCAAACCCTTTTTTCCAACCCCGCGCAACCTTGTTGTGCAGTCAGCTGCTGACGGACGTTGATTCGCTAAATTGGTGGCTGACGTTCAAAACTCAGGTTGCGCCCTTCACCTGACCTTCTTAACCTGGGCAGGGTGACACACGAGTAGCGTCAGTCAGTTGCTAAAATAGGGCTTTACTCGCTTAAGATGAGCGTGTTATGCCCTTAACGGGTTTGTTTAACCCAACTCTTTGACTTGCGCAGGCCGATGAATGCGATCCTGGCGTGCAGTCAGTTGTTGACGGACATGCCGTCGCTAACCGCAAAGCAACGGGAGCTGTCGCAGATGATCCAGGGCTCGGGGCAGCAGCTACTGAGCCTCATCAACGACATTCTAGACTTCAGCAAGGTGAGGAACAATTTCTGGTGGATGAAAAAGAGCCTCTGGAAACGTGTTCGTTTGAAAACTAGTGGAGTGAGGGGTTTGTAATGTTCTGACTCATCAACGACATCCTGGGTTTCAGCAAGGTGAGGGTCGGAATGAGGACAGAGAAACGGATTGAGGCTGGTGCAGTCGACGAAAGCATACACGGTTGAAAGTCTCGTTTGGGTTACAGCGTCCCGGCTCAAAGCAAACTTAGCGACTTTGAGAGGAAGGGAGACGGACAACGAAAAGCAATGAGATGGAAGGCAAGAACAGGAGAGGGTGACCAGCCGTGATGAGCTGATGGTTGTCATTACGTCTTGGACTCGTCAAATGGGCTGTTGGGGATGTCAAAGGCTCTCACTTTGCGTCGAACTTGACACCATGAAAAGACAAACGAGGCAATGCGCGCTCTTTTCGAACGCCCCAACGGGTGCATGGCTCGAAGAGGCCCCAATTGGCTCTCTCGCGAAGGAAACCGCCGTCTTTACAAACACGAAATCGAATATGCAGCCACCACAGGACGAGTCGATCCTAAATATCTAGAAAAAACCCGCAAACCTTTAAAACCCTTCTCAATTACCTCTCTTTACAGCTGGACGCGGGCAAGCTCGCGCTCAAACTGGCGGAGTTCAGCCTGTGCGATGCCTCGACTCCTCCGAATCCAAAACCCTCAAAACAGCACAAGCCTGAAACCCTAACCCTACTGACGCGTTCCTGCTTACAGCTGGACGCGGGCAAGCTGGCGCTCAAGCCGGCGGAGTTCAGCCTGTGGGGGTGCCTCGACTTTTGCGTGGAGATGCTCGTGCTCAAGTGCGAACACAAGGGCCTGCACCTCTCCTACAACATGGACCCCTCTGTCCCTGAGTAAGGCTTCATTTCTCGGCCTTACTCCAAATTTGGGCCCTTACTTCGTACGTCGGTCCTACTCTTTGATTGGCCTTTTTCTACAGCTCAGGCCTGTCGTTTCTGCAATTCTTTTTTCGGATTGCCTCTTAGGCTCTTTATCTAGCCAGCAATGTGCGACAACAACGTTCGTTCAAGATAGACGTTACCGTGCGGGGAAAGTTCATAGTGACTTCCATAACAAAGACCTGTCACCCTCGCTTCAGCTCGGTCTTTGACACCACCCTTCGCGTTTGCAGCTGGATATGGGCGGACGAGGTCCGCCTGCGTCAAATCCTGACCAACCTTCTGAGCAACGCCTCAAAGTTCACCGACGAGGGGGGGGAGGTCGAAGTCTCCGTCACTGCCAAGCGCATCTTCCGGAGCCTTTCATCGAAGGAACCCGCGGAGTACCCTCGTTCGGGGGGGTCGTTTACCCCCTGGACTGGGGGAGGATTCTTCTCGAACGTGACGGGACCGGTGTTTCTCCGGGAACGCGTTTCTGAAGCGTTTCCAGAGTGCTCGGGAGAAAGCCCCGGGACGCTTCCTGAGTATAGGATCACGATTGCGGTGCGGGATACGGGGATCGGCATCCCGGCCAGTTTTCAGAAGCGGCTGTTCGACGCGTTCAGCCAGTGCGACAACTCACGGACCAGGCTCTATGAAGGTGAGGCATTTTGTTGAGAAGCAGCTTCTCTTGAAGTTTCAGGCGCATTCCTTCAGATGGTTGTTCTGGTTGACTTGTGTTCAACACTTTGGATCGCATGGTATTTGGAATTCAGCCCTAGTTCTCCAATTCTGACCTGGTTTCGAACTTCGACTGGCTACATGCTGAAGACCTTCTCTTCGTACAGAACGGATGGAAGACAATCGTCCAGCCAGGGTGCGATCAAACCGGATTCATGTGATGCAATCTCGAAGGCAATTCAAGGCAGATCCGGATCCCCCTGCTTTCAGCCACTGGATTGGGATGGCATTGAGCCAGAGTTTGAAGCACGTCTGTCTTGTTCAGAGCCATTTTAGGGGCAAGTCGTACTAAGACGCTCCCCTCTTTCAGGCACGGGTCTTGGGCTCGCCATCAGCCGAGACTTGGCAGAGCGCATGGGGGGAAGCATGTGGGTCGAGAGCGAAGAAGGCGTCGGAAGCACGTTCTTCGTCGCCATCACTGCCCGGGGATCCATGCAGCCGTCCACCGGGCAGTCCCAACTCCCACCGGTCACGTTAACCCCCAACGAGTGCCTTCAACAAGCAGGTTCTTCGATGTCCGAGCAACCGCTTGTGCCTGACCAGACTCAACCCAAACCGGTTATGAATACCCCCGACGAGACCCTGGAGCAACCAGGCCCTTCAACGTCCGCGCAACCGCTGTTGACCGATCAGACACAACGACCACCACCGGTTACGTTAACCCCGGACCAGTCACTCCCCTTGCCCACTGATTGCAACAACCACCAGGCTGCAACACCGTCTATGGAACGGATACCCCCACCTGCGACCAATTCCGTCCTCCAACGACTGGTTACGCCAATCACTGGGCGCCGTGCGCTGCTCGTGGGCACGCGGGGCGCGTTTCACCGAATGGTCGGGTCGATGCTCCGGGCATGGGGGGTGGACGTTTCGACGGCATCGTCGGACTCGGAGCTGAGCGCGCAAGCGGGCGGTTCAAACAATGCTGCGACCGGTTTGATGGCTTCGTCGGTTCCGGTGCTGAGCGCGTTAGCGGGCAGTTCTGCGACCGGTTCGGACTCTGATGCAGGCGGCTCCGCCGAGAAAGCGACCGGTTCAGGCCCTCAGTTTAAACCGGGAAACAGGTTCGACGTGTTTATCGTAGACTGTCCGGTCGCTAGCCGGTGTTCCAACGAGCAGAGGGCGGATGCGCCTGGACAAAAGCACCAGGTGGGTACCGGGGGAGAGCACCGGGTGGGGTCGGACTCAGACAAGCAGAAGAAAGGGGCGCCCGGGGAAGAGTACCGGGCAGCGGTGCAGCTGATGCGGCGTGCGTGCGCGCTGGCGCGGGGCGTCCCGACGTTGCTGCTCGCGTCCAAGAGCGCAAAGAGCACGCTCGACTTGCCGACGGAGATCCAGGTGAGCCGCCGTCTTCTGGTGCTGCCGCTCGGCTTTATGTCGTCGCTTCGTCGGTTGTCTCGTTTCTTTGTCGCTTCTTTCTGGAGTCGTGTTTACGTTGCACGCGGTATGTTCAATGATCCCGGCTACAAATGGCTACGAGGTGTCGCGAGTTAGTCTGACAAGGATGGCCAGTTCCACTTTGATGGAACTTCCATGTTGAAAACCTTCTGCTCTTCCCATGGGACCGAGACACTGTTTCTTCCAGCCCCTGCACTTCCGCTCTATCGAAAGCGCCTGCGAACGGTGGCTGCGTGACTGGCAACCGTTGACTCTGCACCAAAGGGGTCCCTTCGGTTGCTCCTCAGAAAAGCGTCGTTTTCTTCGTCCCGATCTTCGTTCCGACTCGTGCCCATCCACGCGGCTTTGAACCCTGAGACCCGAACTCTCAGATTCCAGCTTTTACCTTTCTTTTGGCCCGCAGGACCCCATCAAATGTTTGTCGCAGCCCAGCGCATCAAAGTCCCTCCTGCCAACGTCCGTGATTCAACCAGCAACCCTTTGAGTGTGGCTGAAAGACAAGACATGAATTTTCGATTCTGCAGGATCACGTCATGTGCTTGTCACAGCCAGTACGCATCAAAGCCCTCTACACGACCCTCCTGCAAACGCTCGCCCCCTCGCGCCCCGCCGCCCCCCTTATCACCCCGACCACTTTTTCCGCCCCCGGAACCCCCTCCCCGAGAGACACGTGTCTTCAGATTACGGTCGCGGAAGACAATCCCATCAACCAGAGAGTGCTTCACAAGATGCTGAAAGCGTTGAGCTATACCGAGATACGGACGGCGGTCAACGGGGCCGAGGTGCTGAAGCTGGTCAAGGAGCAGACGCCGGACGTTATCCTGATGGACATACACATGCCCGGTAAGAATTCAAATCTTTAGTCTCCCACTTCCTGGATTTCGGTCACACGTTTCAGGTTTCTGAGCTTTGGAATTCCCGGTTTCTCATCCGTCCGTTTCGCGATTGGTCGCACCGAAACGTGGAAGAGCATACGCGGGGACGTGATTCTGCTGGACATACACATGAAGATCACTTCGGTGTCCGAGACATGCGTGATCGACATTTGCATTTTTGCAGTTGAATGTCGTTGTCTGCGTCCGCTGCACTCGAGGCTCACCACATAGCACTCGCCGGTTGGCAATTAGATGGACATACACATGCCCGGAGAGACAATTATGTTCGGCTTTCCCAGCTTTTCATTTCAGTCAGTACCGTCTTGATTGGTGGAGCTTCAAGGCAGAGTGTAGCCGCTTGCTCGCTCTTGCTTACCCTGTTGTCTTTTGAAAAAGCAAACCGTGTTCAAACTCCTGTCTGCGACAATTGCAGGAACGAGCCCTGGCAAGCAGACTGTGTGGTTATCGCTGCTTCTCTTATTGTTCCAGATGGGCGCTGTCTGCACCTTCTGGCCTTCCGGCCGCTCACACTTTCACACCTCCATTTCTGTCCGCACCGAAGCTGCTCACGAACTCGCGCTCTGGGTGAACAAGGACTGAGCAGCCTGTCCTTTCTTCTGCAAAAATGGAAAACGCCCCTTGAAATTAAAAGCGTCCGTTTCATCGCTGCTCCTCTCGTCGCTTCCCGTGTCTGAAATTTTCAAGTTTTCGGCCTCACACCTCAGTTTCTAATTAAGGTAAAGCTGCTCAACGATTCGCACTCTGGTTGAACAAGGACTGAGCAAGTCCCCTCTTACTTCTGCAGAGATGGATGGCCTCACCGCAACGACCAGAACAAGGGTGAGTGCATCCACTTAATCTGACACCTTCTTCCACCGCGGGAGTGCTCTTGTCAGGATTGCGCCGACGCGTTGCCCATAGCACGACTTCCTGCACCCGGCAGGGATCCTAGTACAGTGCAGCTTCCCAGTTGTCAGCCTACCCGCTGATAAAAAGCCTTGATTGACATACCCGCTGCTGAGTGTCTGACATCGAGACGTCGTTTGTTGCCTTCCAACGGTGTGAACAAGTCTTACAATTGTGTTTCGAAGCCTAAACCTCTTCCTTTCGACTTTCTGTCGTTCAGGCATACTTGGCGGAAGACCAGCAGCCTATGATCATCGCCCTGACCGCTGACGTCGGAAACGACATAGAAAAGGAGTGCCGAGATACGGGCATGGTTGGTTACCTCAGCAAACCAGTGCAGAAGGCCCAGCTCGAAAAGATGCTCTCGAAGTGTGTATTTTACAAAAAGCATGCGGAGCAACGGAGGACGTTGAAATGGATAGATGTATAGTTTTTCCTCTAGAGCGCATGCCAACGAAAAGGTTGCCTTTCAGATAGGCATATTGCATAGGGCACCTTAGTCACGGGTTCACAACAGCTATAGATCAATGTACTAGAGTCAATGTCTGCTGCATCGGGTTGTCAAACGTGGGTGTTTAAACTTTAGGATGCGTGTTAAGAAGCGTCTGATCAGCTTAGTTGTAGGCTAGCTCATGCACAGTAGGCCGCGCAGCTCGCAAAGTGAAAGAAAATCAAGACGGGCGAAATAAGTTACAGGCAATTTAAGGACTTGGGTTCTTGCATGTGTTGCATAAATGTACAAGTAGATTATCAACCTAGAGGACTTCGAGTCAGACGGTTTGATTCTGGATCGATCATGATAATTTCTAACAGGTGGTCGGATAGGCAATACTGTCATCCCGCGCACTTGACAATCAGATGATACGTTTTGCCATAGCGTTGTTGAAGAGGCGTGCAAGCCCGCCCCTAACTTGTTAGAGAAATCCAAGTCTCCCACCTGTCAGAGAAAGATTGCTTTGCAAGATGAGGTACAAACAGCCGTCGCTGCTCTCACATCCAATTCTGCGCCGTGCGATTATGGTTGCCGCTGGGGTGGGTGGGCCGGTACTCGGTCGGTGGTGGTAAATTTACGATCGAATGGCGCAGCGGTACCGCCGAAGCCCAAAAGTGTCAGAGCCGGGTACAATTTTTGTCAGTATCGTACGGTTCACTGAATGTTTTTGTACTTTTGGTTCGGTAAAATGTACCTTTATGTCAGAGGCCTCTACATGTTAGAACTTAGAGGTCCCCATCGCGGTATCTCTAGCTAGTAGCTAGTGCACCGGGCAAAATTTTAGCCGATGTAAGTCGCAACTTTCAACTATTAAACGTACCGCCGGGCAGCATGGGAAGTCTTATCAAATATTTCTACGCCGTAAACGGCGGAGGTAGAATTTAGCAGAATACCCCCCTGAAATCACTATAGTACTTCATATTGATGGAACCCCCGCCGGCGAAAGTTGAGTTGCGTGCCGGGAATTCACGTAGAGGACTTGTAGTAGGTACCGTGCAATGCTTCAAGACCTGAGGTTGCGCAACCCAAACTTCAAATCGACGGCCAACATGAATGATAAGATCGATCGACGGTGATTTATGCCTCATCCTGCAAAGAAATCTTTCTCTGACAGGTGGGAGGCAAAAGAGCCCTGGTCGCCGCAAGTGGGCGGAGTTGTCATGTTCTTCTACAACGCCATGTGCATCGCTGAACGCTCGATTGAATCTAGGCTAAGTTCCTTAGAGCCAAGTAGAATGTCGATTTTTCTGGCAACCGGGCCGGACATGCGTGCATAATCTGTTTGAACACCTTGTTAAAATCTAATAATTTGCAAACAACATGCACGATGTGTCGTAAGCTATTGTATATGGCGGCCTGGCAATATGGTTGCTGCAGCCGGCCTGCAACATGTATTGGCGTTCGTTTCTTATCTAACCATGTCGCACAAGCAGCCCGCCAACTTTACTGAGCCGAGAACCTGAATATCATGGGCGGGCGCTATTTATGTCTATATCCCATGCATGCTTCTTAAGTTATAGTACACATATTTACGTACGACGATCATTAGATTCCAATTCCGACCCGCCGGCTGCAGGCAGTTCTAGCTGAGCCCAACGGTGAACCGCGCGCGCAACTAACCGGATGAGCCCATGGCCGTACGTCCCCGTAAGGAAGCCTCGACTATAGTCTTAACTAATGTGACTATAAAAGCATTTCAACAAGCAGCTCATGGTCACTCGTGCATGTGAACGGTTGCTCCGATCCGACGCTAATCCGGATGACCCAACATGGTCACGTGCATTAAGTGGCACGGCTGGCCGGCGCTTATGCCGCCAGGCTCATGCCGCCAGGCAAAGCTCGCTTGCACCATAAGTCCATTCACTGGCAGTGTGCCATCACGTCACGACATTCCCGGGGCAATATAGGCGGTATTAAACGGTAAAGATATAGGTCATTGCATTGCATCCATCCAGACGCGGGTTTGTGCCAATCAAAATGATAACATGGAAGTTCTTGGCCCTTCGTATTGACCGTTCCTCAGCTTCTGATAGGTTCTCTTCTAAGGTACTGATGTCAAGCCTGTCAGTTGCATCTGAATAGCATTGCAGCAAAAATCAGACAGCCAGTCTTCCATGAGCATCTATGAATCAACCGACCAAGACTGTCACATCGAAAGGCAGCTCAGCGGTGGTTACGACTTCAGCTCGTACTGCTGAACCTGCAAAGGTTGCTGACCCAGCTTCTGCTTCGACGGCTTCTTCGGCCGCTCTTCCATCTGCGCCAGGGCAGGCGTAAGGCCCTTTTCGGTGGCGATCGCCGCCTTGTTCGCTGCCACTACCGCTGCGACCTCCTTAGGCATGTATTTCTGCACACAAGCAAACAGTCGGGCTGAACACAACGATCAAAGGAGAAAGCCCACAATCCAGAGACCCTTTTATGAGTGTCTTGCACATGGTAGAAATTTGATCTGCCGGCAAGTTTGGTCGGCCACATGCTTGAGAACCAACCTGGCAAACAGCTTTTCGGAGTACGGAGAGAGCCAATCAAGCACGGGAATCCTGAGGAGTTCCGGGGCGGCAAAAGTTGTCTCTGACTTTGGCACCGGATGCCCCTGCTATCATTCGAAACTTGCTGAAGTCCTTGCGTTGGATAAAAATGCTGAGACTGGAAGCGGGCTACCAGACCGAGCTCCAACGTGCGCCCGATGAGTTTGTGATTAGGAGGTGAGTCAAGAACATCTCATAAACCCACGCGAACACAGAGAAGTCACATTCTACCGATAACTTGGATCTTTAGGCCTTATCAGAATATAAGAGAAAAGAATGCGTCGTCCATCTGAATATTTTATCCACTCCCCACTACTACGCGATCCAATTTGAGGTCGTGGGACTTATCAAGAACAGCTCGGTTGTCCAGATGCGTCTCCACACTAGCAACAACTCCTCAGGTAACGCAATACTTTCCTAATGTTGCGTTAGTATCATCCGTCCAACGCCAGCTTCGTGCCTCACCTCGTCGTGCTTTGCCAGTACCTCCGTCGCCGCGAAATGGCACCCCCCCACGCGCTCCCCCCCGGCCGTCTGCCCCTCCATCCCGAGCCCCGTCTGCTTCAAAATGCTCGGGTCCGCGGCCTTCAGCTGCCCGGTGACCGCTTCCCCCGGGCTTTCCGGTTCCCCCGATCGTAGAAACCCCTCCACCACAACGGAATGCCCCTCCCGGAACAGGTCGGGGAGTGCCCCCCGGTAACGCACGACGAGCTCCGTCGCGAGATCGGTTACCACGAACTCCATCTCCGTCGAGTGGCGGAAGTGGCGCACGCTGCCGTCGAGGACAAGCCCGCCGAGGCGCAGGCGGCGCTTTGCGTCGGGGACAACGCCTTGCTCGGAGAGGGTCGCCATGGCCTACAAGCAGGGTTACGGCTGGGTTAAGAAGGTGGGGTTCTTGCTAATGTAACAAGGGGGGGTTATAGCTGGGTTAACAAGGTGGCGCTTTGCGTTGGGGACGACGCCTTGCTCGGAGAGGGTCGCCCTGGCCTGCAAGCAGGGTGACGGCTGGGTTATGAAGGTGAGGTTCTTGCAAAATTAACAAGGCGGGGTTAAAGCTAGGTTAACAAGGTGGCGCTTCGCGTTGGGGACGACGCCTTGCTCAGAGAGGGTCGCCATGGCCTGCGGGAGACATTAGGCGGGATTGAGGCAGCTTAAGCAAAACGTAACCATGTTGAAAACCAGAGAGTCAATCTTCAACGACGATTGTGCGTGCGCCACTTCGCATCGGGCACGATGCCTTGCTCGGAGAGGGTCGCCATGGCCTGTGCAGAGAAGTTACAGCTGGGTTAAAGGGGTAGGGCTAGGAAAAACGCCTTGCTCGGAGGGGGTCCCGATGGCTTGCGGGCAAGGGTTACAGATGGATTAGGAAGATGGGAATACAGCTAGATTCGAAGAAGCTGGCATATCACGTCAAGGAGGGCCCCTTGCTCGAAGAGGGTCGACATGCCCTGGGGTAAGGGTGACAGCTGGGTTAAGAAGGTGGACTTAAAGCTGGGTTAACAAACTGAGGTTTCAGCTGGGTTATGGAGGTGGCGCTTTGCATTTGAAAGGACGCCTTGCTCAGAAAGGGTCACCACGACGTCCGGGCAGGGGTTACGGCTGAGTTAAGAAGGTCAAGACGAAGGGGATACCGATCTGAAGCATTGGTTGTCAGTGACTTGTCATCTGTACATCCAACGCTCGATGTTGGTCCAGACGCCTTGCTCGGAAAGGGACACCATGGCCCGCGGGGCAGGATTAAGCTGGATTAAGAAGGTTTGGTAAGCTAATTCTGTAATGGAGAAGTGAGAGTCAGTTTTACTGATTGTGCATGCGGGCGTTGAAGTCGAAAGCCAAAACCAACCGCGGGTTCTTGAGGTGGTGTTGGACCCAGGAAACGGCTCAACTGCTGTTCTAACGCAGCCGCTTGTGCGGTCTACAACATACTTGGGTCCGAAAACCTAGATGAATGCTTGAAGAAGGGGAAGAAGGTGCTTGGTTTTAAAAAAAATATTAACATGGTGTTCACTTGACTAACAGACCGTGGAGGGGTCACGGTAGGACTGAGGTAAGGAAACGGTGCAACCAAGCATGACGAGTTGCCGAGAGGAGGGATCACTTAGACCAACTTGTTAAGAACTATTCCGCTGCTAGGCAACGAGCTCAAATCTTGTGCGTACTAAGTGCGTACTAAGAGAATGAAAACATCCCCCCTTCGGCGCACAAGGGGCAATCTCCAAATGCAGGAGATTGTTTCACACACCTGAGTGGGCGTAATGTAGAAGACGAGGTTCTCCTGGAACGCATTCAGCACGAACGCCCCAAACGCTGCCACCACCGCGCCCCCCCCAACGAGCCGCCACAGCTTCTGCGCCTGGCGCGCGCGCGCCTTTGCCGCGATGTCAACGTGTCCGTCGGCGCGCCGGGGCGCAGCAGCGAAGAACCTTGTGGTACCCCGGGGGTTCAAGAAAGGCGCCCCAGAGAAGGGGGTGTGAGGAGCATTGGGAAAGGGAGGTCTCAAATTGTGGGAGGAGGTGTTTGCGCTGCTGTGGAAAAGCTGCCGTGCTTGTAAGGAGGACAGCAGCGAGCCGGTGTTGGAAGAGGGAGGTGATGATATGTGAGAGGGAGAGGGAAGGTGGAGGCGGCGGATGCTCTGAGCGAAAGAGGAAGGGGGTGTGTGGGAGGGGGAGAAGGTGCTGAAGAAAGATCTGGCGGCCACACCAAAAGACTCTGGGTGCATAACTGCCCTCTGCAGACAAGTCACCATTTTTTTTTTTTGTTGCTTGAGAAAACAGATCTCAAGGGAGCTGCCTGATCGAGGCTCTGCTATGTCTTGCCTTGATTTTGAGATAACCACACTAGTTGCCACCAACAGCATTAACAAGAAAGGTGTCAAGCAGCAACGTGTACAAAGTCAGTTTGCTGTGGACAAGCATGTGACATGAGGATGCATGAGTTCAAGAGCACAAGCATACACAAAAAAGATAGGGGAGGTTCCAAGTAGCCAAAGAAGAAATATGATAGATCTATGGGAGCTGCATATCTACGGAACGTCGCTATGTGATTGGATAGATGTCTATCTTGTACGCCGGTCATACCATGTAGCTCCAGAACTCGCAGCATGCTTAGATAAATTTCTGATCTTCAGATCTTTGCAGCTCAAACTCACATCCATGTCATCCTTTTATTCCGCACTCACCTGGATCAGAGCAGCGAAAGCACTCCCCGGAACTGCATGTCTGGTCAATGGTGTGAGAGGCCACATGATGTATGACCGATAGCTTAGTGGCTCCACCAACAGATGGTAACCTTTTTAGACACACAATAAGGTTTCTACAGCCCCATGCGGCTCCTTCTCTATGCTGAAGGATCAATATCAGTGATGAGCAGACAAGTGCATCCTGCCCTCCCCTGCCGCATCCGTTGCCTGTGCGTCTCCAGCGTTGCATGAAAGTTGGGGGCCACGATTTCCAAATTCCAAGCTGTGATCTGATCGTAACTAGAGTAGGGGCTCGGGCAGCAGGGGTTCTTTTGGCTTCTGCTCCGGGGATCATCCACAGCGCGGCAGTTCAGACTGACATGACGTTGACAGTTGTATTAAGTTTGTTGTCCGAAGCGAGGAGGACCAGCAGCACACATGCATGCACATGTCCAGACCGTCTATAAGGTATAAGAGTTTTCATGTTTGCAGTGGCAGTTTCAGCTCGTCATACTCATATAAGAAGCGATTGGTGGTGAGGACTTCGGCGAGGCGCCGCGCGCACCATGGGTTGCCAGTATGCGTGTGTTGCACCAGCTGGTTTGGGTCAAAGGGTTGTGCAAGATGGTGGAAATGCCCAAAGATCTCACAGCAACGGCAAGGCAGAATGGGCTGTTCAAGTATTTGCAACAGGCGCTGGCCAAAACGGATCTTCGCAGCATTTCACTCAGAGATGCCCATTCGCACAAAGATGGTTGAAATGCAGCTTCTCGGGGATATCGCGACCCTCACAGTGGCAGCCATATCTTATCCAACCGCCCATTTCTAGGCAAAAAGCTGCGGACCCTCGAGTGGTTGCGAAAGCAGTGAATGCGCCCAGCACAGAAACGTCAAACACAGCAAAGGGTGCGTTGGAGTTAGGGGAAGACGTCCCCCTGCGTGACGCGTCCGAGGTTGTGCAATCGTTCTACAGCTCAATAAACAAATGCGACATTGACCTAGCGATGAGCTTCATCTCGGAAGACTGCAGGTACGAGGATATGATCTATACGAAGCCATTCGTTGGCCGGCAGGTGAGTGCGCAGCTCATTAATTCTGCACCCCTCTTCTTTCGTCCCCTTTGATGCAGGTCTTCCATTTGTACTTTGTGCCACCACTCGTATGTCGGGCGGCAGTTGGATTCCCCACCGGGATGGCTTTTGCGACATTCTGAGAACCATTTCGGAGTGGCAACCAATATTTGAGCAGGGATCTGTTGGCTGGGCAGGTGGACAAACAAGAACAGGTCCTGTCTTCCCCTTTCGGATGTCTTGCAACTAGTCAGTTCACCTAGTCAGTTCTACGTGTCCTCAGTAAAATCCAAGGAGACTCCTTGTCATCGAGCCAGAATTTGCAGCACTGCTGAGGCGAGTACTCTGTTAGCGAATCACTAAATCCATATTCTCTCATGTGCAGGCGATTCGGGCTTTCTTTGAGGAGCAGACAAGCTTTTTCAAGGACGGGCTCGATTTCGTGATCGATGAGATAAGCGGCGGGAGCTCCGACTCATGCGGCCTGACCTGGCATGTTGGTGAGCAAGCGATTACTCGCCCCTGGCAAGCTTACGTTGACAGAGAATGCTGGCCATTTTTTGTTTCTGGCCGTTTTTTCGCTGGCATTTCTGGTCTCTGGCATGTTTCTGGTCTCTGGCCTAAGCTTGTGATGGCTTCCGGGGCTCGCTCACTGCTTGCATACAAGAGCGACTGCTCATTGGCATATCTCTCAAAGCGTGCTCTTCAGCATCATGCTATTTCCAATCGCCTTCAAAATTCTGGTTCGAAACCTTGGGTGTCCAAGTACGATCACTTCAGCCACTGGCCTCGATCTTGAGGGCAGATCATGTCCCTGGATAGAGCGAACTTTTCAAGTGTTGCCTACGTTCTCAGTGCACCCGTGTGTAGATTCTAAGAGCAAATGACACTCCAAACTAGATTCGGCGGGTTCCAACGGAAGGTGCCGATTTTGCATTGTCGTTTCCTTGATTTGACAAGATTGTTGCAACCTGGCCTTCGCAGCTCGCAATTGCGCTATGCTTATAGGCCTTATGGGACGCGTTCACAGTCTTCTTTTCGTTTGCAAGCGCTCATGTCACGAAGAAATTTCTGACGGCCGGCCAGGCTTTGAAGCCGTCTCCTTTGAGACTTCGTGACAGGGTGGAAAATTGGTTGAGGTACTTGCCGTTTCAGGGGCGGCAGAACTTTTCGTAAGGCAATCTCGCTTACGTCATTTTCCGTCCGTGAGGAAGTTTCTTTCCAATTCGGCCAAGATACTAAGGATTCAACATTGGACAGCTGCTTAGTATTTCCGGGGGAGATTTTAAGAGTATGTATGGATGTAAGTTAACTTTGGTCAAGGGAGTCGATTTCAGTCAGGTCTGTTCGTTGGGTGTCAACGCTGGTGGTATTTTGATTCAGTGCAAGGAACAGGATTTCGAGTGGGCTTCATGGTATCGGGCGGCACGGCAGCCACTTCCTCTACCCCACTTCTTATTTCAAGGATTTGACCATTTTGCCCTGACTTCTTGGCACACATACCGGCTACTCGGGGCGACACGAAAGTCAGGATAAGAACAAAGCCTTGTCGATAAGTATCACAGCTTTGGGAGAACGCTGATCTGGACGGTCCCATTATGATTCGAACTTTAACGTACAGAAACGGTCAGTCTGGCGCCACGCAAGCATTCGTTTCCAAAGGATTCAACATTCTCTTGATCGACACTCACGGGACTGTTTATAGATACATCGCACTTCGACCGTTTGTCGCCGCTTCAAGGTAGGACGACTTCTGCATCTGAGCTCCGTAACGGTTGCGCCAAAGCGCAATTGTTTGCAAAGCTTTACGCTTTGCAAACCTTTTTCCCGTGTTTTCGTGCAGAGTTTCAGGGAAAGGTGTTCCCGAACAGCCGGGGCTGCAGCTACTACAGATGCGCGGTCGGAGCGGACGGGAAACAACAGATTGTGTACGTTGCGTGTTTCCATGGAGTCCTGTCATGCCTTCTTTGGTTAACGAGATGGAACGAGTGGCTCAATTAAACAGCCTCCCAGCTTCCTTCAGATTGGATGCTGCGCCTGCTGCCTTTGAACGCCGTGTGTTTTCGCTTGTGCCTGAGCCACTTTACTAAGCGGTTATGAGATCGTTTATTTTTTATGTTCCTCCCATCGGCTACTATTTTACGCTGAACGCGATGAATAAGTTACTACTTAGTTACACAAGTCGGCCTTGGGTTGATATGAGGCTCGGTGGTTGAGCATGGCAATGAGTCACTTGTATCTGTGGAAAGAAAGTCTTTTCAGGAGTTGCCTCAACGTGCAAACTTGTTGACGTCGTGCAATTGACCGAAAGGGTGTCGCTTGTGCAGGTACGGAAGGGACATGGTGGAGTCAGCTTTGAAACCAGGTAGTGCTTCTCTCGTACTCCTTCGATTTGTCGCGGCACTCTTCAAACGCTTCCCCAAGCTACTAGATGTGGCCTCTTCGGAGTAGTATGAAACGGCAAAAAGTCGCGCTCAATATGCGGTCTGCCAAGACAGATCAACTACGACATCAAGCAGGCTCCAATCGTTCTGGTTGTTAAAGTTCTCGTATGCCAGCTCTGGCACTATTTGGCGTGTAGGTTTAACCTGGCTTTGTCTAGCAAGTGTTCTGCGCCCGTTCGACCAGCAATTGGAGCGAATTGCCGCTTTGAAAACACATTTGTCAGTCGTTCTGGAGCATGGCACTACACAGACCCTAGAGAGTCCATTTGAAAAGTTAATGGACGAGGAAAATCTAGAGGTTATGGATGATGAAGTGTCGTGTTACAATATGCACATGTCACAAGGAAGGTGCTGCATCTAATGCCTAACGATCTGACTACTGGGCGGGATGTGAGAGCCCTGTGAGAGATGGAGCATAGTTTTGCATTGGTATAGCTTGCCCATTAGTATCATCGTCAGTGCCACTCCCAACTCTCCAGTTTTGCATCAGAGGCTTTTCTGCACCGTCTCATGTATCTCGGTGTATGCACATTGCAATGGCATGCTCACACCACCACGTGACTTACACCGATACAACTTAGTGTGGGCAACATGAGATGGCTTGATGGAAAGAAGATTATCCTGGAAAGCACAAGAAGCGTATGCAGTTTGACAATGCACGAGTGCATGAGATGGCAATGCGAGTGGGCATTGGGCGCGGCCGTTATACCGTATATATGATCGGTACGGTTTTATTTAGGTAAATGGACCATGCACGTACAGACTTGGTCATTCACAACGCAACCACGCCAAATTTTCTACGTACGGTGAATTCTGCGCGGCGGGCAAATTTTCAGCCCCGCAGACTCGGAGATGCCCAAAATGGCGATTTTTAGGGTTTTAAGATATGGCCTAATTTAGGCAGTTCTGCATGTAATTTAAATCTGAAAATTGGTATATAGCCTTATTACGAGCAGTCTAAAATCGTATTAAGTTTTCAGTAAGTTCACAGGTGGGGATCTCAAACCGTCACGGTGGAGGTTTTTGCCTATGCAAAATCACAGAGTGAATTTGACCGTGAGTTCCGAACTACGGCGGTCACTTTCAGTGGCTTATTGAAAATCGAACTTTCAGCCATCGAAACTTAGGGTTTTGACTCGGACCGTCGAGCGCTCCGAGACCGTGCGATTGCAAATCTGACGGTCGCTGAAGGAGGCCGGTATCGAACCACTTCGATCTGAAAATGGCGTGGTTGCGTTGTGTTAGATAAGTGGCCGAGCTTTTGCCACGCGTCTCTTTCGAATGTGTAGAGGTTGCGTGACCTGGTTCGCAACCGGATACAGAAACTTTTGGCCGGTACACTTTTGACCTTTTGGTCACTCGGTGATCAGTGACGCAGCAGTGTGCACTGTGCAGGCCGTCAACCAGTCCTTGAAACTTGAAAGTCCTTGAAAGGTGGACACCCCGGGTGCAAGCGTGCAATGTATACACCGGGTGCTTGTAGGAGACGGGCCGCGTGAAATGCTGAGTTGCTGGCCTCTCGTTGGATGGTGCCCACCTCTGCGGAAAGCTGTGAACCAATCAAGCGGACGAAATTGATTCGGCTGGCTGTCCAAAATAGAAGATTCTGGAGTTGAAGTACTGTATAGACCCGCGGGAAAAGTTAGTTCAATGGTGTACAGCAGTTTTGCAACAGGTTGCGGAAAAGTGGCCTTTTGAATGTGCCAACTGGCAGACCGCGCGAAAAGAGAATCTCGGTCTCGAAAAGCCGCTCTCGTGACTCTGACTCACTGCCACGTTGCCACCTTGAACGACTCGCAACGAGCACAATTCTGCTGCAATCAAACTGCCGCAGATTCTGCAGTGCCAATCCAACTGGGTTAAGCTTCTTGCAGATGGATTGACACTGCTTTTAGTCGACGGGGATCGTGTCAAAGTCAAAGTTGGATAAACACGAACCCAGGGCCTGCTCGCCGCGTCCTTGTGCCACGATGGATTGCATCTAACCCAAACGGATTCCACGTCAGGCAATTATTTAAGGAAACTCTGTTTCATCCAAATCCGACATACAGCCATCCAACTTTCGACGCCCCGTCAGAACTAATGCAGAATGGTAGCGCGGACAAAGCCCGCGTCGAACTTGGCCTGACAGAATGGAAATTTTCTTCAAGGAATAAAAATCTGCAGAGGTTTACCTAGGTGCCGAAACCTTGGAGCCAATGTGGTTAGGGCAACCCACGGGTTCCAAGTCAGACAGGATTCCGGCCCCCCTCCGAACATTCGCTGGTTGATTCTCCCCCCCGGGAAGACGCGTGCGGAGTACCCAGAAGATTCGAAGAAACAGAAACAGACGCCCAAGTCGAGACCCCTAGCTCCGCGTCGTGCGGGAAGCGGGAGTCGTCCCCTGGGTACGTTCCACCTGCGCTTCGAATTTTCGAAATTCAGTGAACCGGGTGAATATTCAGCCCGCCTCGCACACACGTGAGACCGGCGTGTCGCGCAAGTTCATCCGCCCTGCATGTACACAGCGTGGCGTTTTGCGCGACAGCCCACGGGCAGATTCTTCCGCGGATTCCTGCATCGCAACTCGGGCGTGGCCAAGGTTCCTTCACCTGCGCGCTGCGGTTCACCGGACGATTCGTCTTCGGCTGTACCGTGCACTGCACAAGGGCTACGACACCATGGCCGCAGTCTGGCAACCACGTTGCTCCCCGTGCTGGCCTTAGGTCATTCTGAAAGCAGCAGGGCGGCAACAGTTGCTCCTCGTTCCCGTCGCCCCTCCTCTGGTTCTCCGCAGGGCGACCCCTTGTCGTCCAGTGGGCCAGCATGCCTTCTTTCCATGCACTGGTATCATCTGAGGAGCGGCAGGGTTGCACTGAATCAGACGGCGCGTCCACTTCGGCGAGCACGAGGCACACCAGAGCGAAGACACTGCCAGCCAAGATGACGGCAATCCAGAAGAAGTCCTCCGCCAGTGCGCTTCTCCGGGCAAAGGCTGTCTCAGCGCCTCTTGGCGCGTCAGTGAAGGCACGTCTCTGCGCAGACGCGAAAGGCCACTCAGCAGAGGACCAAAAGATGGCTGGGGGAGTTGAACCCCACACTGTGAATCTTGCGGCGATGGTTCATGCTTTCATTCATGATGTGGAGGCTGAGGAGGTCAAATTACATAGGTCAAGGATGTGCAACCCGGATGACGAGGCATGCACAAGTGATTGTGAAGGGGATGGAGAAGGGTGCGGGTCAGGCGAGCTAGCTCAGGTCCTGAAGGTGAGCGGTTCTTAATCCATGCTGACTGCATTTTTTGTCGAATGTCCGTCAGACACCATTGCCATCATGCAGGTGATGTGACTTTGCTTTTGGTCAGCTGAACGGGTTTGGATGGGAGCCTGGAAGCCAGCTTGGCACTTCAGGAAGCGATTTTTCCTGGAGATGATCTTGTTTTGTCAAGACACACGAGCGAGGTGGTTCAGGACTGGTGAAGGACAGCTTTCCAATGTGTTCATCCACTATGTTTTGGATCGTCAATGAACCCTTTTACTTCATTCATTTGAACTGTTCTTCTCATGCTTTACTTTCCTATGTTTCCTCGAACTGCGATGTTGTTTGGCAGTTTCGGTCACCGCCTCTGCCTTTTTTGTTGAGTAAAGAACGATTGGTCTTGATTTTTTCCTGAGTTCAAAAGAAGCTGTCAATACATTGGTTTGTATACTCCCTTTCTGGAATTGGACGGCCTTGTCGGCGTCATTCTCCTGTGTTATGATTCTTGGAGGTTGACCCCAAAGCCACCACCCTTATCTTCATCAAGTGTTTTAGTATTGTTGCTTACAAGGTGTTGCAAGCATTGCATTCTTTTGTTTCGAGAGGATTTTGCACTCATTGAGTATCACAGTGGGATGAAGCGCCACCCTTCTGAACTTTTCAAGCATTGGTACGGACTGCATTTCATTGCCATGGCAAAGCATACAGTGGGGCAACTGTGCTGCAGTTTAAGTGTTTTGCAGGAGTTGAAGCCTCTCAATGAAGCCTCTCTATAGCCTCCAACAATAATGACCACCATCATCTCCCACTTCTTTTACATTGTTTAAAAGCCTCTCTAATGTTCCTCTGTCTGTTCTACAGGGCCTCACTCACACAATGAGTGTAGCGGAGAGAGGTCTCCTGGCCGACGTCACTGCAGCAGTCAAAGCCACGAAAGAACAGCCAATGGAGCATGGGGAGAGTCAAGACGATGAAGAGTGCTCAGGGGGGTGCATTCGCAGGGCAGTGCTCAAGGGTCTGCGGAGGCAGGGTCATAATGCAGCCATGTGCAAGAGTAGATGGGACCATTCCAGGGGCTTTCCAGGGGGCGATTACGAGTACATTGACGTGACCGGGGACGCCTTCAGTTCAAAGGGAATGGAGGGGCGGGTGATTGTGGACGTGGACTTCAGGGCTCAGTTTGAGGTGAGCGGCCCTGGCTTGCAAAGATTGTTGGAATTGGAACAAATTGTGTCAATGTATCATCCATTGGGGGCACTCCTTGCAGATAATGTTGATAATGTTGATAATGTTGACTTCTGAGTGTGCACTCCCTCTTACTTGTCCTTGCACCATTAACAGCAGCTGGTGTACATCTGAAGCAACTCCCACAATAGCCTATGTCGAGATTGTTAGCTTTCAGTGTAACGTCGAGGATGTCTTTTGATGTTTCTTGAGGCACTATACAGTTTGGTGTTTGTATTCCAATAAGGAGGCTTGCAATGACCCTCTGGTGTTTCGCAGTCTCCAATATTTGTTCTCTTTAGTTGGATGTTACAGTCAATTTACAGCATAGTTATCTGAGAGCTGCCCTTGTGTTTCTCAATGGCTGATGCTGGTTCTTTTTTGGGACCCCAAGTCAGAGAAGCGGTGTTATCCTCTGACCATTCTTGTACTGCAGTGATTCAGAGCAGCAACTCCAGTCCACTAATGATTCTCAAGAGTCATTTGACTGATGCTAATGTTACTCCTCCTTTCTTCAGATTGCGCGTCCCACACACCAATACCAGGCGGCCATTCAGGCAATTCCCGCCATCTTCGTTGGGCGCCTCGACCGGCTGGCGCAGATTGTCGAGATCATGGCGGAGGCCTGCAAGCAGTCGCTCAAGAAGCGAGGCATGCACGTTCCCCCCTGGCGCCGGCCCGAGTACCTCCGCGCCAAGTGGTTCTCCGCCTACAAGCGCTCCACGCTCTCAAGCAGTGCCAGCCTGGCGAGCCTCTCGGGGAGCTTCGACTCGGCCTCTGGTTACGCAAGCTCGTCCGACAAGGAGAACGACAACGGGGCCCTTGGGCGGCTCGGCTGGTTTGCGGTGGCGGTGCCGGTGAGTCGGGCACAACGAGGCGTAGACGTTGAGATTGATGGTGAGGAGAAGGTGGTTTTCAACCGGGCGAAGCGGGGGGCGAGCGCGAGGGTGCACCTAGAGGGGGGCGAGAAGGGGAGCCAGCAGGGGTCTGAACGGCATGGGGTGATCAATCTGGAGTGGAAGCCTCCAGCAGTGCACGAGGGGAAGAGGCGGATGGCGAAGTCGGTTGGGTCGGGGCTGGCTGGGGCGCTGATGGAAGCGGGGCTCACGGGGGCGCTGAGAAAGCAAGGGGCGGTGGGGGAGGATGCGTTTGCAGCTCAGCAGAGGCAAAGGCAGCCCAAGCTACAAAGCCTGGCGGGGAATGCGGGGATCAAGCAACAACAGACCAGGCCGCCGCCAAGGATTGCCATTGCAGCCCTGTGAGAGTGTTAGACCATAGGACACAAATGTGAGAGCTTAGGAACTGACTGATAGGAGAAGAACGGGGGCCAAGTAAAGAGCCGGCCCGTTTTGGGACCATGTTGTATCATGCTTGATCGGCAGGGAATCAGGCCAGCGGCTTGAACACAAACGAGACTCGCACTTGCAGCCGACAATTTTCCAGAGTGGCGGCAAGCTGCCCATATGAGTTGGTCTGGTTAGCCCGGACGAAATAATTCTTTTGATAGTCTAGGTGAGGATGTCCGGCCGTAAGGGGGACATCGCTGTACCATGAACACAACCTTAACACGTCTGGAAGGAGTGGAACAAAGGTGTCCACTCCTGAGTTCTAATCATCAAGTTTGATTGACATAACATTCTTTCTCTTTCCGACATCCGCAAGCAGATTGAAGCAGCTCCCCCTCAACTTTCACATGCAAGCAAGTCGATATGCAAAGCTTTCTAATGTTCTCATTCGAAAGTTTAAATCCGTATTGAGTCATGCAAACATGATGCAATGGTTGCTTCTTAAGTACGACTATCCATACTTATTGTTATCATGGTCCATCCGATCGATCGACGACCATGATTGACAACTCTCTGTACGCATTGCGTCGTCAAACCTGGATGGAAGTTCACCACCCTCGGTAGTCAGGTTGCACCGTCTCGCTGAGGCCTAGATTGATCTTAGGCAGAATTTGACATGCTAGCAGTCCGGCGTTGATACATCGAAATCGTGATTGAGTATAATGATCATGGCATGTGCACCGTCTTCCCTAGGATCCATTGTTTCTGAAAAGTTGATTCCTTAAGAACGGTCCATGCGCAGCAATTGTTCACTGCCAACATGCGGCTTGCGTTTCGATGTTGACGACCACTTGCACCGAATAGCAATCGTGACAATTCCACAGGCCGCTGCAATTGATAGTCATTTGTGCTCCGGGACTCCGGGAGCTTCGGCCCCTCAAATCACGCGATATTCTTATTGCTGTATCTTGACACCAACCGTTGATCTTGCTGTAAAACTTGGACGTGATATTCTTGCGCAAGTAGAGAGCTTGCCTTTATCCCGATCCTACAGTGCCACCTGTCCACACATTCGACACTCCGGGTGTGTCGAAGTGTCATGCAACTCATTTTCTGCATGTGCGCTCCAACGAGGCCCTCACAGAAGCCGTTGCATCTCATGTTCCACAGAAACAGCCAAAGCTAACTTTGGCACAGACTACGTCTTCAAAAGAATGCTCAATCGTCCGATCGTCCGAAAACCGAGCCCCCACTGTTCCATGTAGATTGTACATCTTGTAACTCATTTGAATCACCGAGGGCGCAGAAACCGAATCACAAGGCTCCCGAGGTCGCTCGAAGCCCTAATGCACTGCAGCAAACGAACGATTGGAATTTGGGCCCGCAGAAGGACAAAAGTGACGGCCTGCACGAGGGATGCCTAGTACCTTCTGATGACGTATATTGCCAACACTGGCTATACAGGACATGACTGTGGCGGACGCTTCGAAGAAACACACAAGCACTTGGCCGCCGCCAAAGAGCACGGAGGAACGAAAGGACAGTAAGAGGAGTTTCAAGTTTCTGGAGCCAACAAGGAATCTGGCGACCACTCCGACGATGCTAACTTCGGGATGCTAAGGTTCATGAACATTAGTATATGACCGTGAGCCGCTATTTAATATCGTAACAAGATAACAAAAGTCTGCGAGAGCTTCCAAGGCCTGTCACTTTCCCATTACTTCGTTCGGAGCAGCGGATCAGGAGTCTTCCGCTAGAGCAGAGGCATACAAACTGCCAAAGGTGTAGTTACGAAGTACGGCGTATTAAGGCAGACCCTTGGAAAGTGACGTGGACAGTTTTGTACTGAGTCCACGGGGGCTACCTCGTCATGCTGACCCGCTGAAATATTAAGTGTCGGGTCATCCTTGTTCGTCGGCGGTCCTGATGCCAGGTCAATTTCGAGTCTGCAGTTCTGGCAACTTGCGACAGACTTCGTCAACAACATATGACCCTTTTCTTGATTGTGTCAGATTGAAGCGGCCGAATAGGAATTGATGCGATTGCCAGATGATCCTTCCCTTTCCGGGAGACGAAAGTCCGGGTGCTAACGGAATCATGTCTTAGTACGAGGCCTTCAAGCTGGAAAACCTGGCTCACTGAGTCCACCAGACTTCGCAACTTCGGTCCGACTCACTGTCAGGACATCGTGGTGATTAGCACGTGCTGCATTCCAAAATAAGTTTTCGTTTTCCACTTTTGGTTGCGGACGTGGGTTTATACCTCACAAGAGCTCGGGCGTTCATGCGATGAGGAGCTGATCCGTTGCCTGTGCGAAGCTTCATTTGAGGCTACGTGGCGCTGAGGCCGTCGTTCAACGGTACTGAGTATCACTTGTCATACGTGGCCACTTCGGACAGCGAGCTGAGTAAACGTAAGTAGCTTTTCGTGTGGTTGCGAGGACGACACTATGTTCTGAACGAAGTGCTGAGGTTCCGGGCAGGTTCTCAATGTCTTTAAAAGCCCCCTGACTTGCAGAGTCGCAGGCGTCCACACTGACTTGCCGAGTCAACTCATGTTCTGATTTCATTCAACCTGTCTTTCGAAGAAGCGAACTGCTGCAATGGTCGGAAGCCTAGTGCAGGGGATCGAAGCACAGCTAGTCGTCACTGGTGACTCGTCTCCAGTGCTTATAACGTGCGGGCCTGTCACGATATACATATTGCTTCTGATCAAGCCCGCCTAAAGAAGCTGCGAACAATCGACTCTCTCACCGAGATCAGGAAGACCTGGGCGGTTAGAAAAAGGTAGTATATTGGAGGCGGAAAGCCGAAAAAGGGTCGAAGGAGGGCTTCTTGGTTTTAAAGTGCATTGAAAAGGTCGCGCAATCTTCTAAGTGGGTGAAGAAGATTGCGGTTCGACGGAACCTGGACCACCATTGAAACAAACTTGTGACAGAGCCAGACCTAGCTCAATTTTCTCAATTTTGAGAATTCAAACCAAAAGTCATGGGGGAACCACAACGGCCCGTGACTTAGGCTTCACAATCGATACATCGATAGCAAAACTCTGCCAAAGAAGCTCGTTCCAGAATTAGATTTCAAAAGGAACGGCCTGTGTACTTTTGGGTAGTAGTCGGACCAGATTGCTAGTGTTGCACGGGGCCAGTAGCCACGTCCACTTTGAATGCAGAAGAGCAGTGAGGTGGATTAGGCCCGGATTAAGTGTCAAGTTGAAGTACCGTTGAAATTTACAAAGTTGCACATTTATTGGTCACTTGATTTCCCCAGCAATTTGTCAAATTGTCAGATTGTCATAATGTCACCTCGGTGAGCTACTACAAAACTCAGTCAAACAGCTTAGGTACTTCGGCCCTCTGAAGGGCCCACTAGTGGGCCTAATTTGTATCCGCAATGCAACTTGGAGAGTGGAACATTGCCAGGCACGTAGTGACGAGCCGCGGGCGGCCGAGGCTGCGAGGCTACTGCCCGTGACTCTGTTACGTCACCCTGATTGAGTGACACTGGTCGTATAGTAAGGTTCCCATGTTCAGCCGAGACCTCACCGCCGGGATAATTGTCAGCGGGCAAACTAGTTATACGGTACGTTGTAGAATGCCCCGACTCTGGGGAACTGGCTGGAAACACTAGAACGCTAAAATGCAAGCGGAATGGGAGCGGAACTCGGATCACTCCCCCGGAGGGCCGGGGGGGTCCCTGGCGTGAGCAGTGCCCATGGATACGGTATTATGCTGTCCACGGCTCCAGTATACCAGTGCTGCACGCTGGCGCCACTAGACCATACCAGACTCTCATGACTCTGGTGCTCTTGTGCGTCTAGACAGCACACGACAATGATGCACATTGCACGCCGCACGCGGGATGCCGTCATATTGCACATGGTGCTTGGGGGCACCGGACCGGCATAGGCTTCTGGTCTCATCCCCTTCACGCGCGGATCCATCGCCTCCAGAAGCAGCCTTGTGGCCACGGGCCAATATGCTTGCATCTTCCAGATTCTCTCGGCCCACGTCGGCCACAAGAAGTGGATATTTCCCGGGGTTGTGGGTCTCGCACGAGATTCGCCGAAAAGCAGCTGCTTCACGTGAAGTTCCGACGTTTGACCGCCCCCGGTCGCGCAACTGGTTTGACTTTTCGTCACTCGTACAGTGTCGTACTTACTTCGTCTGATCGCAAACAGAAGGTCAATCATGACCGTACGGTCAACCGAAGGCTTCGAACTTCGAACTTCGAAGTTGGGATTCCGGAACGGCCGCGGTAAGGGTTGGGCCTTGAAAGCCCGCGGTAATGGTATATGGTATGCAGCAAAAATGCATCCGCACTGCATTGTTTCGCTCAGTTTCGCTGGACATGCTTTTTCCTGAGCCAGAAACTTTCTGAGAGTCAGGAGTCCAGGGACGCTCTGACTCCTGAGTTTCTGTTAGAACGTCTTGTGGCTGTGGCAGGGACTCGCTTGGAGACTCGACTTTTTAGCACTCACATATGGGCGCCCACAATTAGGCTTGAACCCAAATCATGGCGCCCACTGCCCAGAAGAACAAGTCGCACAAGGCGCGCTTCGCCTCCAAGGGCCAGCGCCACAAGCACAAGGTCGCCAAGGAGACCGTTGCCACCGGAGCGTCCGCCGTCCACCGGTCGGGGAAGAGCTCCAATGTGAACCGGGCGCAGCGGTTGCAGCAGGCAAAAAATGCGAGGGATCACCGCAGGGCGGACGCTCTGCTGGAGAAGCGGACGGGGGGCGGGTCCGGCGGCGCGCCTAAGCTGATTGTGAGTGGTGTAGTCTATGGAGGTTTGAAAGATGATTATGAACTTTGGCGCTGAAGTTTGTACTCTGCAGCTTTTGCTGCCGGGAATCAGAGGGGCGGGCGCTGCATGGCAACGGTTTCGTTGTCGGTGGTAAAGGTGTTGGCCCAGTGGCGCCGTGCATGAAACCGCAACATTTTGAGGCCAGAGGTAGACTGGCAAGGTCTTGTTTGTGAGGATGGCGTCTGATGTTTTTCTTTCTGTTTCTGTCATAAGGTGGAGTTTCGTGGGATCTTGCACGGGGTTTGCTTTGGTGGCATTAGTGGGTGCCTTTTCCGCGACGCAGCATATCGATGTTTAGAAGTGGGCACCATTTCATTGCTGAGGAGCGCACTTGAGAGGCCACATTTTGCTGGCAAATTTGTTTCTTCATAGTCATTATCTTTAACTCAGGGTTTAGGGTTTGAAACCCTAATGTTGTGGCCATGTGAATGAGAATCGCGAGGGTGCCGATAGTTGCCATACTGTATGCAGCTTTTGACTGATGGAGGCGCGGTTGAATATGGTCATTTTGATGGTGGTGCTTTGTCCGAGCTCTGTAGCATCGCTCGCTGCGCACATTCATGAGATTAATGCTGCTCTGCTGCTGCTCCGTCTTGTCCACACCACCTCCCATCGCCGCAATCAATTGAATGTTCCAACTACTATTGCTTTCGTTTACACCGCTGTCATTAGCTCTGAGAGTGAGTCAAGCCTGTAGTCCTCAGCAGAGTCTGTAGGGCCAGGCAACTTTTTGATCCCGGGTGCTCGAAACAAGAGCCCAGGGTTCTCTTGCAAGTTAGGAAGCTTCTTTCCAGTGAGCTTTCTTTCCTGTTCAGGAAGAGGTCGAGCTCATTTTTAGGATTTCAGAAAGACCCCTTGACTCACACCCGCTTTGATCCAGTCCTTGAGCCCAACGCCTTGCACCAATCCAATGCCCCCTTTCTGCAGGTGCTTGTCTCGCTATCCGGCTCAGTAAACGTCTCCGCAATCAAGAAGGCCCTTATCCAGGGGGCCACAGAGAGGGTCGCCGGAGCGCCCCCGAAGCAGGACGATGCAATGGAAGGAGTTCAGTCGGAGGGCGCGGAAATGGGCGTCGAGGGGGCAATCAAGGGAGTGGGCGGTCAAATGACGGTCTCCCTGCACAAGCACAAAGCGCGGATCTCGGTTGTGGAGGCGCCGGGAGATATTCTGGGTTGTCTGGAAGCTGCAAAGGTGAGGCTTGAATTGCAGCGAGGTGATTCCGGTTGCACTAGACCACGGTGTGGTTCATCTGGAGAGTAGTGAGGACCAGATCGAGTCGACCTTTTTGACTCCTTTGTTCGCAATCAAATTTTCTGGGGGGATTTATGTGATGCTCAAACATAAGTCGGACCGCGATAATCGCGACTCGGCAGTGCGGGCATTCGTGGGGACGAGCTGATTGCGATTGTGCATGACAAAGAAACTGAGGCGGCAGAGGATCCGTTACGCTAGTTGAAGAGATTGTTGAGAGTACTTATCTTGTCAAGCGATCCGTGTGAATAGGTGTACTTTTGGGGTGGTATCTGTACTGGAGTCTGGCCATATCGACTCACTTCTTGAATCGTGGCGAGTCTTTCGACACACGCTCCGATCTGGTAAATCCAACCACTTGCTTTGACAGGTGGCAGATATTGTGGCGTTTGTGACGCCAGCAGAGGGTGCTCACATCGACGAGCAGGGCCGGGAGCTCCTTACTGTACTTCGAGCGCTCGGCCTCCCGGCTACCACTGGATTTATCCAGGTGGGTGTCTTTCTACCCGAGGGAACTGATCCGCTGAGAAGGGCCGGCAGAGAACTACATCCTTCTGCCAACTTTCGCGACTTAAACGAAATATCTACCCAGTAATTGAGGACACTGTGTTGTTGCGGAACGGGGTTTGCAGCCTGTTTTAATACTATCAAATTGCAAAGCATGTGTATCGAGTTTCAAAACTTTGAATGGTCGACTCGCAGAATCTGACGAACGCTCCCGGAAGAGCTGGTCCCTTTAGAGCTGCAATTCCTTTTCCAACAATACCACACTGCTCGGACGACTCTCTGACCTGCATCCAGGAGCCGTCTGCGAATGACGAGTTAAAGGGGTTGATGCATATTATGAAGCGGCAGCGAACATGTTTCTTCCGTTGACGCCTGAGTTTGAAGGGGCATTCTGGAGGGTCGAGACGAGGCGGATGTGGGTTATAGCAGCGGGCTGCTTCATTTACATGTTGGCCTAATTCAGTAAAAGGGCCGGGTTTACTAAGCTAACCACCCTTGGACGGGTGGGGTTTGTTTGGGGGTTTAGAGTGGGTTCGGTGCGGAGCAGATAAATTGTTGGGTTAGTTTGGAGCTTCTCGTACCTGGCTCTTACTATACCAAAACTAAGCCGTATTCTGTTTACAGGGTCTTGATAGTGTACCCTTGAAGCGGCGCGGCGAGGCCAAGAAGGCGGCAGTTGCGGCGCTCCAGGGGCAACTAGGGGTGGACCTCAAAGTGCACGCTGCAGACACGCCAGAGGACTTCACGCAGGTGAGGCTGACTGCTGCTCTGCCTAGAGGGCAACGTTTCAACGGGAAGTTCGCAAGTTTGGGACAGCGCTTTTTGCTTTTTGCTTTTTGCTTTTGCTTATCGGTTTTCGCTTTTGTTTCTGCTTTTTGAGGCAACTGGGTCAAGAGCTTTTGTTGATCATGGCACTGCCTCAGGAGAAGAGTCCGGTCTTTGTGCTGCACTTTTTCCTGTCCTCCTGTTCACTTCGACGGTTGAAACAGATTGTTGGCGGCTTTGGAATCCCCTCTTAGCGTTCTTCAAGGTCTTTTCTCCATTTTCTCTAGCCTCTCGAGAGTGCACTTTTGGAGATGCCCCCTACAAAAATTTCCGTTGGTATTCTAGTCTCGGCAAATTGTCTGATCTCTAATGCAGTGAAATGCCACACCGGCTTGAGACATTACCGTTTGGATTACAATCAGCGGCCAGTAAGAAAGCTGCAGGGGCCTTCTCTGATTACGGGCATCGTCTCCCTTTGGCTGACATCTGATCGGCTGACGGGTTTGCATTGTGCTTCCAGCTGCTACGCCACCTGTCCGAGCTCCGCCTCTCTCCCCCCGTCTGGCGCAACCAACGGCCGTACGTGGTCGTCGAAAAGCTCGCCTTCCGGCCGTCCGATGTCCCATCCGACGGCCCAGATACGTCCGGCGGAACGTTACTCGTCTCCGGTTACCTCCGTGCCCGCTCGCTACGACCGGGACAGCTTGTCCACGTGGCAGGACTGGGCGACTGCCAGCTGGCGCAAATCGACGGCCCGGAAGATCCTTGTCCGGTAGGGCAGCATAGAAACAAGGCGGGGGGGGCGATGGACGTGGAAAATGGGGGAGGCGAAGCGAGGGTTTTGGGGGTGGCGGGGCCGGGCGATCTGGAGCCGTTCATCACGGAAAACGATCCGGATCCGACGGCCGGGGAGCAGACTTGGCCGACGGAAGAGGAGTTAGCGAGTGCGGAGCAAGAAAGGCAGCAAAGGATGGCGGCGAAGAAGCACAAACGAAAAGTCGCAAAAGGAACGTCGGAATATCAGGTGCGTCCAAAATACTGTTGCCCAGTCATAACTAAAGCATCAGAAGGGCGTCTTCACTCATGTTTGGAAAGTATATGAGAATCTTAATCAAATTCACGCGGAATTCTGGTTGTAGCAAAAGAAAAGATTGCTCACTAAGGAAGAAATTGTCAAAGGCTGCTCGGATTGTTGATGAGAGCAAGGGGGGAGACTACGGCAGAATGCGGACAGGCGCACTGCCGGAAAAAGCCAATGCTTTGCCGGGCAAGCAGCTTCGTTGTCGCGAGTATCCAGCCTAAGTAAGTGCTTGGTTGCGTTTTCGACCGCTGGCCGCTTGGAATATCGACGAGAGCGAGGGAGGAGGAAGACGAAGATGCTGACGAGGCAGAGGACAAATGCAATTGTCGCCTCTGCCCAAGATCAAGCACTTCTCATCTCATTGCATTTTCCAAGCGAGGACTCCTCTTGACGCTTTCTTCTCGGCCGCTTGGATTGTGAATGAGAGCGAGGGTGACGCGAACGAAGAAGCTGACCTGGCCAACAGACGCATTCAACAGTTGCTGTGAATCGGAATATGACCGTTGAGCAACGGCCTCTTTCTTTCCATTATTGAGACTTTTGTGACGTAAGCACTGTTCGTTTTCCAGGCCGCTTGGATCGTCGACGAGAGCGAAGGGGAGGAGGATGACGACGATGCTGACGTGGCCGACAAAGGGGAGGACGCGGCGATGGCGGAGGCGGGGCCCAGCGATGGCGGGTCCGACGCAGAAGATGACGTCAGCGAGGACGAGGCGGGGCGGGGCACGACATCAGGGCGCACGAGCGAGACGTGGCTGGGTGAGCAATCTGTCCTTCTGCTGTTCGATATTGAAAAAGGAATCTCTCTGAATCTATAAGGGAGGAACGCGACAATAAGAGGACGAGCGAGGGCTTGACAGCGCGAGGAGGAGCAGCATCTGGTGAAAGAAGCGACGTGCAGTGACGTCACCCTGATCATGATCTGATCAAGCATCAGCATGAACGGATGCCTTTTTTCGAGTGAACTGCTTAGATATACAGCAGAGGTATGGGACGGTGTGAGCTATAACGGAGGCCCGACGGCGCGCCAGCGCAAGGAGGAGCGACGGCCGCTGAAACAAGCAGTGCCGAGGGACTCGCAAAGTAATCATGCTCCTCAATCAACCTTCTTGATTTATGTTCTCAGCACGGCGTTCCTTCTTCACAGGCGATGACGGTGACGTCGTCGGCAAGGATAGGGGTCTGACCGTTCCTGAATGCGAGGAGGAGCGTTGGCGTCTGAAAGAGGCAGCCCGGGGCGACGAAGAGAGCCCTCGAACCACTTACGTTTCTTTATCGCTTATCTAGACTTGAAAGACACACGTTTTGAGTTTGAGTGTCCCATCTTCAGAGGGGAGGAAGAGGACGACATGAGCGCGGACGAGGGCTGACTGCTCCGCAACGTGAAGAAGAGCGGTGGCACTTACAAGAAGTTGTCGGTAATTTCAGGAACCTTGAGATGGACACCCTCTTTCATCGGCAACGTTTGTGAATGTTGAGTCCGAAGCTCTCATTTCACAGGCGAGAAAGGGGACGACATGAGCGAGGAGAAGGGCCTGCCGGCGCGGCTGCGTGAGGAGGAGCGGCGGCGGCTGAAAAGAAGAAGTGCGGGGCAACGAAGAAGCCTCAATCCGATCACGTAGTCTTTTGAAAATGACACACGCCCTGAGTATGAACATCTCATGTTCACAGGCGAGGAAGAAGAGAACGACATGAACGAAGACGAGGCCTGACGGCAGGGCAGCAAGAAGAAGAACGGCGCGGCTGAAAAGGAATTGTGGGGCAACGAAGAAGTCTTAATCCGATCACGCAGTCTTTCAAGATGACACACGCCCTGAGTATGAACAATTCGTGTTCACAGGCAGGGAAGTGGAGGGGTTGACCGCGAGCGAACGCCCGGAGGAGCGCCGGCTGTTAAAAGCAGCGCGGGGCACCGAAGGATGCCTCGAACCGATTACGCTTCTTAATCGCTTAAGCATCTTCGAATGACACACGTTCTGAGCCTAACGTTTCTTACTTCACAGGTGAGGAGGACGATGACATGAGCGAGGATGAGGGCCTGACGGCGCGGCAGCGCGAGGAAGAACGGCGGCGGCTGAAAGAGGCGGCGCAGGGCGACGAGGAGTTCCCGGACGAAGTGGACACGCCGATGGACGTGCCGGCGCGGCAGCGCTTCGCCAAGTACCGGGGACTCAAGAGCTTCCGGACCAGCCCCTGGGATCCCAAGGTGCGGCCGGGAAGCTTTAGGGGTTCCGACGTGTTTATTGAGTAGGGTTGGTTAAGCGGTGATTAAGTACTAGGGACTCAAGAGCTTCCGCACCAGCCCATGCGATTTCAAGGCGCGGTTGGAGATCCTCTAGGGGTTTAGAAGGTTCCGTTTAGTAGGGTTGGCTGAGAATCGCTCATTCGTTGCTGCCCAGAGCGTTTGCGGGTTCGGTGGGAGAGCGTACGCTCGCGCAGCTTGGTTCCTCGTTTCATATTTGCGCTGTGCACTATCCTGCGGATGTCCCCCCCTCTTTCATCAAGTATTTGCCGGCTCTCCTCTCCTGCATTCAAATGCCAAATGTAAGGGTGCCTGACATTTTCAACCATCGAAACTTACCAATGCGGACAATGCTTAGACCTTTGTCTCAAGCCGCGGGCCCCAATCCTCACCTCCCTTGACCTGGCTTTCTCCTTTTTGCGCCTCTCCTTTCCTTCTTCATTCTTGTTGCGCCTCTCCTTTCTCTTCATTCTTGGTAGTTCAGGCTGCCCCCAATAGAAGGAGCCGTCTTGGAAGCCAACAAACCGGACTTCGACGATTGCTTCCTGCATTCATGTTCTGTGGCCAATCGTCTAATTTCCGTTTCCCCGCTTTTCGCAGGAGAGCCTCCCGCGCGAGTATGCGCGCATTTTCGCGTTCGACAACTTCCGGCGCACGCAGAAAGTGGTCCTCGCGCAACAGGTCAAAACGGACCGGGAGTCGCTCATCGTTCCGGGAATGTACGTCCGGCTGCACCTCCTGATCCGGCCGGAGCAGCGGATTCCGGCGGAAGAGCTCGTCAGGCGGGCGGAAAGCGGAGCGGCGGGGCTGGTGACGGCCATCGGGCTGCTGCAGCACGAGACCAAGATGTCGGTCGTGCATTACAGGTGGGTTTGGGAAGGGTTTGCATCAAAACCCTGTAGTTTACTGGTTGATGCCGCCCTGAGCGGCCTTTTTTATATTTGGATCTACGTGGTAAAGACGGGCACTTATCAAAGGCCTGTGGCTTCAAGGTTCTGTGCAGTGGTTGTTTGCCAGTATCGGTCAAGAACTGGTCAAGAACGGAAATCCGAATTTGTATGAAAATTGCAGACTCCCAAGATCAGGACGGACGTGTCTGCTGGATCGGAAGTGCGGCACTCTCCTGTCTGGTTGTCAAACGCAAATCTTAATCATATCAAAGACATCTCGCGAGTGTCTCCTATTGGATGGGACGCTGACTCGGTGTGTTCTTTGCGGGTGCAGCATAAGGAAGAGCGACGCATACACGGAGCCCGTCAAGTCCAAGTCGGAGCTCCTCTTCTACACCGGCCTCAGAAGTTTCAAAACTAGGTGAGATTGCTCTCTTCCGCCGCCGTCAGATACTGCGATTTCCTCGATATGCATGTATGCATAATCAGTGTCGTCAGCCTTTTATTTTTCCGCTGGACTGCTGGTCGATGCGCGGCGCTTTGTTGTCTTCACTGAACTCGATGTTGGAACGGAGCCAAACAATGGACTAGAGGGATGGATGGGTAATTCTACACACTGGTCCAACTTTCTTGGGAACGATTGCTGACTGAAGCCCGTATATGGCGATCTCGCCAAGCGGAACGTTGAATCAGTAAGGAAAGCAAGATTTTCTGAACACACGGAATGAACCCTTGCAGGCCCGGATCTTTTGACATGACAAGCTGTACCTGTTTGTCAAGCGCCGCGAATTTAAGCAACAAAAGTACCACGTAGCAAAACTTTGGCTAGAAAGCAGGGCATGTGTTAGGTTCGTTTGCCAAATTCCGGATACGAATATCAAACACGGACCGACGAGAAAAGATAGCGTTGGAGCCATATTGAACAAAGGGCCGATCTTCGCAGGCCGCTCTTTTCGACGGACGACATGCAGATGGACAAGCATAAGTTCGAGCGCTTCCTGCACCCCGGGCGCTTCTCCGTCGCTACCGTCTTCGCCCCGATCGCATTCCCACCGCTGCCGCTGCTGGTGTTCAAGGAGGGTGTGAACGGGCCGGAGCTGGTGGCCACGGGGGCGCAGCGCGAGGTCGACCCGGACAGGGTCATCCTGAAGAAGATTGTGCTCTCAGGGTGAGCCAGGCCGTTTTCCGCCGTTCCGCTTTCCGTCAGTTGCATCTCCGCTTTTCCGAATGTGCTGTCCGGTTCCCGGTTCCGCGTGTCTGTTCCTTGTTTTCCGTACCTGTCTCCACTTTCTTGTTTCTTTTATCGGTGCCCCATTTTCTTGTCTCCATTTTCGGTGCCCCATTCTCTTGTCTCCCCAAAGGATAGTGCTCTCGGGTTGAGCCGGGCCGTTTGCCGCCTTTCCGCTTTCCGTTTTCCAACGTTTCGCTCCGTGTCTCTGTTGCACCTTTGCCGCTTACCTTCCCTTTGTGCCCTTGCCTCCTTCATCTTTTCGCCTTTCTTCGGCTGCCCATGTCTCTGGCTCCCTTGAGAAACTCTTGCTCTCGTGGTGAGGCGCTCGGCTTGCTACCCATTCCGGAAACCGTTGCCCGGCGTCCCGTTTCGCGTCTTCTCGTTTCTCTTTCCGTAAGTTTCTACCCTGGGGATCGCTTCCCCGCAGGTACCCTCACCGCGTGCACAAGCGCAAGGCCGTTGTCCGCTTCATGGTCTTCACACACAAGTTTCTAATCTACCCAAGTGACCAACGCGAAGAATCTGATAACCATTTGAACATGTTTCTGACCTCTAACATTCATGGCCGCAGGTACCCTTACTGCGTGCACAAACGTAAGGCGGTCGTCCGGTTTATGTCCTTAAACCGGCTGAGTTTCTAAACCAGTCGAATAGAAGACTTACAGCCCGAAATAAGTACTCAAACTACCCGGTTAAGTTTCTCAAGTACCCGAATAACTTTTTGATATGCGCCCGCAGGTACCCATACCGCGTGCACAAGCGTAAGGCTGTCGTCCGGTTCATGTTCTTCAATCCGGAGGACGTCCGGTGGTTCAAGCCGCTGGAGCTGTGGACCAAGTACGGCCGGCGCGGCCGCATCAAGGAGCCCGTCGGGACGCACGGTAAGCCTAACCATGGTGACAAATCCTAAGCGTCGAAACCTGCAACCCTCGACCATGAACAGCAAATCTGAATCGAAACAGGGGCCGCGCCCACTTAAAGGAGCCCGTCAGGACGCACGGTAAAATCAACCTTCGCCATGTTGACAGATTTTAGACGCTGAGACTAAATTCTAAACATCGCCTTGCCAACCTCATAACCAGGTAAAGTAGGTTGAAGTACCATCTCTCTTTGAACTGCACTTATAAAACTAAGTAATGCACTCCGAACCTCTACCTAAAACCAGGAAGAGCATGGTCACAAAGCGTGATCTGTGAGAGTACGAAAAAGAGGCCAAGCATTGGCGATTCCAATACGCGGATGGACGGTCTGTAGTGCTTTTGTATCAGCCCAAGGTTATTAGCGTTGGCAGGAAGCTGCTTGGATGATATCATCCTCACGCCCCTCATTTCGCGTTTCAAAATGTCCTCTTCTTTACGTCGGAGTCTTTGTCACTTGACAGGGGATGTTCCATAAAGAAGGTTCGAAGGCCTCGAGCAAAGCTCTTTCACACGTCTCTTGAAGCCGATTGGTCGCACACGATACTTGAAGGATCTCGGTTGTAACTTGTTGGTGTCACAAATCTCTTCAAGCTGTGTTGACGCGCTTTTCTAAGAGACTGTTGTCACGAGTTGACAGTTCATCGTTTTCTGCAGGTTCGATGAAGTGCGTCTTCGAGGGCGTGGTTCAGCAAAGGGACGCCGTCTGTGCGACGCTGTATAAGCGAGTGTACCCTAGGTGGCCCGAGACAGAAGCGCTCTGAGCGTGACACGTGCCTCCGTTCTGACCGTCAACCAATCGAATTCTCGAAATCAACGATTCTAGGGGGGAGAGCCAGATTCTCGGATATGCACCCAGTACTGTGACGGCGTGTGTCATGGTGCCGTGCATGTGATTCTATGTGTCAGTCCAACCCGATCCGTGTCCATCTTACGGAAGCAACATGCAAGGTCTTGGCATGCAAGAATCCTGAACCCCACGACCGTGACGGAGAAATCATCCTTGAAGAAATATGCCGCCATCGTTATTTTCCTTCTAGCTTGTGATGTTGCATGCCATGAGCTGCGGCCTGACACCATTGATCTTATGTTGGGTCTTAGTTTCAAGCCTAGCATGCAGTTGCAGCTTGATTGTAATGATTACAGAACCAATGGTCGCGTGCCACAAACCACGCACGGCAGCGGCTGATGCACTGGCAGGTCGGGTCGCTCCTTGTCTTCATAATACATGGCATGCGTGAGCAATGATGTCCCGGGGGTTCATTTGTGCGCTACTACATGACGATCCCTGCAAAGGAGTTGCGAGGATTGCGCATTTAAGGCCATTGGTACGTTGCAAGCTAGCAGGCTAGAGACACTCATGCATGCAATGTGCTGCTCAGTGTATCGTAAGGTTGCTCTGTATACGGTGCATATCATTCAAAGCTCCAAACGCATAAAAGGTAGACTTACTGGCCTGCTACTGTTAGCAGGCTTGCCTTTCTGAAGTTTGTTTGCGAGCAGGTCGAGGATCCGAATCGGGTTCATGCCCGCGAGTTTGCGCTCGCGCCGCAAACCGGGCGACCGCCGACCGGACGATTCAAGTTACCAAATATCGAGTGGTCACGCGCGCGCGCGTACACCGATTTTAAGATTTGGAAGTCTGTCGGCGCAACTCATTCAAGCGGCGGTTAAAAAGAGTAGACTGCTGTAGAGGCTAAAGTTCAATCATCAGCTCTATACTAGCGTGCCGGCCGCGGCCGCCTAGCAAGGCCAGGCCTGAAAGGGGCCAGGCTGAATTCCGAGTCTATTTGTGAGTGGCGGTGACCTCAGTTGGAAGCACTTTTGCAGGCTGATGTCAACAGCAATCGGGAGCCTGACGTCACCACCGGTCACTGCCGGCCGGCGCGTCTGTCTCACCACAGTTGCATGATTCCATCACTGCCCCATGTATGACAATCAGCCAGATTCCCTGCGCATCAAGAGTGTTGGTCGTGTGCGGTACGGTCGACACCACTCTTGTTAGTTCGAACCAGTCTTGACGAGTCTTTAATGCTTGTGAACAGATCTGCTCACGCGTATATCACAGTGGAGGAACGTGATAGTGCCACGCCCTACCAAATGAAAAGTGGCTAAGGCCCTTGCAAACTGTTGTGGCCTTGTGGGCCTAATTACATTCATGAATTTAAAGCCGACCAGCGTACTGCGCACTCAGCGAAATGCTGAGGCATTAGGCAATGCGGGCATTGCACTTTGGCCTGTCGGTGTGATGGAACTATGACAGGCACTCAACCCCGGCACATTCACACACAATGCCCTGGTCTCTGTCGATTAAGGGTCTGGCCGAACAATGCTGCCAGAATTAAAGGATTGGGGCGCCAGATAAGTCCCAAGCAGGGCGTGTGGAGTCGTTTTGCGATTGGATTGTAAATGCCGAGCAAATCTGGGGCGATGCGCTGGTGGCTTTCTCACCCGTAACATAGTCGAAACAGAACCTGGTGCAAATAAGGTGAGCCCAAGCCTCGGGACCGGGATTGGGAGTGAAGAAGTTGCGGCAGTATCTACTTCGCATTCTCTGAAATGGCGTGCAATGCTGCGATCCCAAGCGACTGAAGAACAAACTGAGGTTTCCCAGACTTCCGCCCATTATCATTTGAGGTGCCCAGCAACCTTGAGAGAGCGCAATGCTGGAAACTGAGCGACGGGGAAAGAAGACGACTTTGTCGGGATCACCTCCAGTTGTTGAATTTACCTGCAATGCTGCTTTCTCAGCGGTGTGAAGAATAACCTGCAATGCTGCTTTCTCAGCGGTGTGAAGAATAACCTGCAATGCTGCTTTCTCAGCGGTGTGATCACAATATAGGGTATCTAACTCTGTCTGGCTGCCACTCTGCTTTGGGGGATGATTACAGATTGCTCGTGTCGAGAATATTTTGGGGGATATGGACCTCAGTTCCGCCTCGTAAGAGAAGCTGGTTCTGTTTGGAAATAAGAGAAAGCAACGGCCGAAAGTCACGGACTAGTCCAATATGACAAAGCCAGATAATGGTAAACACACAAACCAGCCAAGCTGTGAGCTTTCACCCACTTCGTGAAAGCATCAACATTGGAGTGGTAGCACCTATGTGGACTGTTCGAAGGCGAATTCAAAAATTGTGCGGTCCCTATGCCCGTTTTGACAGTCAATTCGGCTGGGCCTGCCGATGAGGGCAGATATAGATTGAGAAGTTGGCGGCTTTAGATGGAAACCAGCTTGCGAGTTGGGCAGTCTCGTCCAATTCAGCAAGATAAAGGTCTCATCCTGGCTTCGTCTGCAGTTGAAGCAAAGGCTTAGAATTTACAAGAAAGGGGCAAGGGTGAAGGGGACGGTTGCCATGGGTCTAAAAGGCGCACGCGAGGTGAGCTCTCTAGGTATCTCTCGCAGGAACACGAGCGTATTAGTGTGGAGATCGATTCAAGGTCCAGTCCTCAAGAGAATGACATGCAACTGGAATGTTTCGAAAGGCGAAGATCTGGCAGGCTACAATAAGCCGGAGAACTGACTGATACAACTTCAAAAATGCACTCGAGTTTGATATAACATCAGCAATTCGAAGTGCGCTCAATTTTGACCATCTTCAAGATGCAAGTAACCAGATACGCGAGAGTCGGCATACACGTCGAGCAGTTCTGCTGAAGTTTGCGAGATATCTTCAATGACTCAACAAGAAAAACAATCTCCGAAAGCTCCGGCGTCAATCCCAGTTGAGGACACGGAGGCGGCGTCATTTGCGAACTCGTCTGTCAAAAGTGGATTGCTCGACCAAACTGACGGTTGGATGCTGCAGCCTGGCGGGGAGGTTGCAACCAAAGACAAAGCGGCAGCTCGACAGCGGGCGCAGGAAGCGCTGGACGCTGTGCAGCGGGCGGTGGAAGGCGATAAGCTATGGGGCAACGCAGAGTGGTAAGTTCGAAACTGCGAGCTACGCAGCGAGGACAGTTATACAATGTCCCGTCTGCTTGATTCCACAACGTCTCCGACCTGATTCACGTGATGTGCTTTGAGTCACTTGACCATCCGTCTTGTCGTCCAGGTTGATCCCTGCTTCACCATCTTTACTCTATCACAATTTCATTTTCGTAGACGTAGGAAGACATCATGATTTGGGCTATGTGGCAGCGTGTAAGGTGGAGCGTATTGTGGGTCTGCAGCGGTACTTTCATCACTAGACGCATGCTCCCTTCTGAAACTGGTCAAAGCTAATCGTATCCTCTGGATTTTCCCATCTCTGAAGCTCGTTGGGGATCTGGTGCTATTATGACTGTAAAACGTCTCTGACTTACCTGAGAGAACCGGATCTCCTTCTCTTGTGCCTTTCGTGCACTTTTGGTAACGAAGGCCAAACAATCGCATTAGAATTTGACGAAAGAACGACTTGCTTCTGCGGCTTTCAAGTCAAGGGCAGCAAAGAAGAAAAGAATGGTCACAACCAGCCCGTGGCTACTGCTCCCCACCCGGTTATGAAGGCGTCTTCAATAAGAAGCTTGTTTGCGTTGGTATCGTACGCTTTAGCAGAGTTTGTTCCTCAACCCCGCTGGGTTTTGCAGGAGGAGAATGAGCGTAAACGCGAAGGAAGAGAAATGGAGCTCGCAGCAAGACAGAACTGACAAAGCTGCTGCCCCGCCATTGAACGACACTCTCCGTGGATCCTCCTCGGCCCACCACCCCTGCATATGCGCGTGCTTATCTACGGTTCTAGGGCCCCGAAAGCTGCCACGTGGCGAGCATCGGGTTGCTACACCCAACGGTCTCGAAACGAGGAGCGGCTCATGGCAGGAGGCGAGCGGAGATGAGGACACAGATGTAGGCGAGGAGAGTTTTGAGGATGTAATTGAGTCGGAGAAAGGTCGGAGAGTGGTCGAGGAAAGGTATGATCCGGAGAGTGAAGAAGGGGACCCTCGGGCCAGAAGAGCGGCCGCGGATGCGCAGCGCGCGGCCGAGCGCGCGCGCCTGGAGCGGCTGTGCCTAGAGCTCGCGCGCCTTGAGGCGCGGCTGCAGGACGTGGTGACACGTGGCAGGACAAGCCGGCCACGAGGCTCGAGCTACGAGAGCCGTCCACGAAACCCAAGCTATGAGAGCCGGCCGCGAACCGCAAGCTACGAGAGCGAGGGATCCCCCCAGTTCGAGGACAAACGGACCATCTTCGAACGGGCGGCCCCGGTGGCGCGAAGAGCGCCCCCCGAGGACTATAAACCCCGATCCAGGGGCGCGCCTTGGAGCGCGCGCGCGCACGCGCCCGGCGCGCAAATCGAGCCGCAATGGGGGAAGTCGGAAGCGGCGGGTTTGGCGCGCGGCGCGTACGAGGCCGCGCGGATGTGTCGCTTGGGCGTCAAACCCTGCGCGTACCGCCGGCGGAATTCCGCCGGAGAACGGGCCGGAAAGGGGAGGGGGCATGAAGATGCGCGCTGCTGCGACGGGTGTGGGTCTCCCACGGTGGAGCCCACGTGGGCCACGTGCGCTGACGTGGGTCGGGGTATCAGGGGTGAAGAGCTGGTTCGCCTGAAGAGGTGAGAAACGAAAGTGGGGTCCTTGGGGAATTAACGAAGACGGCTTTACGACGGCGCTAGTAGGAACGGCCTCGTGAAAGTATAGATCAAGAAAAGAGGGAGGCCAAGTTGAAGGGAGATTCTTGCGAGGTCCTGGGGGATCAAAGTTCAGAAAGGAACTTTGGAGGGTCCAGATCCGAGTCTTTCGTAGACTTCGGTTTAAACCTTTCGACTTCATCTGAGATGGTTCCTTCTTGGCAACGATCGCTGAACTGACGAACTACTTTTCCAAAACGCACATATGTTGCTAGTCCTTTCCACCGTATACTCAACGCCCTGTCCCTGGCTGCAGACACCACCGCGCGCTGAGCGCGCACTGCCGACGGCAGGTGAGCGCGCTCCGGGAAGTCGCCGCCCGCGCGCGCGTCGCCGAGGGCCTCGCCACCAGAGCCGCGCGCGCGGCCGCGGCCGCGACTCACCCCGCGGCGGGCTCCCTCTGCGGGCCGGCTGCGGTGTGCAGGAGCCGTGAAGGGGGCGGCCCGCTTTGGCTCTGCTGAGGCTGCCTGGGGGTGTGGACATGAGGGAACTTGAAACGGATGTGATCAGAATCAGAGAACGATGTGTATATGAGTGTAAAAGCGGGTTTTCGGAAGGGCCCGTACTCAGATGAGCGGTGGACCAATCTGACAGCGGGGGCGACGGAAGTTCGGCCCGGCCAAAAAGATGGTGGATGCTTTGGACCTGGCAAATTCTGAAAGGAACGAAGGCTCGGGCCCGCACTCGAGGTCAGTTTGTCAGATCAGGACATGTTCGGTTCAGTAAAGAACGATGCGTGAAAGAGCTTTAAGCCTTTGTCACATTGAAGCGAGAGGCGAGCAGCGTGTGTGTGTGCGGGTCACTTGGAACCGTTGGCCATGCTTTATGAACAAGCCACTGTCGAGACGTACCGATCCATACGTCGAACCTGCGGCCCGGTCACTGGTCTCCTTTCGAAACGACTTCAGGTTGGACCATTGCAGTGCATGCTGGCATTCGATCAACCTGATGCATCAACTTAAGATCGGTCACTTTGTAACTTGAGACCCAGAATTTATGACACATGCAGTTGCAACTTCATCATTCTGCATGCAATGATGGACTCACTCAGTGAGCAGATCCTCAATTAACTTGCAACACAATAACTAGTAAAGCTTTGAGCTAGGCCGGCCCGCCGCAATATCGCAATATCGCCCGATCCACATCAGGCAGCATACAATATATGGCTTCAAGAGTGACCATGCATAGCAGATGATAGATTGTCGCCGCCCGATCTCTACGGCGCGGCGTCCGTTGACCGTACCTTGACATGCATGCACAAAATGAACTGATCATGAATTGATATGCAACGAGCACGCGTGGGTCCAGCACACCGTGCACTCTTTAGAGTGCAGCAATGACTGACAAAGCATTGGACTATTTTCTATGTAAGTCTGCGAGGCAGACGACTAGACCTGTACATTAAGCTGAAGCGGCCCTTCGCTTGACCGGTTGCCAATTTGTTTTTGTACTTGTGGTTCGTTGGCAAATGCTGCCTGGTGCTGACATTCTTTGCACCTCCACACTATCTGCTTCAATCAATGTTCGGCGCACGAGCTCGATGTCATGCGCGCTGCGATGGATCGTCCTTGTCCGTTCATGGACGATCCCAGTCCGTTTTTGATATATGTATGGTACAGCATGCAATAGCTATAAAGTAGCGCTAGATTTACTCTTCGGGCTGCCTCCGGTCAGTCGATCGTTTCTCCTCGAGCAATGGACTACGACCCTGTGATCTTTGTTTTCGTCTGCGGAACCAAAGATAATCTTAGTGAGCCGAAAGCGATTTGGCGTAAGCCCATAAACCAGTGTACAAGAGCGTTTTCGTGACGTGACTTGATGCAGAACCGCAAACTCGCTACAAGACGGCAAGACGGAAATTCGACTAGAGACTGAACTACTCTCTTCCCGCGGAATAATAAGCATAAGCGTTCCAAACGTCCACGTCGTTCGAACCGATGAACAAGGAGGAGACCTTTGAGAAAGTAGCCCGCCCCCTCATGAGCTTTCGAACCCCGAACATTGCGTGAAACCCCATAAAAGGCCGGTAACAAGGTCCAGCAAGGGCAATGGCAAAACGCAACGTTTACGAAAGCTAGCTGCGGTCATTCTGCGTGCCGCAGAGAGACCTCTGGAATCGTTTTCTGCACCAAGCGACTCGTTGCGACCAGACTCTTCAACCGGGTCTTTCGGTGGGGTCCTTGAAACGCGGCGTCTCTCACCGGTTCTTTGCAGCGTTTGGTTCCAGCGAAGCGTACGGAGTCGAAAACGCGGGTTTGAGGGAAACATGCAAGCGTGTAGACGAGCTTTTGATTGTCTAAAAACGTCAAAAGGGTTTCACCTTTCGAGAATCGCGGCAACTCGCTCAGGTCCTAACCCCAGGTACACGACCAGCGACAGATATGCGGCCGCGCCTAGGGCGAGCGCCACGTGTACGGCTGCGATTCGCGGGGCTTGCGTGATGGCGAACACGACCAGCAGGTAGCCGTTGATGGACAACACCAGCAGCACGATCAGCCAGCACAGCACCTGGACGTGGACGGAACCGGAACGGAATGTGAGCTCGGAAACGGATTGGTATCGTGACCCTGGAAACGTAGGCGGGGGAGCCCTTGCAAACGGTGTGATCGGACAAAGTGTCGAACGTGTCTAATGAGGTCGTCACGAAGCTGTGAAGCGGATTGACGCGCAAAACGCGAAGCTGGCGAAACAGGCGCGTTGCGAAATTGTGCCGCGGATGCATGCTCTCAAAACATCAAGTTTCGGATACTGAAGTAAACTCTCATACATGTCAAGCTTTATGGCAGCGCATATATCATGATGTGCATGATACCTGCCCCACTTCGGCAAGGTCGTCCCGACCGGCCTAATACTGATCCATACCTTGATCAGCGCCTGACTTTACATTTTGGATTGATCCAGATTTATAAGATACCGGGCCACATCGCTAGCTTGCGCACAAAGAAGAGGCTCAACAGGAACAAACGTCGCCTCGAACAATCGTTGCTGTTGAGAGCACCGCTCAAAGCTCTTCAAACACAACGGACGGAGCGACGATTGCCCGTACACCGAGTTCATGACGATGCAACACAAAGAAGGAAGCGCTTCTTGACCTTACCGTTCTCGTTTTGCTGATGACAAAGGGCCCCATGACGGACCGGGATGACGCCAGCATCATGAGCGGAAGCAGCGCGAACGGAACTTGGACGGACTGCAACACGTTGACCCACTGGTTCTGCAACGAAAACGAAAACGGTCAGGTCAAGGGGGAGCAGTACTCGTGACGCTAGTTGAAATATTGAGCGGCCCCCCGAAAAGTTCGACGACTTGTCGAAACTCTGACCGTTGACGATTCGAACTTTCTCAGATCTTAAAACAAGAGTCAAGCTGGATGTGGTGGGACATTCCATGGAAATTTTCGTTGATGCTCTTCAAAGTCCCAGCGCAAACCTTCTTCAACCCGGAGACCAATAAGAAGGGGGCCTCGGGAAATATTCTCGCAAGAAAGCTCACAAGGGTGCCCGTTTCACACTCAAACCTCAGAAGCCTACGTCAGCGGTGTGTACACTCACAAGCACTCTTAAAAGTCTTAGCGCGAAGTTTCTTCGACCCGGACCAATAAGAAGGACGCCTCAGGTGACATCCTTGCAAGAAAGCTTTCCACGGTGCCCGTTCACACGCAAAACTTGGAAAGCTATGTCAGCGGTGTGTACACTCACACGCACTCTTAAAGTCTTAGCGCGGAGTTCTTTAACTCGGACCAACAAGAAGGACGCCTTAGGTGATATCCTCGCGAAGAAAGCTCTCCACGGTGCCCATTTACACGGGAAACTTGGAACCCTATCTCAACGGTTTAAACACTCACAAGCACTCTAGAAGCCCCAGCGCGAGGTTCCTCCAACCCGGACCAATAAGAAGGAGGCCTCAGGTACTTCCCTCGCAGAGAATCTCTCTACCGGTGCCCGTTTACACACGAAACTCGGAAGCCTATCTCAACGGTGTAAATACTCACAAGCACTCTAGAAGCCCCAGCGCGAAGTTTCTTCAACAGGGACCAATGAAAAGGAGGCCTCAGGTGATATCCTCGCAAGACACCCCTCCACGTTGCCCGTTCCACACTCATACCTCAGAAGCCTACGTCAGCGGTGTGTACACTCACAAGCACTCTAGAAGCCCCAGCGCGAAGTTTCTCCAACCCGGACCAATAAGAAGGAGGCCTCAGGTACTTCCCTCGCAGAGAATCTCTCTACCGGTGCCCGTTCACACACGAGACTAAGAAGGCTTTGTCAGCGGTGTGAATACTCACAAGGACGTCCAGTTGGCTCCCCCGCTCGCTGCCAAAGTAGACGGCCACAGCCATCGTCGGAACGATCGCAAAGCACCGAGTGATCAGCACTCGTTTCCACGCCTTTATTTTCCAGTTGAGGAAGCCGCTCATCACGAACTGGCCGGCGTAAGTGCCAGTCATGGTGCTGCTCTGGCCTGCGGCGAGGAGACCTGAACGGAACGGAGCGGAATGTCAGAGCGGAAGTGGAGAGGACCATTTTTATGTCGCGCCTTTATTTTCCAGTTGAGGAAGCCGCTCATCACGAACTGGCCGGCGTACGTTCCGGTCATGGTGCTGCTCTGGCCGGCCGCGAGGAGACCTGAACGGAACCCGGGCGGAATGTCAGAGCGGAACGGGGGAGCACAAAACTTGTTTCCACGCCTTTATCTTCCAGTTGAAAAAGCGGCTCATCACGAACTGGCCCGCGTAAGTGCCAGTCATGGTACTGCTTTGGCCCGCGAGACCTGAGTGGAATGCGGGCGGAATCTCGGCGGAACCGTGGAGTACAGCACTCAACTCTGTGCCTGAAGTGCAATTGACGAAGCCGCGAGTCGCATGTCACGTGGCATGCACGTATCTGAAAAGGAATCACTTTAGTGGAAATGGGTTCACGCAAAACTCCGTCGTGAAATTCCAAGCACAGTCATAATCGAAGCTCAGCCCTTCCGATCAGCCACCTAGGGCACTTTCATTTAAGTCAATCGTTCACTCTGCAACAGACTGACTAATGTACACTGATGTCTTTACTAAAACTAGACGGTATGTTTTACTATAACTAGAAGGTTGGTCAAAAAGAGCTTAGCAAGTCGCGTGAGCTTCGTACCTATGGCCCACACGTATTGCATCGGCACGAAGCCGAGCCCCCCGAAGTGTTTCTTCAAATACTCCGCCGCATTCGCCATCCCAATAAGCTTCGCCTGGGGCTTCCCAAAGAACGCCTTCGCGAAGACGGTCGTCAGAAATACGTTGATCAGGAAGGAGAGTATCAGTGCCGCCGTGCTCTCGATCGAGTAGTAGCGCAGTGACTCGCGGACGCGCGACTCGTTGCGGGTGTCGATGCTGCGGGATTGAACGAGGGCGGAATGCAGAAAAACCTGCAGAGAAGAACGGTTTGAGATTGGAGTACCCTGGTCTAATTGGAGCTTTCCAAGTTCTTGAATTCTCAATCACAGACAGCAATTTGCGCCGAGATTGTCTCATTGAATGCTTAACGTCAACATTTAGCTGACACTATCGAACGGCCCGGAATGCATATGGAAGAAAGGCCGGCTGCGCAGGGCAGCGCAGATGGGTCACCCAGGAATGGGTAGGAGGCACAGCGCAGTAGCATTTACTTCGACAGTGGACTTTACAGCCTTCTGCATCCGAATCAGACGCTTCCACCGCAAATCCGACAAGCGTCTCAAACTCAACGACACAGGGAGACCGGAAGACCGAAGGGGAACCTGACAAGGAATTTGGGCAGGCAATGGAGATTCATGGTAACCGGACGCTTCCGGAAACGGCGCAGCCGGACGCTCACGTTGTGCGGCATGATGACTGCCCCTACAATCGCCACTGCTTGCTGGATGGCACTCGGAGCGACGTACGGAACAAGGAGGCCTGCGGGAGAAGAAAGCGACTCAAGGGCTCGACCGCAATTTCGCAGGACGGATGTGCTTCTGCAGTTCGGATGCGTGTTTTGGATATCACGTCTGCCGCCGTTCCATGCGGTTTCGTCACGGTAGTGCTGGCCTCCTGCAACAAAGGCATCAAATCGTGTACTGCGGAGCTGTCCAGCCACGATTTTCTCGTCCGAAGCAAATGGATCTTTTTGTGAGCCCAATATTTTTGAGACTGGTAACACCACCATTAGTAGAGTGCGAGAAACCCTGAGGAAAAGCCAAGCCGATAAGTCAAGTGACTCATCAAATAGGAGAGGCATGGTGTAACTTTATCAATTTGTAATGAAGACCGGAGAGAAGTGGCCCGAAAGCAGTCTACCTCGTAAGGAGAGGCCTTACGTAGAATCAGTTGGCAGACCCGGATGAGATGGGAGAAACTAGATAGTGACCCCAGACGAGTGGGGCCGCAGAAGGGGGATCAGAGCAATAGAAACAACCAGTACGACCGGGGGCCACGAGCAATCATGGCGGAGTGGTGACTGTCCCACACATGCAAGCGCCTCGTCAAACAGAGGCCGAACATATCCAGTCTTCCCCGATGGTTGCTTGTTGAGATCGGCTTCCTGAGTTGGACTCGTCACTACTAACCCTGTGAAAGCGGCTTCAAAGCAAAAGGCCGCTTCCAAAGAGGATTCACTTCCTGACTCCCTGAGCAAAGATGGTTCCGACTGGAGTGCTCCAGGTGCAACTTTCAAGCGATTGGGGTGCACATCTGACAGAATCTATCAACAAGATTGCAAACATCAAACACGTCAGCAAATCTGCTCACCTTTGGCGATTGCGACGGGGTTCGGACGTGCCTCCACGAAGAGTCGCGCAAAGGCGATGGCCATAATGCCGATCAGGCAGCCCAGGAACGCCTCAAGCTTGCGCACGCCGATCTGTTCCAGGAAGAGAAACAGTGTGCTGCGAGAGGCCGAGGAACAAAGTTAGCTCTTCAACCTCAGGACGGCAAAGTGGCAAAATGTGATCGCAGCGCTTCAATTTCCAGCTTGCAAATTTTCCACGGCCAACGTTCAGGGCCCTCCGGCTCCATGAGAGATTGAGCGTTGTAAGCAGGTCACGTACAGGGACACGAGAGTATTGCAAAGTTACTAAAAGCGACCGACTCTGTCTGCCTTTTGATATGCTACATGAAGATTTGTTGATCAAAGGTACTTGCAAGGTCGATTCTAGGCGTTGATGATAAAGAGTGTCATCAGCGGGCTACAGGTGCGCACGAATGGTCATAAGCATGATCAAGTCAAATACATCTGATAAAGACATTTCTTAAGTCAAACTGGCTGTGATCCCTCGGTCCACTCCTCCAATCCCGAAACACCCAGCCCGTTGCATTTACACACCACCCAGACATCTCAGTATCGGTGGACTGTTCTCGAAAGTTCACTGTGTTTAACTCCTCCCTTCTTCATGTCCTCAAAGCTGGTCAAAAGTTGTCTCTTCTCACCTGTCTGCTGCCGTAACCAGCACTCCGACCCAAAGGGGAACACGGCCGTTGCTCAAAATCTGGATGGCGATCGCCGTCCCAATCACCTCTTGAATATCCGCCCCAACAATTGCAATCTCGGTCATTATCCACAGAATGATACGTGGAACAAAGGGATACTTCTCTCGACACAACTCGGCGAGGTGCTTCCCTGTTGCGACGCCTAAGCGAGCGGCTGTCAGCTGGATAATCTGCAGCAGCAGGAAAATGGATGTTTTGTTGGTCTGATGCACTTAGCGAGGAACTGTTGGCCAGCTTATGCATTGCCGACATGTTGATGAGGGATATTTATCAAGGTGAATATCTTTCAACAGACACGGGAGCAAGGCTAGACACATATTGAAGCAGTTTAACGGGGGCAATGAGCTCCTGCTGTCAGAACATAGGAACCTTCTGTTAAGAAGGAGAAATTAACGTATTCGAAAAGATGAATGTGAGACTTGCTCTCCTTTCATCAACAAACTGAGAAGCACCTAATAAGCCACTGCGTTTACAACTGTTGCCCAGAGAGCGTGCACACCACTCTCGTTCTAATCAGGCAAGAGAATGAAACTTACATGAATGGCACTACGTTCAGGACTGTTGCCCAGAGAGCGTCCACACCACTCTCGTTTTGATCAGGCAAGAGCATGAAACTTACATGAATGGATTCAAAGAGCAGGTGAAGGCAATGATAATCCGCCAATGAATCAAAGACAGAACGGGGCGAGAGCACGTTCTTACCAGTCCCATTAGTGTCGCCCAGAAGAGTACCCACAGCAGCTGGTATCCCGCCTGCGCGCCCGCCTGGAGATCGCTCTCTAGATTTCCTGGGTCCAAATACGCTATGGACATCAGGAAGCCCGGGCCCGTAAACGCCCACAGCTTTCTCCAGCTGAAAGGGGGTGGTTCGCCGCTGACATTCGGCCCCCCTTCTTCGTCAGGAAGAGGCCCATAGCCGTCAACATTGATCTGCTGAGAGTGCTCATACGCGCGGTCAGTGGATTCGCTGGGGAGGGCGTCGCTGATGGCATCGCGATCTAAGCGATCTGTAACGGCCATGATTGCGAGGTGTGGTTTCTTCCACCGGCTTGTACGCCAATGGTCACGGGTTGTTGTGCATGTTACTTCTTTTGACCAGCACTTCTCACAAACAGCTCTTGGAGTACAATGCCGAGCTTGTGTACGACTGGCAGTTACTTGTTTACTTGAATGCTGATGCTTGCATCTCTCCTCTTGTACCGACAAATGTGGTCTTTGCTCCCGGAGGACGTGCTGTGCCTCTGCGTCCGGCTCCTTTCTTATAGGCACGCACCGCTGCTCGTCTTCGGTCAAATCCACTCACAAAATGGATTCACCCTGGATCACTTCTCGATGGGGCGCTGAGGAATCCTTTCAAGCATGCCAACCAGCTGAAACTTGGGAGAGCTCCCAAAACGCGACATGCATTTCGTTCCCTCGTTCAGATCTGTTAAGACCAGGCTTCAGGAATTACTGCACCGGCAGTGGTCACGGTGGCAGGACCCATGCATCATTGCATGTACAGCCAATGCCATGGCCCCAATTGAACTTGAAAGTTGAAAATTCCGGTGCTGATCGGGCTGCCACCAGGGTTTCCCACAGCCGGCAAGAGAACCTGGACCTGGCCGGCCGAGAAGGGACCCCGGCCGGTGCCGAAGGCACCCCGCCGGCTGGCTAGCCGGCTGAAAATGGGGGCAAATAGTGGGCTCAGCCGGCCGGTAGAGCCAAATCCTGACTACCGAGCCGACAGAACCGGGGGGCCGCCGGCAGCTGGCGGGCCGGGACAAAAGTCCGTGGGAAACCCTGGCTGCCACACAGTGCACCGGGCGGCGGGGCGCGCCGGCCGCGGCAGCACAACGCGGCGCAACGCGGCAGGGCGGCTATAGCTGCTGAGCTCTGCATGAGTCACCACTGACTCACGAGTGATTGACGGCCGGGTTACACCCTCCGTACACGGTACGTACCTAATTGGGGCAGTTGGTCGAAAAAGAATGAACAATCTGAGGACACCACGCTCATCAG